ATACAAGCTTCCCTTCCTGTAGAAATACCAGAAGTGCCATATGAAGGAAGCCCCTGGAGTGTAGTATTTGGTATGACAGTCTTCTCTGATTTCCAGCAGTGGTTAGTACCTTCTGTTTCAGAGGAGGTGTGGTCGGTTGACCCTGGCCAGGTGCCTACCAAAGCTGTTCTATCACTCCCTCTCCTCAGCTGGACAGGGGAGAGAAAATATAACAAAAGAGCTTGTGGGTCAAGATAAGGACAGGAGAGATCACTCACCAATTACCATCATGGGCAAAACAGACTCAGCTTGAGGAAAATTAACTCAATTTATTACAAATCAACCAGAACAGGGTAATGAGAAAAAAAAAAAACCAAATCTCAGAACACCTTCCCTCCACCCCTCCCTTCTTCCTGGGCACAACTTCACTCCCGGATTCTCTACCAACCGCCCCAGTGGCACAGGGGGACGCGGAATGGGATTTATGGTCAGTTCATCGCACATTATTTTCTGCCACTTCATCCTCCCCAGGGGCAGGACTCATCACACTCTTCCCCTGCTGCAGTGTGGGGTCCTTCACGGTCCCTCCCACGGGAGACAGTCCTCCACGGACTTCTCCAACGTGGATCCTTCCCACGGGCTGCAGTTCTTCACAAACTGCTCCAGCATGGGTCCTTTCCACGGCGTGTAGTCTTTCAGGAGCACACTGCTCCAGCGTGGGTCCCCCACAGGGTCACAAGTCCTGCCAGAAAACCTGCTCCGTGGGCTCCTCTCTCCACAGATCCACAGGTCCTGCCAGGAGCCTGCTCCAGCATGGGGTTCCCACGGGGTCACAGCCTCCTTCGGGAACCCACCTACTCCGGCGTGTGGTCCTCCACGGGCTGCAGGTGCATATCTGCTCCACCGTGGACCTCCATGGACTGCAGGGGGACAGCCTGCCTCACCACGGTCTTCACCATGGGCTGCAGGGGAATCTCTGCTCTGGCACCTGGAGCATCTCCTCCCCCTCCTTCTTCACTGACCTTGGTGTCCGCAGGGTTGTTTCTCTTACATGTTCTCACTCCTCTCTCCAGCGGCTGTTTCTCCCCGTCCCAACTCTTTTTCCTTCTTAAAAATGTTATCACAGAGGTGTTACCACTATCGCTGATTGGCTCGGCCTTGGCCGGCAGCGGGTCCGTCTTAGAGCCGGCTGGTATGGGCTCTCTCAAACACAGGGGAAGCTTCCAGCAGCTTCTTACAGAAGCCACCCCTGTAACCCACCCCGCTACCAAAACCTTGCCACACAAAGCCAATACAGGAGGAAAGGTAGTCATGGGACAACCTGCATTCAAAGACTACCCTCTTAAACTCCTGGTATTAAAGGTTGGTTGTTGCTCAAATTTGAGAGCTTATACATCTTCCAAAGGTCTAGGAGATTTTTGTTGTTACTTTTCTTTTGCAGGGCTTGCTATTATAACTGGTTAGTCTTCTCACTATACATACATGTTTTGAAGCCACTGAGTCTGTGGTATGTTATATCCCCTGAAATGTTGTATCTTGTTTTGTACACAGTTTTTTGTTGTTTTTTCTTAAGTGTATTAATCCAATTTTTTATAGGCCCTTTTAGTCTTTCTCCCGTGTAGTTGAAATAATGTTGTGTCCTCTGTATGGGTTTTTTCTTCTCACTTTTAAAAGCTGGGTGGGGTGACATGATTAATTGTTGACAAATTTAATTGATACCTGTCTTAGCTGAAAGTTAAACTGGAATTTTGTCATTAAGGAAATACACTTGCATGTCAGTGAGAAGACCTTTTTAAAACACAACATGTGTGAATAAGTTTGAACCGAGAACTTATTACTGAAGTAGAATAGGCTTCTCAATTTGTTAAATCCTCTTCACTAAATACAGAGTGAGAGCTTCATGATAGAGGTAAAACTCAGTTTAGAAAAGGATAGAAGACTAGTAGCAACATGAGTAAAGCACAGACCGTAGGAATGCATTCCACACCTTCAATTATAGTTTATAGAAGATCTGTTATATTTTAAGGATTCACTTGAAAAATGAGTTTAGCTTTTCACTAATCAAAAACTATGAATGTGAACAGTGTTGACCATTGCAGTGTTGAAATGTTGTGATGATACCATGAAATGTGTTGTGAGCAGTCTTCATAGCATATTTACAGAGTGTTAAATCACTTTCCCAGAAAAACAGACAGGATTGTGTTTTGGTCAGGTGAGGGAAAGGTGGTGGTAGGAAAAGCAGTCAGGCCAAAGCTATTGCCTACTGCCAGATAAGTAGAAATGCTCATTTTGCTTGACATGACTTTCATGTCATAAAAAGTGGAGGAGAGAATGAGACATGACAGTGAGTTGATAAGCGCTGTTCATCTTCACTCCTCTTAATTGCCTGCTGACACTTCGTGGGTAATGTTGAGCTCTTGTCCACCCTGCCATCCCTAGGAGATGTCAAGAGTTTGTTTCATCCTATGCATGTCCATGCCTGATCCTCTCAAAGAGCTGGACCATTGCTTGTTTGGAAGATGTCTGTAGAATCTACGCCAGCCTTATCTGAAACACCTCTGCACAGCAATCAGTCGAAATCCTAAAGTGCTCAGGAGATAGGTGATGCTGTCTCAGTTCTTGTCATGGAAGGTAAAAAGCCTTTCCATGATTCAAGAGAAACCCACCTGTGTTTGCAACCTCTCTCCTTGGCCAATTTAGTGGGCAGGGTCCATGTGTCTGTGGCACAGTGTGTACAATTTGTGGTCTGATAGTAACATGGAGGGTGTGCGCATCCAGTACGAGCCATCAGCTTTCTTGGAGCACTGTTACTGCATCTGCAAAGTTGTGGAATTACAGAAGCAGTGTTTTAAGCAGTCACCTCCTGAAACAGATTCCTTGAGAGAAATTGTTCAAGGAAAAATTATATTTGACTTGACTGTGAAGTAACATGCAGGAGGTTATTTAAGAAGTAATAATATCTGAGCCACTAAGTAATAGTGACCACAGTATAATTGCATTCTGTATCCTCAGGAAGAAAAGATACAGAGAACCACAACAGAATTATACAAAGCTGAAAGGAGATTTGAATTGAGTGAAGTGCATTAACAAGGAATTTTAGTTATGGTATTTTTACTTTTTCTGACAAAGTAACATGGTTATGTATTATGTGGAAGCTATTTGAGGTTATTAACAGAAGATATAGATAAGAATAAAATTAGAATCAGGGCTATAAGAAATAAAACAGCAAAGGTCAATAGGTTACTTTTTCAATAAGGGTTATGTTACCAATGCAAAGAGCCACATATGACAGCATGCAGTGAGCGAAAGGGGTATTAATGCAGTTGAGGTGGATTTCTAAGAATAGCTGTCCACTATTCAATACTCTGAGATGTATTGTGAAACTGTTTCACTTATTTGAAACAAAACTTTCAATATTGGGGGAAACATTAAAATGTAGCTGCATTTACAGATGATTTCCAAGCTGATAAACCAGGTATTCAGCTGTCATATGGTAGCATTCTCTTGGGTTTCTTGTTTTATATTAATATATTGCATTACTAATTGTTTATTAATAATATGGAAATTACCATGCACGAACTTAAATCACCATTGTTAGAACTGAGGTTCACAGTGTTACCCCGTATGAAATAGATAACAAGTAAATATTATTTCATGAAGAAGCAAAACCAATTCAAGAAATCAATATTTAAGTTGTGTTGTAAAACAGTACCCCTACTAAGATATAGAGGATTGGTGTGCTGTAACTGGGCTTGCATATTTTGAAATGCGTATGTTTCTAATGCTTGTTTTTCAAGGAATAAAATATTGGAATTAAAACAGTCTCGTAATATTTAGTGTACTTAAATTGTCTTTATTTATGCTTTGTACAGGGCCTAATACTATTAGCTGTTAAGCTGCTTCTATTATGGTTTGAATTTTTGGAGCCATGCAGTGTATCATTAATCCAATTGAATTTTTTGCAAAAGCAAGAAGACTTGCTCTTTGTAATGTTAATGACGTTGGGATGCATTTTGTAGCTCTGCAGTTTGCTTAATTTTTCTGCATTTCCTCCATTAACAAAAGAAGATTGTGAAGTGGCAAAAAGAAGATCGTGCATTAGCAAAAAAAAAAGTTCTCTATGTTGGTTTGTGTTATGTGGTTGGATATTTAGGCAATGTCTAGTTGCGAAGACAGTAATGTGTAAAAATATTTTATTCATTTATACTGACTGATTTTAGGATCAAGTCATGAGAATTTTCATTTATTGCTATTGTATTGTTATGTTTTCAATTGAGGTAGCTTTGTTCAATTTACAATGAAAAGTTGATCCTATCAACTTCACTGTTCACGTAATGGGAGGTAATGGCATAATCCAAATGAAGAAATAATGTAGATGCAGTTGCTGCTTTTGGTCCTGAGCTGGCTCACGTCTTGACTGAGCCCTTTGGAGCTTTTGGTTTTGGAAAAACTTGCTGACAGGAGCACCATGCGATGCAATCGTGCTAGCTCTGCTCTGCAGGTCCTGTAGCTCCATTCACACAGTGCTGTGCCTAAGTCAATAAGCCATGCTGGTTCCAAGCTAAGCCGTTTGAAAACCACTCCTGTGTCTCTGCATAGAGATTGTGGTATATCTGTAAACCAGGTGACCCAACATAAAAAGTGGAGAATTACTAGTAGTGGCCGTGGAACTGAAAGATGGTCTTCATTTTGTTTTGCATACAAAATTAAAAACACTTGGCAACTGCAGAGATTACGTGAGTCCTGCATTGCTATCACTTGTGTATCACACTTGCTCAGCTGTAAAGAGTAAAAATATGGAAAATTTTACTAAATTCTAGTCTGATAGCACTTTGCAGAACAGAGGGGGGTTTTTATCCACTTATTCAAAAGACAGTCTTGTTCAATGAGTTTCTCTTATTATTGTATTATATACTCTTTCATATGTATTATTGAGCTGTAAGTTTAGCAGCAGAAAAACATTGATATTTTGAGATAACAAAAAATGGGTTAATTTATTTTGTTCCTTCATTACATTACAGGTACTGTAAGAATTGAAATGTTCAGGAACATGCAAAATGCAGAAATCATAAGGAAAATGACAGAAGAATTTGATGAGGTATAGTATACAAATAGGTCTTCGAACATTATGAAATATATTACAATATACTTTTGTTTTAAAATAAAAATGCAATGGGCAAGAAACCAGTGGATAAGCAATGTCTCAGTATGAGAAATTGCATTGACAAGCAAAGCAGCAATTTAAACTATTGGATGAGGAATAACAAGCCAGCGTGAGCTTTAGGAAAGAATAGTAGTGGAAAACCAAAAAGTAATAAAATAATTTGAAAAGCTGGTTAGAGTTGCTCATCTTGAATAGCCAGTGTTGTGGATTGAGTAGGCTCTGGGTGCTGAAATACTGGTACTGAAAAGTTTGTGAATTAGCCAGGTTAAGGGCCTAAGTGTACTATTACACAAAAGCATGGAGCAAGTTCACATCCAGTGGTGTAAGAGAGCCTAGCCAGGCCTGACTCTGCAAGAACTAGCTTGGATCCCTGTTAGCCCTGGTCTGGATCCATGTAGAGCCTCATATATCTTTGTATGGCTTTAGGGATATCCTTGTCTGCCTGCTTCCTGGGTGTTAGAGAGGTTAATTACAGGAGGCAGTAAGAAGAACTGTGGAAAGTTTTCTCATCCCACTGAAATTGGTGGTGGTATTCTGGATTCTGAAGTTCACCTCTTGGAACTGTCATCACAGAACAAAGAACTCCAGATTCCCAAGACAGGACTGCAGGCTTGGCATTTGCAGCATTCTGCTCTGTTTTCTGTGTGCAAATTATGTTTTGTTCATTTGAAATGGCAATTTAAACTAAATAATAACTTGACATGAAAATTACAATTTAGGAACGGTGTTACAGAAGAAAATACTCTTTCAAAAGATCTAAGCATTTTGTTTGAAACAAGTGTATTACAATTCAGATTGGGTATCTTCTGTCAAAATGAAAATGTTCCTAATGGTGAATGCTTTTTAGCTTTGAGATTTTTCAAACTGTAATTTGTTTGATTTTTCATGTATAAAGAACTTAAACATTCTGAGTGTACATTTTGTATAGTGAGGAAAACAAATGCTGAAACATGATTTTTGTGTAGGACAGGAGTGTCTTTTTCTGACCAATTCTAAACAGAAAGCTAAGGCTGTGATTCAAAAAATTAAGCAGGAAAACTATAAATGTGAACACTGCTCTTTTTCACGATTTTATTCTGCAGGATTTCTATCTTGTTCATGGCCGTGAACAACAAACTGTTCAAGTATGTACTTAACTACGGCCGTGTGGATGCTCCTTTTGCTGTACTCAGGTATTCACTCAGGGCCTTTGGGTACAGGAGGAATAGGGTACAGTGAATAAAATGTAGGTGTACAATGGCAAATAAAAGGTTTGTATCAATTCATGCTACTTTCTGGCTGAAATAGTGTTGCTTTTTAAAACATCACCCAACCAAAGTTAATAAAATGCAGTGAATTTTTACTAGTGTAATTTGAAAGCAGAATTGGATATCATCTTCAGTCTAGCCCCATTGTACAAAATAGAATGGCCAAGGCACTGTCCAGAAGGCAAAGAACATTGATTTTGCCCAAGGGAGGATTGTCCCACACTTGTCCCACACTTGATAGAAGAAAGTATGTCTCAAAAAAACCTTTTCAAAAACTGTCAAAGTTTTTTCTCAAAGGCGAAGAAAACTCTCTTCCTTATGCACAGTATGAATGTACATACAAGTAACATATCTCAAAGAATTACTTACTAGTACATAACCTTTCATTCTCCATTACCTAAAACTTTTCTGAACTTCTGCATTTCTAACAGAAAGTTTCCATTCTAGCTTCTGCCTTAACACTTGAATGGATTTGTGAAAGAAATTGTGGGGTTTGGTATAAAAACGTGAAATTGTTAGTCTTATACCACAACTCAGTCAATACTTTGAAATCTGGAATAAACTCATACCCTGTTAGCAGTGGAAAATATTTTAGAATTTAGTGCAGTTTTCAACCGCTGTTCATATATCAGATCATCACAGCATAGTAAGCTTATAATTGTTGTATGGCCTATTTGTTCATATTGCTAGTCATAATATTTCAGATTGGTCTGTGCCTAAAAGGATGTCATAGTCACAAAAAATACAAGCTTTGAGAATAAGAGCAGCTTACATGACTGTTCAGGGTAAAACACATAATGAAACAAACAAACAAAATCTTTTTCAGTCTTCAGCAAACTGTAAACTTGCAGTTGCAATTGGCATAGTGTTAGCTCACTTCTTGGCCCTCTGCTTTGTGTCCACCACTTCAAGATTCAGAACGACAATCATTTGTTTCTGGGAGAGCTGTAGGTGAGCAGACACCATTTGCCACTGACAGTCCTTTGACTAAAGGCAACTCAAGCTAAATTCAGCAGATCTGCATGATCCTTCCTAACCTTTCTTTTCTTGCTGGGGAAGGGAGAAGAGAACCCAGGCAGATCTACTTCTTGCCTCCTTTCAGCAGTGCCATTGGCTGGGCTCCCTGACTCTGTGCAGACTGACTAGACTGCTTCCTTGAGTCCATACTGCCACTGAATTTTTTTTTTTTTTTTTTGGTGAGTCTATAGAAAGCAATAAAAGAAAGGAGCCAGGAGGAGACCAACAGTGCTGGCTGGACCAGGTGGTCATAACATTATCTAAGTAAAGCACCACCATTTTCTACACAGTTGAGGAACAACCCTCAATTCTTCATTCTAAATATCACTGTTGGCATTTCACCTGTAGTACCTCTTCCAGTACCCCAGGACTCCCAATGTCCATCCCCTCTGTGTCATCCTGAGACAAAGCACTTGCTGAGGGCTGTTGCCACCACAACATTTCCCTTGCCCTGCTGTCCTCTCATGCACCTAAATCCAATGTCAGTCCATGAGAAGGTAATGGTCTGACTGTGTGGCAGTGAAGGAGGAGGAGAGAGTGAGGCTCTTGTCAAAATAATTAGGCCTATCTACCAGCCCAACCTACCTTCATTGTCATCTTTAGACTTGCCATTTTCATTTCTACAAGCCTAGAGATAATAGGGAAATAAAAGTACAAGTGTAGTATTAACTAGGATAAAATCTTGCATTATCTGTTCATTAGCACATTATACTGCCCAGAAAATATCTTAATCTCCATTGAAGATGTTCAGATTTGCTACTTTCTTTACTTTTTCAAGATCATCGCATTGTTCTGTCAGTGCTGCAGTAATCAGCTGGCTGCTGGTCCTAATTTCTGCATTTATGGCAGGGACTGAAGCACTGATTTTCATGATCTTGGGTGGAGGAACAATTGTGCAGGACTGAAATGATGGAAATAACAGGTTCAGTTTGAAACAGGGAATTCCATGGACATCCATCTGCTGCACTGTTTGGGTGATTGGCTTATGAGTACAGACATTTTATAGAACAACTCCCTCATAATTCTTGTGCTAGAGTAAGCAGGTGAACAAAAACTTGTTTTAGTTTGAGTTTTCTAACCATTGGACCACCAAGTATCACATGTCAGTGTCACTGATGTATGACACTTTTATTGGTATTCAAGAATAAAAGATCGAATAAAGTGGCTTTATTCAAAATTTATTCTTCCCACTTCAGCCAGATGAGATGTTCTTGGTGCAGTCTTCACATGCTTTTTGAAAGGACTGTCTAATATCTAATTGTAGGTTAAAAATACATCATATAAATGTGAGTAGTTACACACAGCACTAGAGGTTCTGAGGATCTATTCCAAAATTTAGATATACATACATCTAGGAAGCATATATTATGTATGTAAGTTCACATGCAGAGTTCCCACAGGTACTGTGCAGCCAGTGACTTAGTCTGGAGGTTGTTTGTGAAAATAAGGTATAAGCAGGTAGAAGAAGAGGAGTCTGAGGTATTCATATGGAGTTACTGTCAGGAAAACATTGAGGATAAAGCTTTAGCATTTTAATTTCAGTCCTAAATTTAAATAAATATGAGACTAATGCAGGGCTTGTATTTACATGGCAAGACACTGTACCTTACTGAAATTCACTGATGAGCATTAGGCATAAACAGACAAAGAACAGTTTGAAACACATGGCACAGTTAATGATATTGCTACATATTTTAGACTGTGTTATCTGGGTTTCTACTACAAAACGATCTGATCTAATTCAAAGAAGTTCTGAGGACTCATAGCTACAATTGAACATGCTAGGAGATGTCTTTATGTCAGGAGCTTTACAACCCTCTGAATTGTTTTTTTTAAACCAAGCTCCTATTTCTCTCAGATTGGCCATTCAAAATTAGAAGTAAAAATATTGCTCGTTAAGATCATGTCATTCACCATTTTAATGAATGAGAGAGTAAGGTCATTAAGAGTGCCTTATAATTTTGTCTTTTTCTAATATTTGAGCACTTGTCTTTGCAATTTTAATCGTTATTTTAGTATGATTGAAATGTGTGTGATTTGGTTAAATTTGATAGGGTTTTTTGCTGCAGGGGAATATTTTTTATGAAGTTTAGGTAAAAGGTTATTTGATTAGAGCTCCTCGACACTTACGTTACTGGCTTTATATGGTTCAGTCTGAGCGGTAAGACAAGTCCCAAGAGAACAGAAGTGCTCGTTCTTCACAGTAGCACAGAATAAATATGTACAAATGGATTTAAATTTGATACTACTGACTTCTTATCTTGGCAGAGAGATTCAGGATGGAGCATTATTGCCTTGATATTTTGGATAATCTGGAATTGGCTTACAAATCAGGTGACCAGGGAGATTAAAGATAATCTTTTTCACTGAAGGGGAAGAAAGCATTTTCTAATGCAGGGAGGGGGGCAGTCCCACTGAAATGCAATATTGCTTGAAGTGAGAACAGAAAGAGCAGACTTGGAGAGGAGTTAAACTTAAATGAACCGAGTGTTCACATGCCTGCTCCAATCTTGCAATAATCTTTAGAAGATGGGAGTGTATGAAACTGTATGGGATACATGAATCTGTAGTAAAATTTCCATTACGTTTATCAGAAGGCAGGTTTTACCACTAGAAAAAGGGTAAGTTTATAAGATTAATAAAAAGGCAGTACTGACTTTCTGATAAGATCTCAATTGTAAACTTGAGTAAAGCAAAGTTTGTGGGGAGGGGCATTCAGTTGATTAGAATATTAATGTGGAGTTGAAGTGGGGATGGAGAATGACACAAACTTTCAATCACACAAGCCTTTCTTTAGGTTTTGACCTTAAATACTTAGAAATATTCCTTTCTCATTGTCCTGGTTTCGTCTGGGTTAGAGTTGATTGTCTTCCTGGTAGCTGGTGCAGTGCTATGCTACTGAACTTCGCAGTTCAGTATGCGAAGAATGTTGATAACACTGATGTTTTCAGTTGTTGCTAAGTAATGTTTAGTCTAAAGTCAAGGATTTTTCAGCTTCTCGTGCCCAGCCAGGGAGAAAGCTGGAGGGGCACAAGAAGTTGGGAGGGGACACAGCCAGGGCAGCTGACCCAAACTAGCCAAAGGGGTATTCCATACCATGTGACGTCACATCTAGTATATAAACTGAGGGGAGAGGGGAGCGGAGGGGATTGCTGCTCGGGGATTAACTGGGTGTCAGTTGGCGGGTGGTGAGCAATCGCACTGTGCATCATTTGTATATTCCAATCCTTTTATTATTACTGCTGTCATTTTATTAGTATTATCATTATTAGTTTCTTCTTTTCTGTTCTATTAAACCGCTCTTATCTCAACCCATGAGTTTTACTTCTTTTTCCGATTTTCTCCCCCATCCCACTGGGTGGGGGGGGGAGTGAGTGAGCGGCTGTGTGGTGCTTAGTTGCTGGCTGGCATTAAACCATGACACTCATCCTTTCCCCCCACTTCCCAACCCAGGACACAAGGAAAAGAATTGAGTCTTGATGCACATTTTGGACTATACAGAGCTAATATTGCAAGTCTAGAACAGTTATAGTGAAGTCTTTGAAAAAGTGGTTTCATGCCAACAACCTTCTTCGTTTGTTGAAGAATAATTTGTTGTTTTTGTTTAGTCTCCATTGGCTTGAAGGAGAAAGTGTTTAGCTTAAAAACTTAGACCATGATGGCTACAACAACATCAAAATAAATTAAATACGGAGACTTTTAATACTTAATATTTTCATTTTCTTGTTCTTCAGGACAGTGGTGATTATCCACTTACGATGCCTGGGCCACAGTGGAAGAAGTTTCGATCCAACTTCTGCGAGTTCATTGGAGTGCTCATTCGACAGTGTCAGTATAGCATCATTTATGATGAATACATGATGGACACAGTGATCTCTCTTCTGACTGGTTTGTCAGATTCCCAGGTCCGAGCTTTCAGGCACACCAGTACATTAGCTGGTAAGTAAGCTAGTGCAGAGAAGAGTTTTTTCAAAGGAGTTGCTACTATTTAGCCACTTTGAGGATTACTCCTAATTTTGATTGAGGTTGAATTTGACCAGCACTGAGAACTCTGGAAAGCTTGATCAAATCCAAGTACCATATATGGTATAACTATACTTAAAATACACTTTTTTGTTTGGAAAGGAGTATGCTGAGGCATTTAATCTCAGAGATTCCTGTCATACCCAGGGCTTCCAGTGATACTGTGAATCAAAAGTGGCATGCTTATGTCTTGTATTTTGTTATTAGTTGTTCATTTGTTGTATAGAATGTCTTCATAATTTTGTATTTTAGAGTACAAATTTATTCTAAATAAGTGTCAAGAAAATTGTATTATCAAAGAATTTCAGTCCACTGAAAAATAAAATCTGTGCCTTCACTCTTGAGAAGCATTAAGTTTGGGAGCACTGTGCCATAGTTGTAGGTCTCACTGTCTTCTACCTTAGCCGCACTGCACCTTTCAACACACCTGCCTACATCTGAGGAAAGCACTGGGTATATCATTAGATGGAAATAGGCTTTTCTAGAATGTATTTCATCAGCCCTATATGAGATGTCTCTCGTAAGATAGGCGAATTGCTCTCTAGGAGTAACTGGTTTTCTCCAATTGCAAAGCAGTACTAGGAAGGCTAGCTTGGATGTAGGTGTCTAAAGCTGGTTATGTCAGGTGATATCTTTCTGCTCATCTCATGTGCTGAAATACATCTTATAGGAAGATTCTTCTCCCTAGACTGTTCATAGATCATGCCAAATATTTGAAGCCTTTATAGGAGACATTTGTCATAATTGGAATATTTCTACTGCCAATATTTGTTTTTTGTTAGTTAGTCTTTCCACAATCAGTGTCTTATAATTTTGTTCAGATTTCCAAGTGTAATACCCAGTGTTCAACAAATTCAATCAGAATTTGTTTAAAATTTCATCTCGTGCTATGAATCTAAGAGGCAGATTTCCAATGATACTGAAGAACCAAATCCAGATTTGATTGGAGTTTGATTTTAAAATTGAAAACCAAAACCTTCAACTCACAGTGGCTGAACTCTTTTGGAAACCTATCCCCTTGCATTCTTCACCTTACTCAGTAACAGGATGGTAAAAACATGAGTTATGTAGGTGTAAGTTTCCAGGTTTAGAGTTTGCCTCTACCTATTCAGTATTCAAAGATAAACACTACTTGAGCTGCAGATAACCCGCTGGAAATTTGTATCTATTATTTAAGCTGAGATGGAAACTGTATTCCTTTCCAGCTGATACTGACTATCTTCAATTCCAGGCAATGTTGATTTGCTATTTGCTTAGATTGTGGTTGATTGTTTCACAGGAGAGAGATTATGGAGTGAGGTATGCACTCTGATCTCTTTTATTGATTGGTTCATCCTTGTGTGGGACAGATGTTTGGAAAGTATGAGAGGCTTGAAGGAAAAGACAGGAAACAGCACCATACATTAGAGAAGTTATGCAAGACCTGTGCTATGTGGAAGAAATAGTTGCCATCATTTGAAATGGATTATGTAGCTAGAAACTTCAAGCAAGGATAAGCAAATGTAAAGCCAAGGTTCATCACAACTAGCTTTGGTTATTTAAGCCACTGCTGGCTTCTCGCATTAGATATACATGTATCTAGTGCTTACATTAGGAATAGGAGCTGCCAAAGATCCCCAGTGTTTTCCAGTGATAATACATGCCGTTTATTTGTTTGTTTGTTTGTTTTAACAAGCTTGAGAGCTTTGTTTTGATTCTGCAAATTTCCTTCAAGCTAGTCTTCACACATTTAATGAAGTTGCTATCCTGCAGAGCAGAGGTCAGTATGATGCCATGGAGCTCAGTCTTGATAAAGTTCATGAAGATCTACATTTAGAATTGCATTTATTCTTGAAGGAGTGTTTCTGAGGTCTTTGTTTTCAGTTTTCCTCTGTGCTAGCCAATTTGTATTAGAAATGATTCACTATAGTAAGAAACTTAAGGCAAGAAGTACATGTAGGTGCTTCTAGAGTTACCAGCTTTGAGCAATAGCAAGATAAGACAGAGCTACCATAAGAGTAGCTTCAATTCTTCATTTGTATAGTTGCTTTTCTACCTTGAAGACAATGCTGCATATTTAGTCAGTGAGGATGTGATAGGTTCTTATGTTATTTTGCTGTTTTTTCAGTATTGTAAAACGTGATGTGCCATGTCTCCACACAGAACATGGGAAAGACCCTTATTAATGTTTTTGTAAACATAAATTAAGACAGAAAAATATACATGAAAAATATTATATCCAGCATGTGTGAAAATGCATATAAAGGGGTACATAAAGTTCTAATCATATCTTTATACAACTATACACTTTACTTTAGAGTGATGTCAGACTTACTTTCAGAGAAACAGTGCAGTGGTCCCTTGTAAATTGAGTAATCCTCAATAGCTATTGGTTAAGAGTTACCCATAGTATGGAGGCATCTACAATGATACTTAATGTTTCTTAGTAGAGAAATGTATGTAATTCCACAGTAACAGGCTTTGTGGTGTACACTGATCCTGCAGATTCATATGCTTGCTCACTGACCTATGCATTCAGAACTTGCATAATTTTCTGGAGAAGATGGCAAAGAACATTGCCGGGAGCTCAATGCAGTATATACACTCTCTTTTCTGATCTTTAGATCAGCCAAGTGACCTGAGTATTGCTTGGGTGGGAAGGGCCTTTCCATATGGCTTTGTGTCAGGGTCAAGTTGTTTTCTGTGAGTATGGATCTGCTGAGGCAATATTTTTTAACTGTGACTACAGGTAAAGAGTCATATTCTGTCTTCTGCCTTTGCAGCTATGAAGCTTATGACTGCTCTTGTGAATGTTGCCTTAAACCTGAGCATTCATCAGGATAATACACAGAGGCAGTACGAAGCTGAGAGAAACAAAATGATTGGCAAAAGAGCTAATGAAAGATTGGAACTGCTGCTTCAGAAAAGAAAAGAGGCAAGTGAAAAGATGATTTTTTTTCCTGATTCATGTGTATTCCCTCCAACAGGAAGTCCAGGGTGGTTAGTAACTTGAGTACCATAGTAAGAAACAAAAGATTAGTTCTGCAGTTGTGTTCGTGTGATCTCAAGCATATTACTGCGGCTACATTTTTAAATCTTGTATTAAGACATTCAGTTGAGTTTGTGTGCTGTTCTGCATGCACAGGATAATTTCTATTCTCAGGCTTGTGTATATGACTAGGCAGGAAGAAAATCAGTCTCAAGTTGTAAGTAGTAACTATTTTGGTTATGGAAGAAGACTTTTGAAAGAGGATCACATGTAGTCCCTCACTGCACTGCCCATTTCTCCCTTTGATCACTGCAATTATTACCTAGTTTCTCATTAGTACTTCTTTTTGTAGCGACTTTCAAGAAACACTGTAGTGGGGGCTATAGCACCTGCTCTCAGGGAAAAGAAGCTAGGGAGACATTAAAGTCGCTTTTAATAAGTACCAGTCTGGCATTAGGTGAGCAAAATCATTAGGAGGTTGCTGTAATCATCCCTAAGTAAATTATTATATCCCAGGAAATTCAGTTTTAGAGTTGTACTTAAAAGAAATTTGAAGATGACAAGTAAAAAATGAATACATATACATCCAAACAGCCATAATCTGTAAAGATGCCATGTAAAATTTGTGAGATTGATTGAAAAATTGAAGTATATATGACTTAGATTCAAAGTTATTATGTTTAATATATTAGTTTTTAATATATTTCCTCCACCACTGTTTTACTCCATGGCAGATTAAGGATGTCTGGGTGCTTTATCTGCATGCACCTTGGATTCTTTTAGGTATAACTCTGACTCAGATTTGCTTGACTTTATAGCCTTTGTCTGGGGATAATTACAATTAACGTTTTTTTATTTTTATTTTACCCCTACAATCCGTAACACAATTTTATTTGGCTTTCATAATTCTTAAAAATCATGCATTAATGTAAAAAGCAAGAACAATCTCTCCTGCCCAAACTGCAAGGGAAACATTTTAATTTAAATATTAAATTCAATGTCAGCCTTAGAGCATTTTAAAAAGGAAAATTGCTTTGTTAAAATAGCTGGAGAACAGTTCCTATTCCAGATTTGTTGATTGTTGCTTTGAATTTCCAGAGAAGGAAAAAGTCACTAATTACACTGATTAACTGGGTTTAGTATCTCTGTGTCTATGGACACCCTCTATACTCATTCCTTCAGCTGTTCTTTTCAATGTCTTTTGGAGATGCAATATATAATTTGAAGCAATGATACCCAGGCTAGCATGGAGCTGTGAAACCCTGAAAGAAGAATGAGCATTTGGCAAACCTTAGTTTTTGATATGTCTGTGCAGTCTCTCTCATATCACTACTCACTAAAACTAATCAAAATGTTGCATAGGAGTAAGCCAGGGAAGAGTGGTGATGATTAAGTCCTCAGATACATGGTGTTAAGCATATAGAGGGCTCTGTATAGAAGGCGTTTATTAGGTTTAGATGGCATAATGGTTCTGTGTAAGAATTCCTAACATAATGCTGTATATTTCCCATGTTTAAATATGCTGAATTTACAATAGTATCCTGTGCTGGCACTTTCTTAGTTGATGCTTTTGATGTAGTGCCATCATAATAAACCCTCATGGGCACATACCTGGGCATGTGTTTATCTTCATGAAGTTATATAGGGACAGTTCGCAAGCTAAGTGTGGCAAATTAATCTGAAGTAGAAGAGATGGAACACTGTCTCCAAAGTGTTTCATTCTCATGTCATCTTCAACATACCTAATGTGACAGCAGTGCGTGAATGTCTGTTCTCATCAGTGAGATTTTCAACTAAACTGCATGACTTATGTAACAATCCACCACAAAATAGAGGAAGTTGTGTTTTAGTTGCTGCCAGTAGTAATTCAAATTTTGTGTTTGTCATACATGTCTTTTTGAGCTTCTCAAAATGCTTGCAGAGTCAAGAAGAGAACATTTCCCTTATTTTTAGTTAGGTTTAAGGGGGTGTGTGCTAAATCACTTCTGCATTGGTAAGAGCAGGAATCCTGAGACACAAATGCACTCTCAAGATGCCTGAACTTAAGCGCTCAAATTCAGGTACATGATCTAGAAAAACTGAAAGTGTAAAAGGCAATTAAAGTTTTAGAGAAAATTCATATTTTTCAAAGAATTGTTAATTCATTACTGAAACTAAGATACATTTGAAAATTGTATCTTTTCAATGTTAGCACACAAAAGTAAAAGGGATCTCACACGGGCCTGCTCAATCTCTTGATTCTCCTTCTCCACCAGCTTTGCCCCAGCACCTGGATCCCCATATCAGTTATATAGCTGATAACTTACCATGTTTATAGTGAGCTGGAAATTCCCTGTAGAAAAGCAGGAAAAGAGGGAGGAAGCCACCCAGGCTGTACCCTCATCTATGACACTTAGTCTTGTATGGTGCTGCTCAACTTCTTATTCAAAGAAATGTCAAAGTACACTTTTCTTCAGTATCCTAACCTTCTCGTGGCTCATAAAGTTCAGTCTCTCCTACGTGTCTTCTGTGGTGTGTTTTTATATTAATGTTTCATACCCAAAGTTCCCCAGGAGCTTCCCCTTTCCCTTTCAGGGCCTCATTAATTTTTCAGAAAGCCTGCTGAGGCTTCTTGGTTCATTCCCACCCTCATTTTACTCCGCAGTCTGTGCTAGGTTGTCTCTAGCCCCGTGTTTTTGTGGATATTTGCCTGCCTGTAGCCTGTGAAGTCAACCAACTGAGGAGTGATTAGAACGTCACACTCCTTTTTAGGTTATGTATTCTTGAACAAGCATTTAGTCTGTGCGTATTTGGGTTGAGCCGATGCTGAAAATAATGCTCGTCCCAGAAGCCATGTCTAAATATGCTTGTTTTGTGTACCAGCCCTTTAGTATATGCAGAGCTGGTGTGCACCCGACTTCTCCCTTTGTACATAGTCCCTTATACTATGAAATTAATTTATTTTGCAGGTGTTTGGCAATTTAGTGAAGAACCCTCAATACCTCAGTTTCCCCACATGCAAAATGGAGACAGCAGCTCCTTACATTTTAGGAAACTGGGAGACTTCATTTACTGAGTTTTGCGAGCTATTTTAGATCTCATCTGGAAGATACTGTAGAAATATTTATAAACATGGCTGGAAAAATATAAACCCCTAGGTGAAAGTGTTTATGAGCTCATGCTATGCAGGAAGTTGAAACAGCTGATCATAATTCTGCCTCTGGCTTTAAGATGTTTTATCTGTTAAATATGTATGTCCATGATTATACAGGTTTTATTATTTTATGCATATATGCACTCTGTACTAGCAAGGCTCTGTTGCGGTTTTCATACTGAAAATGTGGAAAAATTTGCATTCACATATGTTGTGGTATTCTGCTTTGACATTAAGAAACACCTTGATGGAAGAATGATGGCTTTGAATGTAGTAGCAGTTCTGCTCCAAAAGTTGTTGTATGAAATTAGTGTCATCTTATTTAGCAAAACTGCATTTTGGTGTAATTAAGTCATACTTATTTAGTTTAATACAAAAGCTGACAGTATGAGAATACTTTAATTGATTCCAAGATGTTCCTTTAGGATGTGTTAACATATTCATTGACACAAAGTAAGCTTTCCATAGTACTTAGAAAATGTGCTCATACTACACAGGAAATATTAAGTTTTTTAGAAAAACACTCTTATTTATAAAAAACATGCTTATAACACCTTTTTAATTTGGGTTTGGTTTGGTTTTTTGCAATCTAAGGCCTGGATGTCAGGTGTGCTCCAATGTTAAGCACCCATGCTCTGATTCTGGAAAGCTCCTGGTTCAGAAATTCAGCTATCATGGGCGCTGAAGTTAAAGCAACTGACACTCATACTTAAGATTGAGAACATCTTTAAGTACTTCCCTTAAATAGGAAACTGAATTTTTCAGAGGGGATTCCTGATCTGTAACCAGCTTCATTTCTGCAGCTGTCATTCACTCACAGTTCTGTTTAACTACGAATACAAGACTGCTGACAGTACTGAACACATAGTCTCTACTTTTCTAAATTTCAGTAGCAAAAAAGTGGTGATGACCACTTCAAAGGACTAATTTGAAAATAAATTAATTGATGTTTGTAGAGAACGTTAACTTTCTTCCATTAAGGCATTGCATATATATATGTATATATATGTATGTATGTGCACAGAATATAGGCATGTGCTGGAAAAGTAGAAAATGGTGAATCTACTAATACCTTTAAGTGCTCTTCCATGGTCTTCTAATGTTTCCCAATAAGGAATTGTAGAATATCAAATTATAATAATCTTTTATTTATTTTTGTTTTGCTTTTTTTTTCCAGCTACAAGAAAACCAAGATGAAATTGAAAATATGATGAACTCTATTTTTAAGGGTATATTTGTTCATAGATACCGGTAAGAAAATGCATGCTACGGTAGACTCTGCTAATAAAGTATGATCATAAATAATGTCAAGGGCGATTTCTGTGTTGATTTTTGTTCTGATGTAATATTCTAGATGCCACAAAAGCAGTATTAAAAACACTGAAGTTATGAAAGAAAATGTAAGTTTAACCCCTATTCATTGCACAGTAGACCATCCACGCAACTTTATTGTAATTCAGTAAAACAGCTTTAAAGAGTTGTGGGAGACATGGAATTTGAATCTTTGTGTTTTGAAAAGTTGTCCAAGGTGGGAGCACAAACATGACATATCTTAAGAATAATCATATGATCACTGCATATCGTAAGAGGGCAGTTTTGGTTACTGACGACCTCTAATCTGCATTTCCTTTTGTAGGTCTTAGGTGTAAACAGCAGATTTCTGATGTTTGCACCATATATGCTTTAGCCACAGCTACAACTTTACTTTAGGCTTTTTCCTCCTTAAATTACATAAAGGCAATCAAAAGCCTTCATTCCAGTTAACATGTATTTTTCATTTGTGAATTGTTTTGGATGTTTGTAGCAAGAACGTTAAAAACTAATTGTGGTGTTAGCACATCACAAAGGTTTTTTTTAATAGTTAATATGCTATGTCTTGTGAATACAAAACCACAGCACGTTATATATATTTGTGTGTGTGTGTCAATGTGCACATGCGTGCACTTCTGTTTATTTTAGAATTGCACAAAGCATTGGATTTGGAGTGGTGCATGCTATTTTGGAGTGTGGTTTATCAGAGAGCAGTAACCTTAAAATAGATTTAGTGTTGTTTTGCATCACAAGATACATCAGAGCATCTGCAGCATCTTGGTGCAACCAGCTCTTTAAATGTTAATTGACTTATGAAGTCAAAAGATAAAATTCAAGGATACTAAACTATGCAATTAACCTTTCAGATTTAAATTGTGGTTTAAAACTTTATCATTTATGAAATCTTTTAGACAAACGGCAGAAAACAAGACGGTGTATGAGAAGAGGGTTAGAAGGTGAAGAGGAACCCATAGTTCAGTTGGGCAGAGGGATTATTGTAATTACGGAGAAAAGCATGCAGGAAGCTTGGAAGGGGCTCGTGCTAAGAAATATGTGAGTGTGAACAACACAGTGGAGTTGAAGTATGTATCTTCAGTAACCAAGCATGATACTTGAAAGAAAATTTATAGTTTATGGTCAGTAAGCCTTGAGCTACTTGGCAACGGAAGAATACGTATACAGAGTCAACAGGCAAATTAGGATATTAGCTCAGTATAGCACTCAGACAATTTTGGTATGACAGCAGTTTTTATGGCATGTAGGTAATGAAGTTGAAGAAATTAAATGCAAGGAGTGTTTCCATTTTGTCCCTTCAGAATTTAGTGGATTGTATCAAACAAGGAGTCACTTTAAAATATTTTCCTAGTAGCTCATGCTCTTGTGTGGGGTTGGAAAAAGACTCTACCTTTTGATGGTCTGCATGCTGTTTCTTTTTTTTCTTTCTTTCTTTCTTTCTTTCTTTTTAAATCCTCCTTTTGTAATCAAGGTTTCTTTTCATGCCTCCTGCCACCATTAGTAAAAGCCTGATTTTGCTGATATTGCTGTAACAAAGGAGAGGCCAAATAAATAAACTCTGATTATCCGTGCCCTGAAAAAAGATGCCCAGGCTGACACTGTTAGGCCACTGAAGAATTTGCTGATATGAGTCAAGTAGTGGTGTTCTCTGAGCGAGGTGGGTGGCACCACTTCTGCGCTGTTCAGAGAGGGTCAGAAGAAGTAACTTCTTCCAAGTCTGCCCCCAAGAGCCACTTTTGTGAGGAGTCATCATCTCTTTGGCTTCCTTAAGTTCTGTGAAGCTCCTAAGAGAGTCTGTTAAAACATGTACTCGAATGTGAGTAATCTGCAGACAACAGATACCATAGATTCAAATTTCTGCAGTCACAGCTGTGCGAGAACATATAGGGGGAAAAAATACCTGTATTAAAACCAGCTGATTGATGAGAAAACCAGGGCTGGAGTGGGGAGAAAAAAGGAAATGATTTCCAACTGTTATATGCTTCCATAATGTTTCTGAAGCATTCCTTCTCTCAAATAGTTCAAATGAGTTATAAAGTTGACATCATTTTACAGTCCTTAGACCATGCACAAGTGATAATGATTTCAAAAGAATGTTATTTTAATTATTCCCAGAGAATAAATCCCTTTCCATAATATGATTCAGACTCTGCCACAGTGATTCATGCTTAGTGACCTTTGTAACTTAAATAGCAAGTCCTTGATCTAAACAAAAAGCCACCAAAAACTGTTTCACTCAGAATGTAGCTGTCTTCATACTAGTAAGCTAGTGTTGCAGTTGAGGTTACATCTTCTTTCTGTAGGTTGGCTTCCAATTTACTGGAATATTTCAATGCTCCCTTCTCACAATGAAAAAAAAAATTTTGCAGAAATAGCTAAGCAATTTTCTAGGTGTAATGTTAGTCTAGTGTTAACAGCAGATGTAGTAAAAAATTGAGATATTCTTAATAAACATGCAGGTGTTCCTACCTCATTGCATATTTCCATATCTTTTTCCTGAATCACTTTTTCTGACTGTTTTTATGTTGCTTTATAACACATTTAGTTGTTTATTGATTTTTTTTTTATCGTGTCTTAAACTGAGAGTTAACATAAAAGGGGAGACGTAAGAGTAAATTCAGTTAGAGTCAAGTTGCTGAGCTCGTGTTGGTGAGTATAAAACCAGCGGAGGTGGTCACTATGGTAAATAGCACTGCAAGGCCACGAGGGTAATCAGACTCTGGAACAGGTTGTCCAGAGAGGCTGTAGAATATCAGTCCTTGGGAATACTCAAAAATTGATTGTACAAGGCACGTGTAGGGACTTGGATATGGTGATGTTCAGAAATCCTAATCTCAAAATAACCGGTTGGGTGTCTGTATGAGTAATACTTTTGTTATGTAGTAGTGAGATACTATATACTGGTAGGTCAGGGATCTTAAAAGTAACTTTTTTTTTTGTCTGAAGTTAAACAAGCTGAAAATTGCTTGCTGGGTACCTGCATATTAAAAAAAAAAGAAGGAGGGAAGGCCTATTTCTTCAATTCAGTTGTATCTGCATATCAGAGATTACTTTGAATCTGAGATGATTGCCACATAGCTTCTCAGATGTAAGAAGTATTTATAAAATGTTCAGCACTCTCAACCGTTACCTGAGATGTCAATATTTTGGTTTTGCTACTTCCTTGCTTTTGACTTAGCAATGTGCATCCAGACACATTTCCCTTTCAGAGGGCAAGATTCAGAGAATTCTTATTTGAGTCCTACTTCATAATACCTTTTTGTTTTGAATGCTCAAAGAGCTATCCTCCAGGTGTGAATGTCCAGCAAAACACAACTATTACAATTTTAACTTCTGGCAGACCTGAATGGGGATCCTCAGACTGATGGGCATGATGGTTTTGTGAATTTATGCAATGTAGTGAGCCTGTCCCGAGGTATTATTTTGGCAGTACTGATAGTTAATGTAAAACTTGCCAAATCTAGATACCATCTTTATGGAGAAGATGCTTCTATCTCCTTTCAAGGTGCTCCTTTCCCTCCTACTGAGTAAATGGGATGGTGGTGACAAGTTACATGTGAGTTCCACTCTGGGAAACAAGAGTGTTGCATGAAAAAAAGTGAGAGGGGATATTAGATGGAAGTCTGGTAAGACTGCGACGAGCAAAAAACCAGTCAGCACAGGGAAATGAAAATCCAAACAAAACCATAGAAAAAGCCTTTTCCCTCCCCCATAAACGTGTTATCCCAAGGAGGTGAAACATATATCTTAGGTGGCAAGAAAATTCGTTACATTTTTACATATATTGAAAAAACAGATAGAAACTACTGAGACTGTAATAGGCATGAAAAAAAAGAGAAAGGCAAAAAGTTACATCTTTGTACTTAAATGAATTTGACCTTAATATTAAGTTTAAAAACACATACTGTTCCCTTTCCCACAAAGCCATGTACCACACTTCATATAAGCAAAGGTGTTAGTATGGTGAGTCTTTGAGAAACACTGTTTTTAGGGATACATAGAGCTACATCTTGAAATTCAAGTCATGCCTTCAAACAATACAATTCCTTGGTCTGGCAAGAACGTTGAATAATTAGCTTAGTAACACATTATTGAAATAGCTATTTAAGTAGCACTCTGTAGAATTACTTAGAAATGCGAGTGCTGCTTACCACCCCCTCCCAGGAGTGGGATATGCAGCGAGCATTCACCAGTGTGAATTTTGGAATTGGGCTCTGCACACTTATTTTTCTTACCCTTCTTCCATTATGGGGTCCTAATTCAGGTCCAGAGATGAGAGAGTGGTAGAAAAGACATTTTCTCTACATACTCAAAATGTTTCGAAACTGTCAAGCAGCCCCAGAGACAGGCATAGTTTGGCCCAACTGGCAATGGTATATTATTGTAGAGCTGCACCATTTCATGTCCCTTGACTGGGAATTTGAGATTCCATCTCAAAGAATGCCAAAGGCAGGTGGGTGACCCTTGTTTCTGTCTTTGTTAGAAAGTTTTCTCATAGACTAACTCTTATCTAAATCCATTGACTAAAACATCTTTTTTTTTCTGTTCATATCCAATTTGCATGTTGAGTAATATCATGTTCTTCTGAAGGTTATCTGTAGTTCTCTCTGTCTTAAGAGCGAGATGTGAGAGGCAACAACTCCCAATTGTTATATCAGGCATGCAGACATGCAATAAGAGTGTAGCCAGGCATTCTTTAGGAGCTTCCAAGAAATCTTGAAGCAGTTACTGCTCTGCTAGTCATCTCCATCACTTGCCTTGGGTGTTTTCCCTGAACACTGGTAATACTTTAAGGATTTATGCATCCACTTCAGTGTGTATCAGCCAGGTTAGCTTAAATTGCTTTCAGTTTTGGTCTTGATTAATCTAAATGAGTTTGTGATCAGACAACAGACTGAGAGAACCCAGGAGCTAGAACTGGCAACCACTCCAGCAAGACCCTGAAGAGCATACCAGTCTCCACCTGACATATCCCAATTATCCTTTATAGACTCTATGTTTCAGGGTCCTAAGTACTTTTGGCCTTAATCAGAATACATGAGTGTAATTTAGCATGAAATATATGCTAAAATGGCACTGTTTCAGAGAAACAATCAACTAGTAAAGCCTATTTCCTGACACTGTTTGCTATGGTTTGTCCTAGGTTTTATGGGCCTGCCTTGTCAACCCAAAATTTTAAAAGGAACCAGTGAATTTCTTACCTGATCCCTTTTTGTCAAATCTCTTTACGAAGCTGCATCATGCAGGGTCTCTTTACTAAGAGTAGGAATATAGGTTGTGAATTTTGCTGCAAATAGTTTGCTAAGTGTTTCCTATTCACTGCATAGAAATTACTTTGTAGTTTGCTGACAAGAAGATTAAATATATTTTATGTCTAATATTTGTAGATCCAGCATTAGTTTTGGATTCCGTGCTGGACTAGATTCTGTACCTTTCTAGAAGCATTTGGCAAGTAATACAAACTTACGTCACTAATTTATAATTACTTCCAATTCTGGTATGATTATTATTTATGTGTTCTTGTGTCATCCACAAATAGTGTATATTTTCAAAAAAAAATTCATAGCGACTATGACAAGAAGCTAAAATATATTTAAGTGTGTAAAAATTGTAAGAAAAGAATTATAGTTTAATAACAAGCAATTGATCACATGCATAGCAAAGTTATAAAGGCATTTTGGCTATATTGTGTTTGATACAGCATCGTATGGGCATGGAATATGTGTTAGTGATTCCTGCAAGAAGAGGAATTCTTATCAGTAATACAGTGGTGGTGGAGTGGGAAATTGGTGTCACAAATTCTCCTGCCTCTCCAGCAACTTGAGTCTGTTTGCTAGTCTCACATGCCTTATGCATGATTCTTTCCCATTTTCAATTATACTAAAGATGTTAAATTTTTATTATACTAAATCGTGTAATTAGTTGAATAGATTTGTTCTTTCTTTTTTCTTTTTTTTTAGGGGGTGGGGTGGGGTTTTTTTGTTAATTATAAATAGCAGCTTGGAGTGAGTGTTTGTCCATACTGCCTAGGGATCCCTGAGAAGCTTTTGAATCAAAAATCAGTTTTTCACTGTCTGTCTAGGGAAGCTTGAATGCATTCTTACAGAAAAGATAAATTTTCCTGGTTTTTGGCTGGCTGTGCTGCATGATTAAATAGCTGTTGACACTTGGGTACTTTTTGGGATTGCCATTAAATCCTTCCAAAATGCTTCACAGTTAGTAAATTTATAAGGTGGTGAAATAACCTACTTGGATGTGAGGACTAAGGCTATCATCCCCTAGTAGAAGTGTCTTCATGGGTACTTTTTGTTGCTGCATATGTGGCTCCCCCTCTTTTTCTTGAGATACATACTTACCGATCCTTTAGATTGTTCTTTAAGTCTTGAATCCTGATTCCTTCCACCTATATTTTGTTTTAAAAATAGTTTAAAAATAGTTCCATATAAGAGAATTGCTAATCTAGTTTAGTGTGAAGTAATATACAACTTCATAGTTTTAATTAAAACTTGTCTTCATTGTGGCTGCATTCCCCATAATGAATACCGTTTTTATAGTGCAAACCCTTGAATGGAATATTTTAGCACATTCATCCTTACAGTATCTAAAACCTGTTTGAGAAATCCCTGGTAGGAACAGCTTCTTTAATGTCCTACTCTTCTTGTAATGCAGCTTTTCTACGTTGTGGACTGATATTTACCTTGGTTTTGAGGTTATAGAGTCTTTAGGGAGTTTGACAGACCAGTTTTAATGATTCTGTTTGGAAGATAGAATCAATGTGTTTCATGTAGGCAAAGAGAGACAATGATAGTGGTTTGATGGCATTCCTACAAATTTTCCCCTCACATTCATACATTAGCTTTAAATGCATGTTTTATGCTGTTACACCAGTACAGTTTCCTCCCTATAATTTGAAATTGAATGAGAAAACCAGAGACTTCACTGTAGAAGTTTCACATCTAGTCATGTGTGATACTGTGATTGATTGCCGTGTTCATGTAGGAACTGTGGTTTTCACCTTGGTATCTGGAAGATCATATACAGTACAATGGCTCCTACTGAGGTGGACCAGTCTGAAGGATCTTGAACATAAGATTGAGTGCAGTTTATTTATATTTTGTAAAATTGAAGACTTTAGGAAAAATATAGTTTGTCTTATTTTGCAATTATTCTCTTGCTTGAAGCTTGGAATTTCCACCCCCACCCCCCCCACCCCACCCCTAAATTAGATTTCATTTGGGGGTTCTGTTTGTGCTGGTTTAGAATTAAATTTATGTTTATTGCTTTTCCAAAAAGATTTTCTAATAAAAATACTGAACAAGAGTCTCTATTATAAGCAAGGCCGATGTTTGCAAAGCACCAGACATTCCCTTCTTCTGTACAGTAGCTCTTTATGTTCCTCTTTCATTACAGCTGAAATTTTGAACTGTGAAGCAGTGCCAGCTGGAGTGGCACAAGTGATTTCTCATAGTAACAGATGTCTCAGAGATGAAATTACTAAAGGGCCAGATGGCCCCAGTCCCTTTTTTCATTGTTTAGCCATCGTTCATTATTAGTAAATATGCCATGCTCTATGTCAGTCAGGCAGGAAAGTGCCAATCAGATTGAAATAATTTCCATCCCCGATCTCCTTAGGTGATCTCTCCAGACAGTTTCCTGCTGCCCCTCCTCAATAAGCAGCTGATAAGTCTGCCTGAGATCTGTCTTTGCCTCTTTCATCACTTGCCACAGTCACAATGTAGCAAAAAGCAAGAAAACTGGAAGAAACCCATGTTGAAATGTAAACATTCTCCTGGGTTTTGTTATAGGGGCTTTCATGCGGTGCATGAAACAAGATCTGTTTATCCCATTCTGCCCCTCTGGTGGGGTCCTTTGTTAAACCAAAGAACTATTTCCACCTTGCAATTTTTCTACACCTCTAGCTGGAGAGAGTCAAGCCTGCTAAGCAAATGTTGGTGACGATGTTTCAGAGATGGTTGTCTAGAGGAGGTTTGTAGCTTCAATTCATAATTCTGTTTGAAAAGAGGGAGGTAAAAGATGGAGTAAGAGACTAAGAAGCAAACTAGGGTGAGGATTTTTTGAGATAATGGAAATACCATATCTGAATGTAGAAATATTGAAATTTTTAGATAGATCAATGAGTTCAAGGACGTAAAGGAACAGAAAGTCAGTGAGACAGCAGTGAGAACAGTGACAGGCCCTACATAGTAAAGTTCATCAAAAGTAAAAGTAAAATTTTACAGCTAGGGCAATGGGAATGAGAAGTAAATGATATGTGTCTGTAATCTGTTTAATACTTTTCTTTTTTCCTTATTAGTGATGCTATTGCTGAGATTAGAGCTGTCTGTATTGAAGAAATTGGTGTCTGGATGAAAATGTACAGTGATGCCTTCCTGAATGATAGTTATTTAAAATATGTTGGTTGGACACTACATGACAGGGTAAGTACTGTGTATTACTGTACATAGCAGAGTGTACTGTACATTGCTGCTGTTATACTACCCAAGACATGTTTAGTATATCATCTTTGATTTATAAAGAGATTGTTCTTTTTTCTTGCCTGTTATTTATCTTTCAAGCAGCTTATTTCAAGGTATTCACTTAAATTGGGATACAGCACTCCTAGACTGCACGCTTGGTTCATGTGCTTTTTGTGTTTTCAGTCTCCATTAGAATATCTTAACAGAAATGTTTCCATGGTGCTTTTCTTCTGATTACAAGAGAAAGAGAAGTCTCCTCAGATCATCCCTGAGAACCTTTGTGTCTGAAGCAGAATGAAAAAGAGGTTTCCAGATGTGTCTTCCATTTATATTGCCCAATAGTTAGAGGAAATAGAACATCTCTGGGTCCCCAACAGACGTCACTCGCTCCACAACCAGTGGAATTCTCATCAATTCATTTTCCCTTGAAGAATCTCTTCAAGGTTCTCTTAAGCTTTTTCTTCAAACAATTGTTGAAACACCAGATGGAAGCAAAAAGATTTACATCCAGAAGTTCTTTCCTATCTCACCACAGTTCTTAGTACTGATGGTATCCAGAACATGCCTCTGCTGGGTGGCAACAGGACTAAATACCACTCAGTTCCTGCAGCAAGAGTAGCCCATTCGTAATGCTAATAGAACAGGACTTTGTACTTCTGACTGTGTAAGGTTTTTTTGTACACTGTGCAGCAACTGGGACTAGCTGTCCTCCCACTCTCACCAAAACCACTAGAAACACTTGTTTTACTCTAAACTCTTCTGCTAACATTATCCAAGGAAAACAGATGAGACCCACCTGTACTGTTGAAATGCTCATTAAATTCCAGCATCCTGATTCAGACTATTCTTTTTCTCTAGGAGCACTGCTGGAAAAAAATTAAAAGTTTGCAAGTTCATTCTGATGACTTGCATAACTGGTAGTTAACAGCTGATTCTTTAAAAGGATGATTTCTTCAATAACTTCGGACAGCATATTAACATTGAGGATATGACTTGGTCACTCTTTGGCTGAAGTCTGAACAAGATCAGTTAGAAAGATGTTAGCTTTCGCTAATGAAAGAAGTTAGCTGCCACTGGTTCTTTTGCTTTAGCTATAGCTGACAAGGATCTGCATCTCACTTTGATTTTCACCAGCAATTTACTTGTTAAGAGTACCCTGTATGCTTTAGATACTAGATATGTGATGTCTTCCCTCTCTAAACCTGTAGTTCTCAAACATTTACTTTACAAACTTTCCCCAAACTTTTACATTACATCTCATTGTTACAAAACTTGATTAGGAGGAAGATCTTGCTTACTGCTACAATCAACCATGACCACTGTTTACTCTAGAGACACTACACTTCCTATCATTAAAGCTTGGACATGGAAACATAGCTATCACAGTGCTTTGAGGGGCAGAGCTGCTGCTCCATCTGTGTATCTCATTTTTAACATTGGTGTGCCTCGCTAGTAGGCATGCTTCAGGAGGTAGAGATCATTGCTTCAAGTTATCAAATCGGTGGGGAGGTCAACTCAGGTTGGAGGATTACGATTTTACGTGTGGTGGAGGACTTTATTTTACTCTAGGGCTTTTAATTAAAAATATATTATCCCCTGGATAATTGCAGTGGATTTTTTGGAGCACTTCCTAATCCTTGCAGAACGTTTCCAGAAAGTAGCACTTCCAATGGGAGAGCACAATCTAGTAGGGTTGCACTTCGCAGCTCTCAGTCCCCTTCTAGTATCTGTGAAGTCCAGCCATTTCTCACATAACTCCCTTTAACCATCTGTGAAATCCAGCCATTCCTTACGGCACTGTCTGTGACTGGTGTCAGCTTCTCACACTCTTATCTGTCACGTCCAGCAATTTCCCATGTCATGTCCAATAGTTTCTCACATCCTCTTCAGTTAGCTTAACCTCAGGCCAGGGTCTAGTCATCTGCCTGCACCCTTAACATATATTTATACCTCAGCTTTTTTAAATTTAATGTTCTTCATATCAAACAAATTTTACATTACAATGTTATGGTAAAAAAAACCAGTTTTCCATCTGGACCAGACACAGAAGAATTCTATCAGGCTACTCTCCTGCCTCTACTAGCTTTGTAATATTTTTCATCGCAGGCCTCAGAAGTGCCTTGGGGTTCTAAGTCTTTAAATCACTAGCTAATCTGTTTAATATCCTGGTATACAGGATATGTGATATTTTTTATTTATATAGTGTATGTTTAATGTATGGAGTGAGACAGATTTTAAGTAGAATAGGGGAAGAGTCAGAGGCAGGTGAGCCACGTGTCAAAGCATGAAAAAGAGACATTTGGGGAAGCACAGAAAGGAGGAAGGAAGTGCAATGGGAAGAATATATTGAAAAAAGACAGAATAAGAACCAATTAAAAATGCAAAGCCTCCAAAAGTACAAGATCCCTTGACAGCGTGGTTTTCATTGGCACAACCTGAAAAACTTGCCAGCTGATACCTAAATTTCTTGATTTTGCTTTGATCAGGAGATAATTTTTGCTATGATCAGTACTTAAAATATGGAAAAGATGAAGGCTAAGGCAATAATCATAAGGTACTTCCATTTCATATGAACAGAAGTCACCCCAAAATGATTAACTTCTCTGGAAGCTTGCTACTACAAAAAAGAGAGGAGGCAGCAGTGCAAAAGATTCATGATCAGTTTCATACTCTACTTCAGAAGACATACAAATTAAACCACAGGGAAGACAGTTCTTGCACTTCTTTGTAGTAGATCCAGTGTAGTCTTTCAGAGGTAGGATGCAGAAGTTTAGTTCTGTAATTTGGGAAATCTGTATATTTTATATGTTAATCCTATCTCTTTCCCAGATTTCAGATGAATGTCTATAGGGCTTTTTTGGGTTTTATAGATTACTTTCTCATTTGAATATGGGTTTCTAGTTCTGCCTTTCTCTTCTTTTAAGCTTCTTTTTCATTCCCGTTGATCTGGGAGCATAAATTAAAAATATATAACATTATAATATAATTGCATAAAGAAACCTCTTTAAAAAAAAAGTTAAATCAGACTATCAGTCTTAATTTTCACCTGCCTCACTGACGCACGTAATTGTTTTGAAACCATAATTGTGTCTCTAGGTGTCTAGACATCATGGTTCTTACACCAGTTCCTGACACATAAGAAAATGCCTTTTCTTTCTTTGTGTGCCACTACTTTACTCATTGTCTGTTTCTGTGAAAGGAATGAACCCAGGGTCCTCTGGAACACATGGCGTTTGAATACTTCGTTGTGATGGCATCCTAACTTAAAAGGATGAAAAAATAGAACTTGTTTTTAAGATTATATAGAAACTGAAACTGTAGTTTTTCCAAACTTTGGGATGTTTAACTTTATGTACTTGGTACCCGATTTCCTAGTGTTTGGGAAAGCTTGAGAAAATAAAAAAAAATGCATCAGATGATATACATTATCTTCATAAATGGTATTGAGTGGGCACATGCAGACAGAGCACAACGGCTTGCTCCTGCCAGGAATACTCCTGCCATAGGTACTATTGTGCTGCAGGACATTTTCATCTGTTTCTCTCTGGCAGTGTAACTATTTCTGTCATTAGGCAGCAGACTACCTCAAAATACACCACCCTAGAGCATCAAAATGCAACATAGTATATCATAGTCATCCCATAAACTGTGGGATGGAAGATACCCAGTAATTTAGATCATTTTTCTATGCAAGAGGAAAAAAACAAACAGTGCAGTTTGCAGAAATATGGTAGAGCAAATAGCTGAGCAAATTAATTATCTATTATTAAAACCTGATAAATTTTTAAGAAGAGCAGGATACCCTTAGCCACCAAAAAAGAACTGGAAAAATCCAAAAGAAGAAACATGAAGGTTGAAAAGAGAGAAACTACTTTGCTGCCTCTCTTGACCACCCACCTATTTAAAAAATACTTAAAACTATGTTTCTGGGGGCTCAAAAAGTCATCATCTCTATGTGATCTAAGCCTTCATCTGGCGTGTGAGCTGACACATAGCAGTGCACCTTTAATTACCATTTCTGCGGCTGTGGTATCCCTGAATGTTAAGAAGAGTCTGGTTCTCATTGGGAGATGGCAAATTAATACTCAAAAGTATCAACTGTATGGAACATTAATAAGAATCTAAGGTGGCTTGAGGCCAGGCTACAGATCACTGTGAGACTTACACAAGAGTTACAGATTAGTGCTTCGAGTCCTGTGATTAGCATGTAAAAAATATGACAATGGTGTGTTTCCATCAGGATGGATTCTTTTTCACAGGTCTGCCATATTAAAGGGAATTTTGAGTAGAGCATGACTCTCCCTGACAAATGTAGACTACCCCACACTGCTGGCATGAAAGGTGTATGTATTGCTTTTTGCTTCATTAGCAGCGGTAACAATTTTTTGCCCAAAACTCAGAAGTGTCTGGAGGATTATCTCAACAAAAATAGGGAAAATATGAGAACTGTTTGTTATTAAAGTGTTGATAAACATTTGATGTTTTTGTTTTAGGTTCTAATTTCAAATTGTAAATAAAAGAAAGCATTAACAATTAAGTATTGATGCAAAGCATTCTCATTCATGAAAAAGAATTTTATATAACAAAAATAATAATAAAATATAAATAATTATGTAAAATGCTTTGAGAGAAGGAGAATTACAGGAATAATTAGACTGGAGAAAGAGGCATGCATAGAACTGATGACAGTATGGATGAATTCAGGATTTTGCAATATTCAAGTGTCACAATTATAAATTGGACAAAACCCCAAGTAAGTATATTTTTCTGGAAGATGAAACTCAGGAGAATGGAAGGTCTTAGTTTTAGAATGCTGATAATGCAAATATTTTGTCTCTTAGAAAATGGCAAGGCTTTCCTTTCAGATATGTTCTTTCTAGCTGAAAAGCATAAATGTGACTACACAAAAATAGCTGGAAAGTGATGCTCATTTTCTTTAACAGAATTAAAGGTATTGCATGGTCACAAATATTTGCTGCCTTAGGTTGACTCATATTCTCTATGAACTTAAGCTCAGAATTGCAAAAAATCTGCCTAAAATCTAGTCTGGGAAGTATTTTTGTTTATTCCTTCCCTGCTTAAGATAGAGTTCACTGTATATCCACAGTGGTTCTCACAGTCATATTTTCTAAAAAAACCTCTAGTGTTGGGTATTCCACAGCTTTCTGTAGCAGTCTGAGTGCTTAACTATGTTTGCCACTAAAAAGTTCTTCCTCGCATAAGCTAAATAGTCTGTGTTGTAATTTTATTATTTCTTTTCCTACCACTGCGCACATAAGAAGTGATGATTACTTTTTTCCTCTTCCTTCAAAGCAAACTAACTTTTCTTTGTTGTGCTACAAACATATTTACAGAAAGTTTTCTTCATTACCTCTTGTGTCCATTCCATACTTTGCCCAGGCCTTTTTTATTTTATCTTCCTTCTGGTTTTTGTATTCCTTTTGTGCTTGACCTCCTAATTAATTCATGAGTTAAATAAGTTCATCTCTTAGTTTAATAAGTCTCTTCCTGTCCTTGCTCTGCATCGCTGCTTGCAGCTTTTACCCTGGCATAAGTTTCTTAGGAATTACCCTAATTTTAGCATTCCCACCCGCTTACTTCCTTGCTAGATAGGAAATTTCTGCTGTGTTTCTTTCCCCAAGAAGTGTTTGGGGTGTTAAAAGCTCATGTTACTTGGACAATTCTCATAGTTACTGAAGAAACATCTTGTGTCTAGCATGTTGATTGTCTGTGGCACATTGCTACTCCTCCATTCTGGACTTCAGTGCAGTATATCCATGCACACTTCACTTCTGCCTGCCTTAGGTTCTTGTCCAGGTCATTGCTGTTTATGCTTCCTCGTGGGTTCCTGTCATTAATCTCTCCTGACTCTAATGTAAAACCTTCATAACAGGATTAGCAAGCTGACTGACATGCAGGGGCTCTTCCCTCTCCAAAGAGATTAATTCTCTCCTTGAACAACAGTTTAAAAAATAGACCTTTTTGCTATCAGAGAAAGTCCTTCTCCTATCATTTGTCTGCCAAGAAAGGCAGTCACTTCCTGGGATTGCCTCTGTGTCTCCTGGGCCTTTGCCCTTACCTAGAGGGACCAGGTGTAACACAACTTTTCTCTCCTCCTCACCTACTCCTCCAGTCACTACTTGTCTTCTGCCTTGTATCTGGTGAGCGGCAGGAGGATAGTAGCCTGGTTCAGTATGCTTTTGTTAGCATCTGGTTTCAGTCTCCTGGCAAGCCACGCAAGTACCAGACATTCACAGGTGCACTTCCTATTTACCTTGCTTGATTTGCTCACTTAAGACTTACAGAGACCCTCAGTATCAGGCCTGAACTTAACTCTAGGACCATTGATCCACAGTGTTTGGTGAAGTCCACAAGGGCTTTGGGCTCCGCGGGGAGTCCAAACCTTATCTGCACAGGTCTCAAGTCTCATTGCTGTTGGCACTGTTTGTTTTTTCTGTACCTAACCAATTCAGAGTTTTGCATTTGGGGACTACAGCACTGGCTGAATAACAAGCCAATCTGGTCACAAATGGGACAGTCTTCAGTGGATTTGTAACTAAACCTGCTACCTCACTGTTGCTCTGTAGTGTTCATCACATGCCAAAACTGATACTGATCCTCTGTGGCTAAATAAGCTAAGGCCATAAGAGGCTTACATCCTCTGCTAATGATTAGTGATGACTCCAGACATCCTGGCCTTTCTGAATGCCACACAGCAGAGGAAACACCATTTCCGGTACTGCAACACAGGTACCATTAAAAGAAGAATGACAAACAGCATTTCTCTGTGCTTTTTTAGCAGTTGATCACATCCATATAAAATTTTTCTTCAAGAAAGTTCTTTTCTGTGCCTTGAAAGATCTTATGATAGGTCCTTTAAACTTAACTTTCATGTCATTGACTTTCTCTGCAATGGTAGTCAAAAAGTTCCCTAGAAGAGAGCATGAGTGCTCAAAGACTCCTCACACATACAAGGAGATGATTTCTTAGGAACAATAATTCTTCAAGGAAAAGTTCTTCTGAAAATCCTCCTTTCAGCTTCTGTCCCTCTTTTATCTTCTATTTCAATTTTTGAAATAAGTGGGAAGGAGGAAAGAAACTTAAAAAAAATTATTTTTAGGTTCTGTTTTTATGTCAGTCTCTGAATGTTCTTTCAGTTTTTAGCTTGAGCAGTTTTTTAAATACAGACTTGATTATAGAATAGACAGGCTCAGAAATGAAGCTGTTCCTACAGGTGACAAACCTTGATCCATAGGCACTGTCTGGTGACACCCACATTTCCTGCCTACAGCCCACCAGATCAAAGCAAACCCCATCTAAGGAGCAGCTGGGAATGTGCTGCTGCCATCAGAACAACTCAGACAGACACAAGTTGCTCTTCTTCCCAAGGGCTCCTCAGGCTGTGGCTTAGATGTGTTGTTCTTGTGGCAGCACCCTGCTCCCCACTGGAGGGTCTCAGGCCTTTTGCATCCTTCAACATGTGCCTGTCCTATGAGAGATGGGATGTAGAAAATTTCAGAATAATAAATCCAGTGTGTACGCCTTCTGTCCCTGGGAGAAGGAAAGACAATGCTTGGAGACGGCTGAGTTGCTTGAGTGGACTACATGCAGCCCATGCTCAGTCATTTTGAACATTTGTGCATTGATTATAAACACCAGATATCAGGCAGAAGTTACTTGTAGTCTCTTTCCTAAAGATAAATAGCCACACTGTCTTCACCAACCACCTTGAGATCATACATCTTTATTTTGTATTTACTTGCTACATTCTTTATCTTTTTGTGGAGTTACTTGAAAGGGAAACAGTAATAGATGTTTAAGTGATGGCACATTAAATTCTTTATATATGCAAATAGGGAGAAAATTTAACATTGTATGTAGGCAGCTGCATGTGGCTTTTGGTTTTTAGCTGAATTGCAAATTGGCTTTGGTAATTCATTTGCATAAAATTTTAAATGTACATTAAACAAATTACAGTATGATATTATTTAATATTCATGTGCATTTGATTAGGGTATTCTATCAGCTAATCTTAGTGTGTTTTATTTAGCAAGGTGAAGTGAGGTTGAAGTGTTTGAAAGCTCTTCAGAGTCTGTATACCAACAGAGAGTTATTTCCAAAACTGGAGCTGTTCACTAATAGATTCAAGGTAAGAGGAAATACAATTTTTGGAAGGAGTACAGAAAATAAAAGTATCATCTATCTCATCCTGTTGCGGTGTTTGAGTCATGTATATTAAATGCAAAAATAAACTCATTTGTTTGTGACAAGGCTTGTAACTGCAGTAGTAAAACTGTATTACTGAATGCTGAGATTAAGCCGAATTCATCTTACAGTGTTTATCTTGTAAGATTTGTCAGGCTTGGCCAGGATGATTATTTATCTGTTTGTGTTATTGATAGTTTATATATTGTCATTATTCAGTCTGCTTGTACTTATTTAATTTTAGATTTATTGAATTGTAAGGACATGTACTGGGTGTTTCACACAATCTAAAATACATCTGAAAGTAACAACCTGTAACAAAAGATTGTTTATAAGACAGCTTTTTAGTTGAGTATGTGCTTGTGTTTGGAGGAAGAGATACTTTGATCTGCGTCATGATATTCTACACAGTGAAATACCTTGCTGCACAACAGGAGTTTACATTGTGCTTTTAGACAAACCCCTGAGCATAATTGTCCTGTTTAGGAGATAAGTACTGGAGGAGTATAATTCATGGAGTTTCTTACTAGCACAAACACACTGACTCTTTGTTTAATATCTTGATGAGAATGTTGCTGTTAATTCACTTTGTGGCATGACTGCTTTACTTCACAAGTGTCTGGAGAGATGAGTGTAGAAATACCATCATTGCTTCTGTTTGGATGCTCTGTGAAGAAAGCTTTCAGGCACTGTCACCATGTCAGTTGGCAACTTTTACCATCGCTTTTGTGTTCTGGAGAACCCCCCAAGGAAAGACTAATTTTATTTATTTTCGTTTAAATAATGATTATAATGCTGATGCCAAATTCTGTGTAGAAGAGAAGTGGAGATGACTGATCTATTTTTATTTAAATCATGATGCCGAAGAAAAATTCTCTTTAGAAAAGAAGTGGAGATTTAAATACTCATAAATACCTACTGTATTTCTCACTGTAGATTTTATATTGCTTCACTGGTTTTGTCTGTCATCGCAGTTAATATTAACTCTTCCAGTTTGATCTAGGAAAGCACAAAATATAGCAAACTTGTCATATATTCCCTGTATGTAAACAATCCATAAAAACATAATGGTAATCAGCCTTTTACCACATTCACTTGAGATGGAGAAAAAAGATGCTTAAACTCCAGTAAAGTCTAGCCATTAAGGAAGGCTTTTTGTCCAAAATGATAGTTATATAATAGAACAGACTCTTTATTAATAATCTGCCCTTAAAAGTCTCAAATGAAGGAGGTTAAATAAATATCTGTCAGGAATGAACTTGGTATGGTTGACTTTAAAGTAGGAGATGAAACTAGATCATTTTGTGAGATCACTTGCGCACCTGTATTCTTCTAATGTTATAAAGTCAGTTTCTGGGACTACTGCAGTAAAGACAAGTTTCCTGTCATCGAAGAGTACCTGGCAAACAGGTTCAGACCTCAGACTACTTCTGTAATGCCTCCATAAGTCTGGTTTGCTTATCATCTCAGGACAACCAGAAATACTGGTTAACTCTCGAGAAAAGAGAACCTTCCAACCCTGCTGTTTTTCTTGTTCTATCTGTGCAGACTTACAGATTTATTTATATTTGCTCCTTCCGTAATTTGATTTATTTTGAAATAGGCCACTAAAACTCTCATGGTCTCTATATCTGCTTCTCTTTACTAGAAAATGTGCTGGATGCTTCTCTCTCAGCCTTCCTATATAGAGAAAATGCTGCTTTGAACCTGTCCCATCCATCAGCAAAAATTTTCAAGGCAATTAGAGGCACTTTGGGAAATAGTTACTCAGTAATGTACTTCAAAAAAACTACAGGAACATGAAACTTCTAAATATTTCCTCCTGGCTTTTTCAGGGTATAGACAATTTTCTTTGTTAGAAGAAGTTAGGTTAGCCTGTGCATTTCTTCTTGGTTTAGAATGACACAAGGAATTTTCATTTCTGTCAAAAAGATTCAGACAAAAGGGAACCCTGTTAGGAATCCTCGTCTTTCTTCAGTTCTATTAAAGCTGTTTTTACTACAGAAATCTGTATCATCATGAAATAAATTAGAGAAAAAGTGAGTTCAAAGTCTCTGTGAGCCTAGAGAACAGATATGTTTAACATGATGTTTAACATCAGCTTCAGTTTCCAGCCACATCAAGAGAACAAAAAGCTGGCACTGCCCAAATGCCTGCACTTGGATTTACAGCTGTGCTGACAAGGATGCAGCCTTTGGCACCAGGATGGAGCAAAGTTTCAAATTAATGGTTTTTGAATCTAATGAATACATTACTTAAATGTCTCACCACCACAAGCTCTACCACCACCCCCTGAAAAATAATTGACCTAAATGCTGCTTTTTTATATTTCCTCATCAGACTTCAATCGACCTGCACAGTTCAGCTGGTATTCAGCTCAATCCATTCAAACTGTCAAGAGAAATCTCTCTAGAGATCTTCTAGCTGTTCAAAGTATAAATTAATTTGATCTAGAATGACTTGTACTGGGGTGTTAATATTTCACCGCCTTCCAGATAGCTGTGACAAGGATCTGACAATGTCACTTCTCCAACAGAAAGACGTGTGTTCTTTCCAACATTTGTTTGTGTAGGTGATATGCTAGAAAATAAGCTTTGTCTGTCAAAAACAGTTTTTTCCATCAGAGAGGAAACTTCTGTTTTCCATCAAGAATTCCTGTCTAATACAAACATTAACTGAAGCCGTATGGGAAAGATGTGAATTAGCTCTTTTGCAGTCAGTGTCAAAGTCAAGACACCAGCAGATTTAGGTGCATCCATTTAATTCCTGTCCCTCATCCCTGACCCTTTGCAGGAGAGTGCTGTCTGCATGGCCTGAGAGGCAAAAGGAGATAGATTTGCTCTTCAGCCAGCCTTGTTCACAGCCTAATACATAACTGCAAACTGATCTTCATAGAGAGTGAAAATTAGTATTTCAAGTTATATATAGAAGCCTGTGTCCTATTCTACCATTGTACAGTAGTACAGGAAATGTTTGTCAAAGCAGATTGAGCAGCTGGGGTTTGTAACTTACTAAGCCACAGAAGTTACACCTTCCAGAGGCATTAGGTGTTCAGGTCTCATTTTCAAGGATCTTGGTGCCTGGCTGGCAGATGCCATCACACAGAGATGCTGGCACCAAGGCTGAAAATAAGAAATGATGCATCCACACTGTTTATTTTAAGCCTGATGTTTCTGGGGAAAATTGAGAGGCATGAACAGTCTTTTTTGATAAGAAAACATTGTTGCATCAGTTGGTTTCAAAGTCCAAAATGACTCCAAATTCAGAGTACCTCTTGCTCTGTAGGCAGGAGAGAAGATCCCTTCCTTTCCAGGCTTTTTTCAGAGATGTAGGAGTTTTATACTTGTGTGCTTATTCCTTCATGTGCCGTTAGTTCCCTCCTGGAGTTTAAGATATGCTTTGAGGGAGTATATGAAATTCCACTGAAACTTTTAAGATCAGTATCTCTGGCTGTTCCTTCTCTTGATTTTGTTGTTGTTAGTTGTTCTTTGGCCAGGACCTCAGGAAAAAATGACAGCAATTTTTTTTTCTTGTCCATACACAGAATTTCCTGTTTCAAAAGTTATTTCACTGTTTGAGTCTCTTCAAGGACTTCTCACGGTCTCTAAAACTGTCTAGGTATAACAGTTAAATGCATCAAATTTCCCAGGAACTTAATGGTGATTTATAGAGGTGCATTCAATCATAGTGACACAATGTATCTCTACAGACCTAGTTTCCTTGAAAGGTAACACTTGAGACAGCCACAATGCATTCTTTACATAATATTCCTAAAATCTAATATTGAAGTAAGCATCAGTTGCTTGATATTCACCTTCAGCATTTAAGTGCCTGGAATAGTAGAGAAAAGAGGTGAACACCTTTATTTTGTCCTGATTTGTTCTTGGTGACTTTCACTGTTGTTTCCTAACACATCCCTTGTTTCTTTTCCAGTCCCTGACTTCTATTTTTTCACATCCCAAAATGTCATATAGTACCTAGTCCTTCCTGACGCAGGTCAAGCCAGAAGGATCAAGTTTTATCTTCAGATGGCCCAATTTCTTGTCATTAAATTGATCAGTCAAGCAAAAAAACATCAACACATATTGCATTTTTATGGATGGATAGAAATTCTCCCCAGATAGGGAGGACAACATATACTAATCGCATCTATTTTTGGTTGCCAGTAAGCAAGCTGGAACTAAGGAGAAAGAAACCCTAAGGAGACTTCTCATAACTACAGGGTCCTTAGAAGTTATAAATTCATTACATTAGATTGGAAAGTGATGTCTCCACTAGAAAGAGTATAGGAAAATACAAAGCCAAAACACAGAACTTCCCACTTTCCTGTGGAAGGTCTGTAGTGTAATTCTTGAGATCAGCTTCAAACCTTGAGACGTAGCCAGGTATGAAGGCCACAACTTTATAGGCAATATGCAGATGCATATATTCAGGGGTGATTTTCTTCACAGTATTTCCTAATATGCATATATGCAGCATTCATTACTCTGAAATTATTTGTTTTCAGGGGGAATGAAGCAGGACAATTTTTCTGCTGTCATCCAACCCAAGTACATTCCTCTTCAGGAAAGAACTGTTAAGTAAGACCAGTCCAAAACAGTGCTTCAATTCCAAAGTCTCCTTGCTTGTTCTCTGGAAAACAGACAAGGATAAGGACTGTTTGTTAAGCACTTGTTCTCATTCCTGTGTAATTGCCTATTTTTCCATTATGCATATAGCATACAGGTTCCTAAGATGTACATTAAATGGTTGAATAATATTAAAGGGCTTTCATGTGTCTAGTTGAAAGATCTTTCTCCCCAAGATAATTTACTTTGTAATCTATAGAATTCTTCATCTGATAGCTGTTTGTGTGTTTCTGTTTTGTCACTGTAATAAAATTCCTTTTCAGGATCGCATTGTATCAATGACACTGGATAAGGAATATGATGTTGCTGTGGAAGCCATTCGATTAGTCACGCTAATACTTCAGTGAGTATTTTTCAAAACCAGTATATTCCCTTTGAAAGTTACCTAAGCTAGTAATATTTAATTGACTTGATTTCTTTGCTTGTGTAATGATGTGAATCTCTTACTTTACACTTAGTATGAAGTTGAACAAAATATGTAGTAATATGGTCATGAAGCTAAATAAGATATTCCATCTCATGAAAATACAATAGGCAAAGTATAAAAATGTATTGATGTATTGAGACTATTAGAGCACGCATTGTTGTGGAAGAATGCCAAAGGGCATTTATACCTTTTGCCAAGGGCAAAATGATTGTCCTCCCCAAAGCGAGTATCTGTGGGTTACATTTGCTAAAATAACTCTAGCAGTAACTAAGCAAAGATCCAGTGTTAGGAGATTTGATTACCTGACACAGCTGAAAGGAGAGTCCTCTGGTAAATAAGCTGACAGGGAGAAGATGCTAACTTCAGCACCCTTGTTTGGGTTCTGTGGAGGTGGCAGTGGTAGCTTGCAATTTTAAACACTCGGCCATGCATGAGGAGACATGCTTCCAGGCCCCCAACTTTTTCTTACAGAGATGCAGTGGCTTCCCTGAGGCAAAGATCCAGTCTAAAGATCATCCCGCTCTCTGATTGTTTGAACCAGCCTGTCCACAGCAGCCTCATGAGTGTGCTGCTGAAGGAGCACTGCTAAGCTTTTATTACATATTCATTAAAACATATGTTAAAGAAAATCTGTTTTACAAACAGATGCATAGAATTTCTGCATCATACTTTATACCCAGTGGCTCTACTTTGAAGAACGTTCTTGGACATGCAGAATTTGGATGAAAGATTAGACTAGCTTTTCCTCTTAGTAAAGCAGTCTGGACTTAATTTTTTTTATTTATGAGTCACTCTCCTTTACAGATATTAGACTTGTAATATTAGGAAGAAAGGAAATCTCATACTGTTACATTTTTAAAGTAAATATAACAAATATGATCACAAATGAGATGTAGAACACATCCGTTCTCTACATTATTAGCAGTGTTTGGGAACACAGTATGATCTTAGGTCAGGAATTGTCCAGTGCACCTTTTTTTCCTGTCCTGTTTTCTCTTTGGTTGCATGGTGAAAACATAGCTAATGCATTTAGCACCAGAAGAATATGGGTCACGTTGAACAGCACAGAGCAATATTCTGTCAGGTAGGAACTGTGTCATGAACAATCATGATGGGGAATGACCAATTAAAAATTATTTGTAGTATGAACCCAAATGATGTGTAGAGTCCTGATACATAAATGTTTCTGATGAATGCTGACTGAACAGAGAGGGAAATAATATCTCTGTATGCGACAGTGGTGATATTTTGATAGCATTGATGGAATATCATTGTTCCATGGCTCATAGCATTTTTCAAGAATATTGCTGAAAAATGGAAGTTTTTCTGAGTTTCAGAAAACTTGCACACAAAATCTACCTTGAGCTCAGAAACTGCAGAAGCCCCAACTATGTTGTTTACCCAAGACAAGGGTAAAAGGTGGCTTGTTCTTGTCAATAAATAATTATAGAAAATAAACTTTTCATCATCTTTTATCCAGCACAGCAGGCTATGATCAGATTCTGTTCCTTGATGTTGAAAATGAAGTCTGTATCTAGTCAGCACAGTAACTACGGTAAAAGTGATTGACAATTTATTGTATCAGCATTATTGTAATTCTAAATGCACACAATAATTCAATCCTAAAGTGATTATGTGTTGATTTGATTGGTGGATGCACAGTGCTAGTTCTGTGTCCCCACTTTGTGGCATAATCGGGTTTAGTTTTCTACTGCCTGTGTCCAGAGTATTTCTGTGCCTTCTCCCATTGCTGGAGCAGTTTCATCCACCTGGCCTGGCCCTTTCAGCAGCTAGAATTGGGAATATGCCTTCCTACTTTCCAGGCCAGCAGAGAGACACCTCCTGCCCACAGCGCACAAGAGCACATGGACTGTCACGTGAAAAGACTTAACTTCTGAGAATGGAGTAGGACAGGAGGCTGAAACAGGTTTTCCCAGTCCCAGATTTGAATACTTTAAAAATTAAAAGCTTTGAAAGCAAACAGACATTGCAATAGAAGTCAATAAGTTTAACCAAGCAATTAAATTTTCCTCATGTAACATTCTAGGTTTTTAGTTTAATAATGTTCGATAATCAGTGTTTGGCATCTTGCAATATATGCATTGTAGTTAGTGTGATGGTCTAAGTAATTGAACAGGGCAAGATTTGTAAGCAGTGATGACATTTTTTTCATAATTTTTTTTTTATATATATAGATAGATAGATACAACTGGGGGAAAGAAATCAGACAAACTTCCAGTCTTACAGGCCCTTTAAATATCTCTGTATTTGGAAATTGAACCAAAGGTCCTTGAAGTCAGTGTTCAACCATTTAGGATTTTGTATGAAGGAAATCAATCTTGTAGCTGTCAAAAGTAAGTTACGGGAGGTGAGGGGATTGAAATTAAAAATTTGTTTTAGTTCAGGTGTTACTTTCTGACTCTTTCAGTGGAAGCGAAGAAGCTCTGTCAAATGAAGACTGTGAGAATGTGTATCACTTGGTGTATTCAGCACACCGGCCTGTTGCAGTAGCAGCTGGAGAATTCCTTCACAAAAAGTAAGTTATCAGTTGCCCTGGAATAAGACCAGATTTGTGAATGGTTCCTAGTAGAGGTAAGATCAAAAGGCAAAGAAGCAATAGAGTGAAATATCCCAATTTAGCAAATCAGGTATTTAATTTAAACAGAGACTTATTATCTTGTTTAAATTCAAGACCTAAAGACTTCAAGAAACTGAATTTACATTTTTCTTGCTCTAGAATTCAGATAACTTTTCCTAACTCCTCAAGGGCTAAATACACAAAGGCTGCATAAACCTCTAAAGTTGGTTTAAATCCTAAAGCTTTTGCCAAATTACTGTTGCAATAATATATATAAGGCCTATACATCCCTGTTGGTCTACCTGATAGGCAGTCATCAATTTTACAAAGTTTTAAAACAGTTTATTTCAAAATTGTGAACTTGAGAGGTTTTTATGTAGTAACAATTAAGAAATTTGTTTCTAAACTCACTGACTTCCCCTAAAAATACATTACACCATGGTTACATCTTTCATGTACCCACTATGCCAAAGGAAATGAGCTAGCTTTTCCATGGATGCGAATCATACTGCATCAGTAACTACGACCATGACATTGCCACATAATAGTAAACCTTTTCATTTTAGTGTTTGCAGTTAAAAGTCTTTTAGCAGTAATTTTCTTTTTTCCCCTCATGGGTTGTGACATTAGAGTTCTTTAATATATCAGAGTGCAGGTTATATAATTTTTCATGCCAAGATACACAACAGAAGAAAATCAGGTAAAAACATCAGTTTTCCTTTGCCAGTGTTCTAATTTTCTGTGGTTTATTAGTGATTTAAAAGTCCACACTGTAACTGTAAGCTTTCATTGATGGATTTCTGGAGTTCATCTCTGTGATCAGGCATTACCTGCTTCAAGGAGTTAATTTACAAAATTCAGTTACATTTAGTTTCCTACATGATGTTTTAGGAAATGGTTAGGTTCTTTGTAAAAATATATACTGAAATTCCTTTGTTAATTAACATGTGACAAAATAATTTCGACAAATGCCTTGAAAGTAAATTAATTTGAAGACATATCTGCACCTTGGTGTACTTAGTGTAAAGACAAAACTTTATCCTAACTTTTCTTTACAGCGAGATACTGTGCTGTGTTCTATAAATGTCTCTCAAGGTAAACAGCATTGAGAGAAGATTGTCCCATTCCTAACACTCATTTTCTCTTGGTATCTGCTAACACATAAGAGCTGGTGCTCCATTTTAAATAACTTACAATCTGCCTGAGGCATTTGAGGTGAGATTTATCTCGCCTAGTTTTATACATTTAAATATCACTTTCTATGTGTAAGCTAGTCATTAGACTTTCTCTCTGTAGTTAGCAAAGGAGAGCAAATAATAAAGAGGATCACTGACGCAATCCTGAGGTGGGTGTTTTAAGATATTTCAGCACCCGCAGAGATGCTTATTTCTTATCTATTAAGTCAGGCGGGGGGGAAAGGTGATGTCTAACTAAAATGTGTTTGTGTATAACTCATCCTTCTCTTTTCAATGAATTATAGTAGTGAAATCAGAATACTGTGTTTCATATTTCTAATTGGCTTGTGACTGTGGTTTCATGGTAAAAGCAAGGAACAGTTTTCAAAATTCTTGAAGTAAAACAATCATTGCTGTAACTGTAATGTAGACACATCTGAGATCTCTTTAAGCTAGCAAATTTGAGCATTGAGAGTATTTTGGAATTAACCATGCATCAGGGAAGTCAATGGAGAATGTATAATTTACCTGAAAAAAAAACAACAAACAAACAAATAATTGCCCGGTAGCTTGCTTTATCATTTATGCTGCTACTGATACTTGAGGTTGGTTGTTTAATGGGATGTCAAGTTTGTTTATACCATACCCCGGTCAGCATGACTACAGTGAAGATACAAGCTTAGTTCTTAAGGCACTACTGGAGTAAGTGCTACCACCATTGTAAGACTTGATAAGTTAAAAATGCAAAACTATACAAATTATGCAAATATATAAAACTGTGAAAAATCTTTCAATATAAATAGGTTTTCAAGAGCTTTCTTCCTGTGTGAAATTCTTCCATCCCTGTGAACATGAAGATATTGAAGATAAATTCATGTCTTCAGACAGGCAGAGGTCATGCCCTCTTTCCCTTGAAAGAAATAACTTGGGATACTTTCACTGTGTTTTATGAACAAATCTACTACATCAAGAATGAATGCTCATCATATTATTGCAGAAATTATATTTGTTTTGATAAACATGATAGCTCCTTTTGCTTATTTTTAGACTGTTCAGCAGACATGATCCCCAAGCTGAAGAGGCTCTAGCAAAGAGGAGGGGGCGAAATAGTCCAAATGGAAACCTTATTAGAATGTTGGTTCTTTTCTTTCTTGAAAGTGAGGTAAAAAAATCATTTTTAACCTTTACATGTTTAATAAAACCTGGAACTTAAGTAGTGATTTATCAACATAAAGTAACAAGTTGTCTTTCTTTTCTTTTTTTTTCTTCATAATTTCAGAAATACTGTATGCCCTTTACCCTGCTCCCCATCTCCTTGTCCATCAAGCAAATTCAACTCAAAATCTTCTTCATGGTTTCTTCTGCTCTTGCATGTCCCCACTGTACTCAGTACTGCATTGGTGGTAGTATGGTGGCTGCCAGGATTCATTGCTACATAGAAATGTAACTGGTCCTTTTTTTAAGATAACCATGTAAGGAGTATACCTCTGGAGTTACTCTTTATGGAGTAAAATCATTTGCTCAAAGCAGGGTCAGCTGTGAGATTGGATGAGGTTGCTCAGGGCTTTATGCAGTTGAAAACGTCAGAGAATGGAGACTGCAAGCATATATACGATGACATTAAGTGTTTGATGAACACATTGAGGATGGGATTGTGCCCATAGTTTAGGTATATAGAGATAGCATACATGGGAAGTTTTGTGGTAGACATAGCAATTCGGGTGGGGAATGGCAGTGGAGTGGAGGAAAACTTGATAAACGGTCAGGTACAGGATGTTCTGAAGATAGAGAGGGAAAGGTTTAAAAATTATACATTTGATTTGGTAATAAATAGGTGGCAAATGAAGACTGAAAGAAAGGAATGACAGAAATATTTCTCGACAGAGGGGAGGGTAATATATTTTGTATAAAAATCAAAAGGAAAGGTATTGCAATCGGGTATTTTAATTGTTATGAAGCCTTGAACAAGAGACTTGACTCTGAGAATGAAAAGAAACACAGTCAGAGATGGTGAGAAGGAAGGGTGACATTTAGGTACAGTGTTAAGGTTAACATTTTTTAGAAACACCTTACAAACTTAGAAGTTAAGCCTGGATGAAATGTCACTACTTGTGTGAGCCTTCAGTCTGCTATCTGAATGTATTTTTAGTTCCAGCTTCTTAAAAACTTGGATTGTAATAGATCACTGTACTTTCCAGTGAAAATACCTTAAATCTGAGTGTGTGTGATTGGGTGGGAGTTACATAGCGTTAAGCTTGTCTGTCCTTCTGAGGAGAAAAGGAAATCAGCTTTGCTCCCAAAGCCATAATCAGCAAAGTGCCTTCCCATGCAAGCCATGTGCTGCTCCCCGAGGTCGCTTTTCTCTCAGGGCCAGTTTTTGATATTACTGTTTTTGAGAGAGTTGTTAGAAACAAAGTAGAATTTTATGACTCCAGTTTTAATGAAGAGTTAGAGAATTGGGAGTTTCCATCTGCATAGGACTAGAAGATGTAAGCGCTGCAATCTGAGAGGGTGCATTCAGAAGAGGGCACAGGTAAACCTGTGACAAGCATCAGTAAGCTCTGTGACACATGATGTTTTGCCTGAGGCTGGTCAAAACAGAAGAGGAGGTAAATGTACTGACATCTCCTTCCCTACACTCTTAGATGTTTACCAGTTGAGTAATCAATCCCATGTCTGGCAAGCAAATCAGAACTGCATATTGTGCTTGTTACTTTTTGACAGTGGTGAAAGATCAGTTTATAAAATAGTAGAAGCCTATGGATTATTTTTCTCACTTTACAACACTTGTGTTGATTTGCGTAAAAACTTTTTTTGCACTTAAAGTTAGTGTTAATTCTGTACCCCCTGAAATCAGTAGGATTTCTGCTATTGTTTTCTGAGCATGTAGCAGCACGTATGAAAATTAAATGCCTGTTCAAAACGAATATATTACAACTCTTTCTTAGTGTCATGTCTCACTGTCTCTCCTTTTTATAATGCAGTAAGAAAGTGAGGAAAGGTAAGTTTATGGCTTCTACATCAAAACTCTGAGAAAGATTTTTCACTAACAAGCTGCTTGATGGAAGAGAAGCTCAGTGTGGTTTTATTCCATTTTCTATTAAAACATAGCCCCATTGTTGTGCAGTTGCAGCATTCAGTTGGAAGAAGACCTTCCAGAGTTAGTTTCAAACTGAATTTTCTTTCCAACTAACATAAGAGTACATGCCCAGGACACTCTTCTGTGGCCAAATGATTTTGAAAGTTGAAGAACTGCTGCTTGTACCAGAACACTGTACTGATGATTGCTTTGGATTTTCTAGTTGCATGAACATGCAGCCTATTTGGTGGACAGTTTATGGGAGAGCTCTCAAGAACTGTTAAAAGACTGGGAATGTATGACAGAATTGCTCTTGGAGGAACCAGTCCAAGGAGAAGAAGGTATTTGTTTAGCCTCTATGCTTTATGGATATTGCACAATATTGTTAATTATTCCTTAGAAAGATGTTTCACTGTGGGTGATAGAGTTATTTATGTTGTGGTTTGTTTAGAAAGCATATTTGAAGAAGATTTTAGTTTAATCCATTTTTAATGCATTTTGCTTCAAAAGCAGCATTTTTATACTCTGTCTTTCATCTTGTGAAGTCTGCTGTACTGTGGTTCCCTAATATTAAAGACTAGGACTTCTTCTTGTCTGAATGTTTAAATAACTAGTGTATACATGAACATTTCAATAAATTAAATAGCTAATAAAATTTTGAATAAACAAGCACTTCAGCTGGTGTTAATTAAATATGGGGCTTTTCCAGACAATGTTAAAACTTAATGAATTCTCAAGAGGGTAAAAAAAAGGCAATTCTTTTGCCATTAGTTTCAAATCTCCTTTCACTAATAGTAGATCTGTGTGCACAAGGTAGACAGGGAGGTTGGTGGCAAAGAGTGCCTAATGGTAATGAGCATCATTCAAGATCCTTATAATCCTTGAGGATTCTCCTGCTTCAGGGACCTCTGCAGGGGTTAGGTGGTTGAAAAACCAATGTACTCTTACTGCTCCTAGCATGATGTGCTCATCATCTCAGTGTTTCAAAATCTGACCTTTTGGTATCCACCTGCTACAATTGTATTTATGTGGTAATTTCCCTAGGAAATTAGCCACTTTGGTTCTTTTGTTTCTGCGTAGCCTAGTGGGGTTTGATCCTCTAGATGTGACAAGAAGTACTTCCCAAAGAACAGAAATAACACTTCATGACTGTGAGACTATTTTATGAGGAAATGCAGTGAACAGTCAGTCACTCTCCATCCTCCATGATGCTCTTTATTTTGTAAATCTTCGTTATATTCCCCTTCATTCAACCTTTTTCCAGACTACACTTCTCCGGTCTTCTTTCAGTTCTGCCATATCCATTTTGAGATGATGTGAATGGTAATTCAAAGAGCAAGCAAGAAAGCCTTGGTTTTATAAATGGGACAAAATGACATCATCTCTGTTGTTCTCTATTCCCTGTGTTTTACAACTGTGTTCACAGATTTGTCTTCTTTGAGATGTCTTGCGCACACATCAGAACTGATGTTACTTGGTTTTTTTCCCTCCATAGCAATGTCTGACCGGCAGGAGAGTGCTCTTATTGAGTTGATGGTGTGTACAATCAGACAAGCTGCTGAAGCACATCCTCCAGTAGGCAGAGGCACTGGCAAGAGAGTAAGTGGTACTGCAGTAGGTAGCTCAAACCTCTGTGTGTTACTATGGTAACATAAAATATTTGTCTACAATGCCACATTTGACACTTTTAAGTTAGATTTTATAATTGGTGTTTCCTGTTTCATGTGAACATTTTTGAAGAAAAATAGTAGAAATTCTATTTCTGGACATGTTTGGGTTTTTGTTTGATTGATTTTGGGCTTTGCATTGCCAAGTTAAGTAATGTAAATTTACAGCATGAAAATCTTTTTAAATTATTTTTTAGATGTTCTTTTATCATACCCCTGGCTTATACGTGTAATGTACCCACATCTACAGCCCTTAATGTTAAATCTAGATAAGAACTGGAAGTGTAGAGCTCAGGAGCAGAACAAGATTACCTCTGTCTTCCATAAAAAGGAATGTGCTGCTAATATGGATGTAAAATTTCTAGAAGAAGCCGACAGTATCTTCATCATGAGAGTAGTTAAGCACTGGAACAGAAGCTGAGAGTTTGTGCTGTTTTCATCCTTGGCAGTTTTCAAGAGTTGACTGGACAAAGCCCTGAGCACCCTGGTCTGACCCCTGAGCTGGCTCTACTTTGAGCAGGAGACGTGGGACCAGGACCAACCTGAATACATCTGTGGTTTTATGTATCCATCCTCTCTGGCCTCTTCCACTGAGTGCCCTAAAAATTCAAGAATTTGACATTCTGGCCATATTGCAATCTAGCTGCCTCTTTCATTTATTTTATTGTGACTGTTTGGGGATCAGTGGAAGTCCATTCGTAAGGCTGGGCATGCACTTTTAAGCATTTCAGTATAAGTCACAGGGTCAGGGTGAGCAACAGGCTTTCAGCTGTATTCTCCATAAATACAGGGTCTCAGCTTTCCAAATGTATTTCCCTGATTTTTGGTAGTCCCCCTTTTATTTAGGTTAGGCTAAAATGAAATAAACCCATGTGAACATTTGGTACTTCTGTTAGGTTCTGCTCTGAATAATCACAGCTAGTTTATTAAAGAAAGGCACAGACTTAATGAAGGTGAAATCTGGAAATAGATGTAGCATTCTCTATTGCTAAACTAAATGCAGTTACTTAGCTTCTTTATTTTTATGTGCCAAAAGTAGATTAGCCTCGTGTCCAGAAACAGCATCCCAGGAAAAGCTCTGAGAAACCATCAATTTATACATGCTTTGTGTACCTTAATTTATAAAGTACATTCTAAGAAATTCCTAGTTTAGTAAAACATATCAGGGGTGAATCTATGAAAGCACTTACTCAAATTTACACAAGCATGTATTATCCTGCGTTACCAAAACTGTATTGTAAGCAGAACTTAACCGTGTTTTGTCTTAGCTGCAAACTGTTCTAGCAGACAAAGCAACCTTTAAATTTAACAAAAATTTTCATGTTTGTGTTTTCTGTTTGGAGCACCATATTAGCTTTCAGGTTTTTTTTCTATCTCAAGAGATCTATAGTTCTGTTCACTTAAGTTCAGCAAATTGCTTAGTCTTAGATTTTTCAGTGTCTGTATTTCTTCAAAGGTACTTAAGTAAAATAAATTTTACTTAAATAAATTTTGCCTTCTGAAGGATGATCAAAAGAGCCTCGAGATCATCCTAGGGACCCAGATTAATTCATAGCACCACAGATTAATTCATAGCAATTTTTGGCCACCAGAATATGACTGGGTTGTTAGGGGGTGGGAGCCTGACTTGGTAGCTGCATTTGTGTTGCCTTCCGATGAACTAGTAGCTTTTGCTGGCGCAGGTGGTGCTGCACTGCTAGTTGGTACAGGAATTGCGGTTGCTGCTGTATGTATCCAGCTGTCTGTCATGTACTATGGAAGTGGTTTCTTACCTTGGTTACACATCTATTCCCCTTTGCTTCATGGTTGTTTTGGATTCCTGCTGACACAATAGGCTACCTGTCATCCAAGCATGTGTTTTGTTTCCAGCTGTTCCTCCTCACTTACAGAGAGATGTAGGTATGACATTTAGCTTTTGCTTCTTTTCAGTTAGATCATGAGTTGTGGGATGGTAACTGCAGGGATCTCTGACTTGTCAGTAGAGGTTTGTCATGTTCTCATGATCTCGCTAGCATATTCTCTGAGTTGAAAATGGGAGCAGATTTCTAATTATGCACTTACCTTCTTGTGAAATAGTTTCTTCTCTGACTTTAGCTTGTAACCCTTATTGTGCAGTCTGGCAGCTTTGCTATACATAAATCATTAGCTAACTTGAGTATTTTATTATCATTATTTGTTTTCAAAAGTATTCTTTCCTTTTCTGAAGCCAAGAAGCCAGATCTAAGCTTTTATGAAGCATGCTGTTTTGATTATTGTCTCTCTATTCACTGTTTCAAGGTGGTTTTGCTATGACAGCATTAGTAGCTTCAGTATATCTTCACTGAAATTTGTAAATGAGTTCTGTGAACTTGGATGTATGTTCTCACTGAGAATTACATTCCAGTTTAGAGATGAGGCCATGAATCTGCTAATGAAAATCACTGTTACAGTGTGGTTTGGTTTTGGTTTTCTTAATTATATTTCAGTTCGCCCTGAGGTCTTACATTAACACTTTGTTTAATGTGTGAAAGCCAGAGCTCAATTCACTTGGAAGCAATAGCAAAACTTCCACTGACTTGGGTTATATTTGAATTTCAATCCTAAAAAAAATGTTGATGTGTTGAGACAATATCATGCTGGATGATATGATATTTTCCTTTTCAATCACGGCTTCTTAGGACACATGGTCCTCCCATTTAATCACTCTTCAGTCCAAATGTGTTTGAGTTTTTTATTCCCTCCTCTTTTGATTTATTAAAAATACACTTGCATGGATTTTTGTTTGTAATACAAACTTTAGAAAGATTAATGAATGCTATATGCAGAAATTGTATTTACTGTAGTTATTTTTGATCACTTGCAGGTCTTGACAGCAAAAGAAAGAAAAACTCAGATAGATGACAGAAATAAATTAACTGAGCATTTCATTATTGCGCTTCCTATGTTGCTGTCAAAGGTACAATTTTCAAGAAAATCAATCTCTCACTGGTATTTACAACTGTCTTTAAACTTTTTCATTCTGTAGTGTAGGTGTTTATTTTTACTTCACTATTTTTTTGTTTTGTTTCAATGATGTTCTAGTATTCTGCTGATGCCGAGAAGGTTGCAAATCTCCTGCAAATCCCACAGTATTTTGATCTGGAAATCTATAGCACGGGCAGAATGGAAAAGGTATAGTACATTGGGCAAGAAGTCTGGTTGCTTTCAAGTATCTGATTACTATTCTAGTCACACAGTACTGTGCCTTCATTTGGCATGTTAATGATCTAACCTTCATTTGGTGTATTCTTTGAATGACTTTTTCTTTGAGTTTCATTGTTCAGGTAAGGTGAAAGCTGAACTTCTTTTCTGATCTACAGCATCTGGATGCCTTACTGAAACAGATTAAGTTTGTTGTGGAAAAGCATGTGGAATCAGATGTTCTCGAAGCCTGCAGCAAAACCTACAGCATACTCTGTAGTGAAGAATATACAATCCAGAACAGAGTTGACATAGCCCACAGCCAACTTATTGATGAATTTGTGGATCGATTCAACCATTCTGTAGAGGATCTGCTGCAGGAGGTTTGTATTCTTAAAATGAATTTACTTAGACTACCTAAAATATGCTATGATAAACTGCAGAAAAACATTCTTACCAAATCATTAAATTATCAATCTGAAGACATAGTGCAGCAGCAACTATTTCATAATTTTTTGGAGCTATTTCTCCATGTAGAAAATCCCTTGGACTAGCCATTAAGCCTGCAAAGCTTTGATGCTGTAAGACAAAAACCATGGGACAATCCTACTTCTGAATATTTAGTCTAGTATTTAAACAGCCCACATAAGAAATTAAAAGGATGAATGGGTGAAAGCTGATGAAAAATGCAGAGAAAAGTGCATTTACACATTAATGCTTCTGGTGATTCCAGTAGTCCCAAATGGATATACAGGCAGCAGAATCAAGATTGGATTATGTCTTGAATGGAAGAGAGGATTTAGTAAAACATTTATAATGGCATATTGAAAGAGCTCTGGAAAGAAGGAAATGAAGATCCAGGTCTAAAACCTGGAGGTACCTGGGATTTACTTCTAAGAATTTATCCTTCAACATGCATAAGGCACAATACATTAAATAAGAATAGAAACCTTACTCATTTTTTCTTGCTTTACATCAATTTAACTTTGTGTAGCACTACTTAATTTGTTGTAATTCTCATGCTTTTTAAACATAATTTAAGGGCTGCATAGATCTTTTTCTTCACTTCTTCTAGTCATGCACTTCACTGTGGCAGATACATTTAATTTTATATGTACATTTGTAGAAAGCTAAGCTACAGTCTCTATTTTAGAATTGCCTATTAAAGAAAATCAGGGGGGTTTTATCATTAAGTGATATGCCACATAGAGGCATACTGTGTATATGCCTTGTCACATTGCAGAGTAAATAAAAATTTTTCTGTTGCTGTAGGAATGTACGTGAGTAAAAAAGGCAGTGCATGCAGGAAGCAGGCACTCCACAACCCAAAGGAGTTAGTGCACCACTGTACATTCTTTGATAGAATACATTTACTTTGCTGTCTACCTGTCTGCCATTTTATATGTACTTTCTCAGAAATTTCTGAGCAGAACCTGAAAAGACATTCCAGAATTTGTGCTACATCTCTGCCCATCTGTGTGTGGCAAGGGAATCCTTTCAGCTAATGCCACATTACATGTCTTCGGCGTCTGTTTTAAGAGCCATGAATTTTTGAAGTTCCTCACCTCTGGCCAACAGGACCAAAAACTCTAAGACAAAAACTTTGGGGAATGTGTTGCTGACTTGGGTAGCAAAAAGGGCTAAAGTTTGACTCCCAGCACAAAGATCCAGCTTCAGAACGAGCCGAGTTCTCTACACCAGATGCCCAGCAACTGATCAACTGGCTTTCGCTCTTTCCATTGGTACCCACTGACAGAGGTTTAGGAACTCTGGTGAGGTCCTCATGTTTTTCACTATCCGCATATCCAACACCAAGGTTCAGTCTGGGTCTGTATGCAGGGACAAATCTCCTATGTTGTTTCTCATCACCTGGCTCTTGGAGGATCTTCAGCTTATGTCTCCACAGCCAAGCTCAGATCAGCAAAAAGCATCTTATTCACACTGTCTCGCCTCGAGATGGAAGAAAGTGCCTATGGGTTTTTTCAAGAATCAGACCAAGAAGCAAGTGGAATCCCAGTTCTTTGACACTGACTTGCCATTTCTGTTATACTGTCTTGTCGTAAGACATTATGAAAATGTCTTCTTTCAGCTTTTTCTCTTAGTTTTATCTTCAAACTTCTCCAAAGTAAATGCCATGTTTGTTTTCTCTGGAGGCAGTTGTGTAACAGCCAGTGTAACAGAAATTAGGTCTGTCTAAGGACATGCAGCTTTTTTGGAAGACCCCCCTTGAAGTTTCCACACTGTTCACCTGTATAGACATTATTCATCCGTGGATCCATTCAAGGGTTCTGAGGTGGTATTCTGTTCCCTGGATAGTTTCACCCAAGAAGAGATCCACTCACCATTTTATTAGTATTTACTGAGACACCCACAGATAATTTTTGAACCATAATCCCAAATTCAGTTAGCAAATACAGGAATACTTAGATTCCTCCTGCTGTACAGCAGCTGCTCTTTCTCTGACTCACCCATTCTCCTCCACACAGCAGTTTTGAAGAGGAGTTGAGACAAGAACCAGTCATCTAGTTCTGTCAGTTCCTTTTCTGTCATCCACATACCCTTCTGGAAGCCAGCAGTCCAGTTAGTGTAGAGTTGGGTTTACTATAGCATCAGTCCTCTTGTTCTTGGATTATCTGATCTGAGGAGATCCAGTGCTGTCCTTCCCTTTGCTACCTCACAGTCCCTAGCTGTGTATTTTCAGAAGCCCTTCTTAGGGAGTCCTCTTCCCCAGGCAGTGTGGTCTCTCGGCCTCAAAGAACCGTCTTCCAACACTCCAAGCAGTAAAGATGAAAGGGGATTGGAAATCTACCTCTCTTCCAGCCCCAGCCCACATTTCAGATCAGTTATGCCAGCAAAGCATTTAGGTCCAGCTGTTTTAGACTAGGGATACATGAATGTTGAGATTGTTCAGAAAACACGCTCCATATTTTAGGTACAGCGTACGGGTCTGCAGTCCTGACCTCTCCCTTTCTGACACTGCTTGAAAGATCCCTCTGGCCTCACCTTTTACGCAAGGGGAGTCAAGTGAGAGCAGTGAGATGCTGGGATTCATAAATTACTTCCCACCAGTCTTCTCAGGAGAAATGAACTAAGGGAGAAAAACTTTTTTTCCTGTAATTTTCCTTTATTACTGACTGCTGTTGAATTAGGAAGTCAGTAACTGCTTATTCCCACTCCATTTCCCTTCACTTCTCTTTGCAGGCGGCTTCTCTTTATACAGTACTACAGTATGAAGGATGCACTGAGACTACTGGGCAGAGAACAAAGACTGGGCTCATGAAGGAACGTGGGCCAGTGATACCAGAATACTTCTGATGTATCCCCTTCCTTTACCCAGCTTGGGAAGGAGTAGAGAAATGCAAGCAAGGGCTTATGATTTTTGTGTGTATTTGCTTGCATGAGAGAGGGATGGGGACTCAGGATTTCAGAGAAAAGCTGTCTCTGAAAGTCATATGAGAAATGAAGAATTAAGAGGTTTAGATCCCTAAGGAAAAGGGACTGCGGAGGTCAGACGTGACATAGAGAAAGATGTGGAGACAAAACCAAGACAAAAGTAGGAGAAAGCAAGAAAGAGAACAGAGGTAGCAAGGGTTTAAAATTTTGGCCTTTGTGATATTCTTTGCTGGGTGATACTTGGTAGAATAATTTTAATAAGTCTGTTTAATCATTTTAAATTCAAAAATGTGCATACTTGTACCCAAGCAAGTATCCCACTGCTTTATGGCTTCCCACTAGATTGATAATGAGAGAAACATTGGTTGACAATAGCATCTGAAGACAGGAAAATGTCTTAATTGTTAGTCTTTTAGATGGAAAAAAAATTATCAAAATGAAATGGAGAAGAGTTGTTGTAAGTGGGTTTCCTGTTTCAGGAAGTTGCTGAAAAATTAAGTTTTGGAAGTACCTTAATTCCACTTGTTTCAGTAAGAGAATTTGCTGTTTAGTTTGCATAAGTATTAGGATAATGATATTTTAAAATGCCAGAAAGAAAAAAAAATTAAATGAAAAGTTTTGATTTAATTGTGCAATATTTATTCTTGGACTGTTGTTTCCCCAGATTTGCAAAACCTAAGTTTAAAAAAAAAAAAAACCACAAAAAACAACAACAAACCCTTCCATCCAGTTCTGAATGTATGTCAGTCTGTGCACATAATGTGATTGTCATGCATTACTGTGTGTAACACGGTGAACAGCAATGAAGGATATGAAAAGAAAGAAATTTCCCCACTGATCATTTTAAAAAAAAAACTAGATGTTGACATCTGCAGGTTTCTGGCGTGGAGCAAGGCAAGCATTTGGCTTTATTCTTGCAGTGCGTTCATCAGCTGATGGTTAAAGCTGATGGTTCAGTTCTTTTTGTAAAATAAGGTAGAAGTCAGATTTTATTCTTGGGAATGATTTCTACTGCTAGAGGATAGTGGTTTGAGTATTAACACAGTGATACTGCTGAATATTGTCAGATGATCTTGCTTATTTCCTAGTGCTATGCAGTAGTTATTATTACTACTACTACTTTTCTCTAGATTCCGTAATAATAGTAATAGGAAAATTTGGAGTCAGTTTTGATGTCAACATAAACCCTCAAAGAAATCTGCTCCTCCCGATGCAGTAATGTACTTTGTTGGATTGCTGAACTCTCTTAATGGATTTCCTTTCATTTTCAGGGAGAAGAAGCTGATGATGATGACATATACAATGTGCTCTCCACATTAAAGAGGTTAACCTCTTTTCACAAGTAGGTGATTTTTTTTCCCCTCAAAAATTTACTATGTTGATTTTTATCATTTCAGCAAGTTTCCGTTGATGTCTAGTGTTAAGAAATGAGAAAATATATGGCCTGAAATATGAAATAGAGATTGGTGAATGATTAGTGGTATTTGTCAGTATAACTGTTTGCACTAATCTGGGTCCTTGCTTAGTTAATGCCATTACTTTTACAGGTGTGATTTGCAAGTGGCATACCATCCCTTGCACTAAATGCTTTTACACCTATGAGTGCCTTACTAAAAGTCATACTCCCCTGCATGACAGACAGTCAATGCACAAGGAACACTTCTTATCTCTGGCACCAGTGGATGCAGGCCAAATCTGTGCTTTGAGCCTCAGCTTAGGGGAGCCCTGGAGGAAGTTGTTTCTGTTTCTCAAGGCTTTTGAGGTATTTCTCCTCAAAATTACAGAAATAAGTAGTAGTAATAATAGTAAAGTTTATGGTGAGAGTCTGGACTTTGCATTCTCTTCCTGCAGAAATCAGATAATCATAGAATGTTTTGGGTTGGAAGGGACCTTAAAGATCATCTAGTTCCAACCCCTCTGCCATGGGCAGGGACACCTTCCACTAGACCAGGTTGCTCAAAGTCCCATCCAACGTGGCCTTGAATATGCCAGGAATATTTTTGAGTTGAATTGTTGGCAAAGTCTAACTGTGTGGATTGCACAGAAACTCCTTCACTAAGTATGAACCAGCTCAGTGGAACCAGGCAGCAGCTTTTCAGGGTCCTGCTGCTCTCAGTTACACCTACGGGCACCCTCGTAACTGTAGAGCAACCTGGAATATTTCACTTGAACTCTGAATTTTGGAGCATAGCACAAAGACCTAATCTTCCCCTCCTATCAACTGTAGGAAGTAATTGCCCCTGGTCAGCATGTAAGAAAGCTTCATATGCAGATGGCTGAGAGCCACAAATCATTTCTTCCTTGTCACAAGATATGAGAGGACCTTGCTTCTGCCACCTCATTTATACAAATTGGTTTTAGTGATTTCATTTCTCTTTTCTTTCTGTGCTTAGTCTTTACTTATCCTGAATTCTTCATCGGATCATTGTATGACATAGTTCTGAAATATCTACTCTTTGTTTCCATTCAACAAGAGTCCCACAGCGATCATTAAATCGTTACTAATTTTCGTAGTGCAGCAGACTGACACATGTGCAAATTAGGTTTTCAGTCTCCCTGGTAACACACTGGAGCCACTTCTGCCTTTCCTGAGAGGACTGGTGAAAGCTATGGTTCACATCCAAGAAAGAAGCACAGGTCTTAAGGCTTTTATGAGCATCTCACATATATATTTTTCCTAGGGTTCCAAATCTCTAGAGAGTTAATTCAGACTATAAAGAAAGCCTTGCAGAATAACACACAAATTGGGGGCGGGGACATCTACCTTCACCTTCAAAAAATAGGAAAGAGAAAAGAATCAAAGCTAAAGAGCTGAAGAGCAGCTGTTTACCATTTCTCAGCTGATTTGTTATTTATGATTATAGTGCAGTGAGAATTTCTAATTAATAACTGCTTGCATATAAAGAAGTAAAGAAGTCTTTTCATTACTCTACTGAATGTTACGTCTGATGTGATTTCTTTGTGAAAAGAAACAATCATACGATTCAAGACAGAATTTTTGCCAAACTTCTAGCTATGAGATTAGGATCTTCAATTCAAAACTCGCATTGAGCATTCTCATCTTAAAGAACGGTGGCTGTTGTCTGATACTGTCATTGTCTGTCACCAGCTGGGAGCCAAAAGAAATTAAATCAATGGAAGAAGTTTAAATTGCAGGCTAACAACTGATACCTTTCAGATCTTCTAAATGTGCACCGATAAAATCATTGTGGAGCTTTGAAAAGAAATAAGTCCCTCTCTTGTTCCAGTGAGAGAAACTTACCTGTGCTTCTGTTTCTTTGATAGTTGCTGCTGCTTCATATTTTAGGAAGAAGAAGCCCAGCGAGGTGGAAAAAAAACATGGTAGGGGATTATCAGAAAAGCCTTCCAGACCAAGAAGCTTCTATGCTGAGATTTCCCAAGCCTGAGCTAATCCTTTTTCTGAGAGGGTCATGGCAACAAAGGCCTCACAGCACACTTTTTAATTAACGTCTTTTCGTCAAACAAAGATATCAGTATTCCAATACAAATCAAATTCATTATTATGCTGTTCCCTTCCATGTTTTCAGAATATAATAATAAATTTTCTTGAAGTCTTCTAAATAGAACACCTGCACTATATACATGGGCTTCTTTTTTTGCCAGGGTCTCACTGGTATTTATAGCATTTTTTTCTGTCCTTAAGTACATGAAGGCAGTTTTTCTATACTGATTCCAGCCCAATTCAACTGAGCGTTCACACATAACACATCAGTGCTGTAGCAGTTTGTATGCTGCAAAATATCAGAATTTCTTATTTAATTACTTAATTCAGTGCAAAACACATGACTCTCAAGCATCACCTCCGTTACTCTGGATGTGCCCTTTGATGCTGTCTTGTATATAGAACATTGTTTCACATTTAGAAATCAGGATTGTTAGTATCACTGTCCAGAAGTCCTCAAGTATGATATGGAATTTGATTCCTTCCTGCCTCCATACTGACTTCATAAGCCTGCAGTGGCTATAGTAACTCTCCAGATACACATCATTTTTTTAGCAGTCTAAGCATGATCAGTCAGGACACTTCCCAGATAGGTAAATTCATGGTCAGACCAGCAGATCTTCTCTTCCTGGTATAAAAACCCTTTGCTTAACCTTTTTTCCAGTAGTTGACCAGTACATCCTTCAGACTGAGTTACTCAGAAGTTTGTTATATCCAGAAGAAGTAGAAATGATGACAAATGAAACCTCAGTAGAGAAGTTAGACTATATCTATCACAGCTGTTTAAAGCCCAAGGTACAGCTTCTCTCACTTTGTGTCTCTTTAAAGAGAGACAGTTTTGTGGGTGGAGAGATCACTTCTTCAAAAAGAAAGTTTTCTAAGCTGCTTCTTGCCACACTTTCAGAAACGCTGTGGAACTGGTACCTTTACTCCATCTGACTACTTCCTGGCAGAATCGTGCCCCAGCAGACAGTGTTATCTATAGGGATGAAAAGAAACCTTTGTAGAAATGTTGGGCCTTGTTTTCTGTAATCCATGAAGACCCTCTGACATGGAAGGGACTAAGGGAAAATTCTCTGCGATGTGAATTTTCATTCTAGGAGCCTCTATGTCAATCTGAACCTCTGTGGAGAATTGTATTGTGTCTAAGGTACCTTTATAACTATCGTTTTGATTGCCAAGTACTTCAAAAGAAATGAAGATATACCAGAATACACCTAAATTTAATGTGGAGGCTCTTCTTTAAGGAGGTTTATATTGAAAAGCCCTATGCAACTTGTATATAGTTAGAATTTTTCAGCTTTGGAAGCTGAAGAGCTCTTCCTGAGATCAGCTGTAAGGCCAGGCTCAGAGCAAAGAACTAAGGTGTCCCCAGTTGTCAGGGTAATGGGGCATGCCCCCTGTGATGGCTGCCTGACATGGAAGGCTCTGAAATGAAAAGGCAGAAATTAGATAGTTTTTCCTTTGTATTCTCTGTAGGATAATCTATGCTGATATCTGCCTCTGCATACCAAGGAGATTTTTACTGCTTTAATTACAGCACTGTAATTAAGGAGGTACAACTCTGCCTTGCTAGCAACCCTGTGATTTGCTGAAGCAGCATCTATGTGCTTAATTTCACTAGTCAAAGGCAGTTCTCTGACAGCCTATAATTTATCTATGAAACATTTTATTTTCTTACTTCGAAGATCATCCAGAATCTAAGGCGGAGGGAGTATCTTTATATTTTTGTTTCCTTTTATTTTTTTTAAGGTTTTCTATTCATGGATTTGGATTAGAAGTCAAGATGCACCTTGGCTTAATGACACAACCCTAGAGTGCATACTTCATTTGCTGTCAGCACAATGGCATTAATTTTTATGTTTTCTGTGGAACTTTTTATCAGTGAGGTTTTCCAGGGCTTACATGCTCCAGACTGGGAAACATTTCATACTAGGGGTTTCAATAGGATCTAGGCATTCCCAGTCTTGAGTTCAACTTCTGTCTGTTTCAGAACCAGAGAATTACTCTTTCTGGCTAAGCAGGGTAGTTAATTATTTTTAAAAAGTCAGGCAGCTCCAAAGGAGGGCAGACACTAAGGGGTGGGAAAAGTGAGCATATCTTGGTGATCAAGGTGCTGGGATGAAAGGGAGCAAGATGCAAGAGACTGCTTTATCTTATTTAGATTTGCCAATTCAGTCTGAGTATCCCTTCTTCCAGGTGAGTATTTTAATCACGCAAGTTTCTGATTATTCTGAGGTGGCTTGCTCTTTTATAAACATATTATAAACTGTTTCAAATTATCTCGGTTTAATTCCACTGCACAAAAATGTGTTAAACCTAAATTTTTTTTTGAGAGAGATTTTTTGTCTTTCAGGCAACCTGGTGTTTTGTAATTTCTTCTGTATTTCTCAGTTCTGTATTTAAAAAGCTATATCATAAGATATTGAGGTCTGTAAAGCTGTAGAATATATGTTGCTAATCTCATTTGTAGTCCTCTCACCGGAGAATCAGGTTGGTACAACTGAAATGTGAAACAATGCACGGGGAATGGCAATCACCATCTCGGTCTCATGTACATGTATATCATGCTGTCTTAATTTAGATATTTTGGGATAATTTAATGCCTAGTGATAATGTATATTATTTTTGTCTAAATGATATGGCAGAAAAAAATGTAACTTCATTTTGCTTAAAGCCATTTTTCATTCACTATATATTGCTAGAGTTTGGCCAATAGTTTCCGCTGCAATGCCAGAGAAGTGCCTTCTGGAGTTCTATCAATGTTTAGAACCAAAGAGGAAAGACAGTTCAGAGGGAACACTGAGAAGGAGCTTGTAGCTGCACTTAAGTAACCTTTAAAGATTTATGGTATGCAGAGAGTTTATCTCCTCCCTACAAAAATCCCATGTAATAAAACATTGTGCAGCTGCTTTGTCAGCAGGCTGTATTGTCTCAGCTTTGCAAAAATACTAAAGCTCACTGAGCTCCCAGGTCAGACTATATATTCTCACTGTGATGTGGAGTTTTGAGGAACATAACTAATCTCTCTTTATTACCTCTCGTTCTAGTGCGCATGATCTCACAAAATGGGATCTGTTCAGTAACTGCTACAGATTACTAAGAACTGGAATTGAACATGGAGCTATGCCAGAACAGGTACAGTTAGCAACACCTGCACTGCATCATTTGGGGATTCAAAGTTTTAAAGAGTGTAGCTGTAGAGAAATTCAAAAGCTTAATGCACTAGACTTCAGTTATTTAGGAAAAACATAGAGTTTTGAATGACATTTACATTGTAGTGAGGCACTGTCCAGGAGGTAGAAAAGCTTGGATTCTGTGATTTTTTTGCTACTTGCCTCACCTTCCTCATCTGTAAAGTAAGGAGTAACTAATGTTCCTGGCTGTGAAAAGCAATGCATAAGTCATGATGTTTACACTGAAACCCAACATTTGTAAACCTTGGCTGTAATTAGAATTATCACAAACGATTATTATGCATTGAAGGTAAGATGGAAGCTTATGAAAACCAGAAAACAAGAACAACATTTAGCAGGGATGCTGGCCAGCCTTTCCAGTAGAGTTCTTTTAGTGGACATGTCTTGGACTTTTGTTTCCTCCTAGTTTGGTTTTAGTTTCTCATGGATGAGCACAGGGACCATTTCAGATTCTCCCAGGATTCCAGTTTAAACTGCAGACTGCCTACTCCAGCATTTCAGCACATTTTAAGGTATAATTTGATTTCCATTTAGAAGCCAGTTGTTAATTCTAACTCAACTTCATTTAGGAAAAAAAATTTCTCATTAAGTTCTGTAGAAGTATTTTCTAAAAAAGGAGCATATGGAGGACGCACGCCACATGCCATGTGAAAGTCATGGCTTTAAGCTGTGGGACCTTCTCCTGTCTCTGCGGTTGCTACTTAACACTGGAATTGTGCTACCTGGAAGGAAGGGGCCAGCAGATAAAAACTGTCCATGCAACTACCAGCCATCTTCAGTTTCTGAGTTTTACAGTGATATGGCTCCCCAAATACTTCTGTAAGATCTTGGGAAAAACGTTCTGAAATCTGAACTCTCCTCAGTATTTCTTCCCCCAGTCCACTAGAAGGAGTTCATTGAAAAGGAATAGTAGTGTCTTTAGTGATATCTTTCCAAAAAAGTATTTTGTGATCAGAGCTGTTACAAACTGGATTTATTCTGCACAGAACCACAAACTGTTGGAAACATCTTCAAGCCAAAAAGATTTTGACATTTTTAGCACCTAAAATAGATTTGAAATTTTAAAAAGACACCGTGGATGCTTTTGTGGGCACCATAAAAATGAGCCTCGTCTTCTCCGTGAGAAAATTTGTATTTTCTCCCTTTTTTTTTTTTAGAAATTGGGCTACACGTTCATTTGACAATGGAACAAATTTCCAGACTGTTTTACTAGTGAGGTCAGATTTAGAGGTATTTAAACAGATGCTTTTGAACTGAGATATGTAGATGTTGGGTTGTACTTCTATCATGCTGTGACATCACCTCTTGCTGTACTCTAATGCACAGTGTTCTGTTCTGTTTCCCAGCATTTACATAGTATTTTTTTCACCTGTAGTAGGCTGGATTTTTATTGCACCAAACTGACTAAAGGAAAACATAATACCCTTGGAAACGGAAAGTGCTACCTAAGAACTGCTCCTATTTCTTCTCCCCAAAATGCATTCTAAATTTTACACACACTTTACTGATATGCTTGATATTTCCAATGTGCTGGGATTCTTTGTGTTCCCTCTGTTACAGATAGTTGTTCAGGCACTGCAGTGTTCCCACTACTCTATTCTCTGGCAGCTGGTGAAAATCACTGAAGGCTCCCCTTCCAAAGTAAGTAGGCATTTGATCATACAGCTTTTACTGAGGAAACACAACTTGCCTAAAAAGGCATTAGACCTGATTTTCTGTAACTCCACCCACCATACCGTCATTTTATGTCATCGTGAAACAGATATAAAATGTTGGTGTTTTGATTTATTTGATACTTCAGGGTCTATTTAACATCATGCATATGTCTAAACAAGCTGTACAAACAGCGAAAGCTTGTCTTTATCAGGAGTTTATACTACATGGTTTTTAGATTTTTATTGCTGAAGATACTTAATGCACTTTATTGCGAGTACAGCAGTTTGCATGAATGGATAAGTAATGATGACAATGCTTACCTAATAGGTGTAAGCAATGCTGTTGATCAGTACACCACAGATAGCTTAGTATTTATGTGTATTTACCTTGCTTACTTTGCATCTTTTATGTGGCTAAATATAAAAATAAGGTTACTAGCAGTGATAATTACTAATATAAAGTGCACGCAAGTGTAATGAAGTAAGGACAATGTTACATGTAGCTTGTTTGTTATACTTAGCTTTTCCAGGACCTTTCTTTAGCTCTTCTCTCAATCAGAGGTCAACATCTTTTCTTTTTAGGGCTTTTTCAAAAGTAGTACATCAAATTAAAATGGTATGAAAACTGAAGTAGTAAGTGTACTTCCCCATCAGCATCAAAAAGAAAAAGATGCTATACTAAAGTACTGCTAAAATAAGCATTTTATGCACATAAAAATGATAAAAATACAGTGTAAATCCTTTGAGTTGTTTTGATACTGACATATATTGACATTTTAAAATAGCTACTAGAAAAAAAGAATAATTGGTATTCTTTATTCTGGCTTTTGTTCCCATGTTCCCCTCTCAGCTGCTTTAGCTTCTTTCTCTTTAGCATGCTGGTAGTATATAATTATTACATCTTGACTCCTTATAACTGAGAAAACTGAATACATCCCATTTGTTTTAAATGAACTCAGAATCTCATCACAATAAAGCATCTGAGTCCTCCTAGCTAGCAGCATTATTATCTTTAGGAAATTTCACTTTGACAGAAGGAGCTAAGTAACTAACAGTAAATCCAGGAGGCCATACATTGCTTCAGCCCTTAAGCCCACAAAACCAAAACACCAAATCTCATTCTAATGCTTCCCTGGTAAGGAAAACTGGACTGCTGGTTACCTGTGTAGTGAATGACTTGGGTATGAGGAATCAAGCACTTAAAGCAAGTGCCATTAGAGCACCTGGTTGAGTATCCAAGCCTGGACACTGTCTTCAACACCTTTATTAAATTTTTCCCCATGTGCTCTTGACTATTGGGTCTTACTAGGTGTCTTACCCACTCCTGAAGATGCCGAACAGCTCTGTTCTCCTACTTGCTGGGCCCGTTGAGCAGCAATGCCCAGTCTTGCCTTGCTCTGGGTGCAAATGCCGAGACACAGAGTGTTCGGCAAGATTTTCATCTCCCTTCACTGCGTTACTCCATTTTTTTGAATTAAATACAGTAAATTGCTGCAGTCTAACATAGATGGTGCAGAGTGATAGCTGTCAGCATTGCTGGAAAAAAGTTTCATGTTTTCTTGTGTCTAAATTATAGCAAAAGAAACATACTTACCATAAACTACAGGTAGTGACTAACACATACGGCATCTATCTGCATAGGACCTGGTCAGAAGCCTTGCATTTTGGTGTCAAAGTATTAATGTGGACTGTTGTTTGCAATATTACTGTGATGGTCCAGTTAAACTGAAAAAGACCTTCATTTATTTCAGTGGCTGGGTTTTTCTTGTGGACAAGCTTAGTATGGCTTTGCCTAATTTTTGAAATAGGATACATTTGTATGAGACATTGATTTATGAGATGAATGCAGAATAGCCTTGATCTTTCATGTATTTCTAATACTCTGATTCATATTAGTCATAATGTAGTTCATAGGAATGGAAGGAACTATGAAAGCTCCATCGAAAATAACCATTTGAAGTACAAGTCAATTCTGCTTCTGGAATCCCCATTGAAAATCATAATTACTCTAGCCTAGAGAGTTACTAACTTACTGTTTGGGGTTTCACCCCACCCCCTACAAAAATAATGAGTCTGCTGCATGCTTAGTTCAAGTGGAGCACTGCATTAATGCCCTTCAGCTCTTCATTCCTGGCCAGCAACCTCAGCTATGCTCACAACAGAAACAGGATAAAAAGAAATTCGCCAACCTGGTGTGGTTGTAGCATTTTGGTCTGTGTGGTTTTTTTCTATCAAACTTTCCATTGTAGTTTGTTCACTGTGAAAATAAATCTAATCTGCACTATATCTGTCATTTAATCCATTAGGAGATCATTTTGCCCATGGTTGTTTTTTATAAGCCATAATGCGGGCTTATAAGTTAGCGGACATTAAAGGGGATCACTTCTAAAGTATGATGTATGGGAAGACAAAGGGATTAACACAAGCATCTCAAAATGAAAAATAGAGCATTTAATGAGCATTTTTTAAGTATTCAGGCTTTTACAGGAACATTTCTGACACAGTGTTTTATTATGTAGGTCCATCCAGCTTTCTAGTGTTACTTTGCTGTGGCTGTAATGATCTAAGGACAGAGGGAGGTGATGATTTGTAGGCTGAAGTGGTATCTTTAGTAGACCAATGGATATAGCTGTAAAAATTAGAGAGGCTTTTGGACACACAAGCCTTTCAGGTTTGAAATAAAAGCAGAAGACTACAAAGCAAAATACAAGTTGAGAACAATTGCTTCATTTCTATTTAGATACAGATCAGGTGAACTGTCTCTAAAACAAAAGGAAAAGCTCATTGGTACCTATAGGGGGGTGGGAGCAGGAGAAGGTGAGGTGGTAAGACCATTACTGGGAGGGAAGTAGGAGCTGGATAGCAGGGAAGAGAAGGAAGATGAAAGATGATAAGACTAAAGGAGAGAAGGGAATTTATAATATGTCATAAAACTAATCTTGAGTCCTTGTTTTTCTGTATCTCTTAGATTTATGAATTTTTGTTCCCAGGCTCGTGTTTAGAAGATGATTTTTTAGATTTCCCTTGAGCCTCCAGGCTGTGAGAGATCAGAAATGGAGGGATTGATTTGTAAGAAATGTTCACCTGCTGCCAGCTGGGTCAATTGTGTGAGTTAATGCTGGCAAATAGTAGCTGCTCTGTTTCACCTAGTTAGTTACCATGTAGGCATGCAATGCACAGGATAAAGTATATTAACATTTTGGAATTTTAAGTACAGCATTCAAGGGTGTTAATGTTTCTGTGGGAGGAAGTATTTAGTTTGGTAGTAGTGGGCATATATTGGAAGGTTTTACATTTCTTAATCAGGTATGCTCTGCATCCATTAGGTGTAGATTTTATTGCAGGGAGTTTGCAGGTGGGATGGGTGGTTCTGGTAAGATTTCTTTCAAAGTGAGTTCTTTGAGTTCAAAATTGCTTAATAATTTTGTGCATGGGTTCTAGGGTAGAGATGCATGACAACAAGGGGTATACAATTGGGAACAGAATCTTTTTGGAATGAAATTAATCTTTATCTAGTGTTCAGATGGCTCTTCCAAAAATACAGCTCTCTCCTAAGAGGATTGCCCTTTTTTGGAAACTGCCCTGGGCATTATGCCCAAGCCCAGGGCACATTTATTGCTTTCTGAGAGATACTTTATGTTACAGCTGTTGGGTATTTTTTGGATTATGGCTGACTACATGAGGCTAGGTGTGTTGCTTTACATGTGTGGCTGGGAAAAATTGTTTGACTCTTGTGGTTTAAATGAAATTCAGATCAAGTCAGCTCATTGATTTATTAACAACACATAATTAACCTGCAGTCAGCACAACACATCTCCAGGATAAGTATCAGCTATACAGCAGGTAAACCAAAATACTAGACACTTTTATAATGCTAATGAACACCTACAAATTTTGAACTACCCTTCTGTAACTGTTCACAAGTTACTCTAATCCCCTCCCCAAGACACACACATAATTTAGAGTTACATGTGCACACCCTTACTCTCACAGGAAACGTGACATACAAGCCCATTGCCCTTCTTTTGGAAGCATGAGATCATATATATGGCTGCTGTTGGATATGTGGATGCTCCAGCTTCATGTGTACCCACACCCACAAAAGACTCCACAGTCACATACATGTGCTGGAAATGTAGGGTCCTGCATGTTGCACCCCATGCTGACAATCCTTCAGATGGATGCAGGCTACTTAGGGCTTCCAGCAGGGAGGATGTGCCACTAGGCCTAGGCAGCGGTTGCAGTGTTGGCGTGTCGGACTTGGTTTGACTGCTGCTCTGTTCCACCCCAAGGTTCCTCTCCATAATCACGACTTCTCATGCTGCTTTTATACTTCTTTACAAGCTGACTCCTCCTTTTCTCAAAAGTTTCTTGGCAATCTCCTGGTTACTGTTTAATCTGGTCATTTTAAGCAAATTCATTGTTAGCTTTCCTCTCAGCATTATCAATTTTTAGGCAAATACCCCCTCAGAACAGGTAGTTTTTGTATTTTGTTCACAGACACTGTTGCACTCATGTTCTTGTCATATCAGCTGTCATTTATTGAGGCTGTTACCAAGAGGGTGCTGTGCAGATTCCCCCACTCTGTGTAACATCATTTGTAGACTCCAATTTTGATGATAGAGCTTAAGGAATTGATATCAGCATAAAAAAGTTTCAAAGACGTTTTAATAGCAGGATGATAATTACTGATTATTTGAAATAGTAAGGAAGTCCAAATTCTCTGCCCAATAACAAAGATTCCACCAGTTAACTTAAATACAGCATAGAGTTGGGGCAGAGTTATTTTAAAACTCTTTTTCAAGGTAGCCTGTGAAAAAAAGGGCATACTGAGGAGTGAAGTTGGTGTCTAAAATATGAAAGGAAGAATTGATTACTAAAAGTAAAGCTGCAGCAGGTAAGAATGAAATGTGTAAGCCTTGAAATATCCATAGTCTAATGCTCTAATCTTTGGTCTTTCTCTTGTACGTGTTCAGAGGAGGTTGAGGCCATGACTGTGTGAGCTGTCAGTAAGCAGACTAGTGCTCTTTGTGGTAAACAGCACAGTACTGGTGGCGGGGGTGGGGTTTATACGGTGTAGTTTTGGGGAGCAGTCTGTTGTAGCCTGGAGAAGAACTGTTCTTCATGTGACAAGGGGTTTGAGGATGGTTTTGAAGGAAGCTGGTAATTTCTTAGAAAGAGTTCTCTTGTCTGTAGATCCTGGGGAGCAAGTACGGTGTTGAGGTAGGAGACTTGGGGGATTATACGGTTGTTGTTTCCATTTAGATTTCTTGATGTATTCAATAAACCAGGTGCCTGGGACCATTTTACTAGGCACTGTACATGTATGTAATGAAAAGGAAATATTTGCGGAAGAACAGAGTCCAGAATCTTAAAACAGTAAAAAAAACAAAAGCATGAATGGAGCTAACATTTGGAGGCAAGACAAAGGTGAAACAGTTCTGAATGAGCAGCAGCCAGACTAGCCAAATGCATAGCTATTACAGAGTGATTAGTAGGCAGAGGAGTTAGTAGAGGGGATTTAACGAACAGCATAGTGACTTAGTGACTTTTCATATTTATATGGGCACAAAATGCTGAAGGGAAGAAGAGTCACAAGGTGCAAAAGGTTGGATTGTGTTCCACAGCTGAGTTGAAAGCTCATGGCTCTTGAATGTTGTAAAGTTTATCAAAGAGTTGGAGTTACAAGGAGAAGGAAGTTAGTACCTCAAATAAGTAGTTTAGAGGAAAGGCAGTGGGCAAATAGGAAGAAAAGCATTGAGTTTGGTAGATGAACCTAGCAAATGCACAGCATTTCTAAATGTCTTCAATAGAAAAAACAAGCTTCAATTTAAAGCTAGAAAATAACTGAAGAATTTTAGATAGCAGTCTTGTGAACGCAGTTGTTCAGTTACAGGTGGTGGCAAAGCCAATACAAGTCCTTGCTCTTAGCAGCTCATTCTTGTTCCTGCCACAGAACAGTTAAATTTGAAGATATTACACTGTATGGTTCAAGAAAATGTTATTTTTATCCTGGGTCACTTAAGTGATCCAGTTCACAGTGTGACCCCATGGTTTTACCCTAGCAACCAGGAGGACAGTAAAATTTTTTCATACTAGTTTTACTGCTGAAGCCAGCATATCAGGTTATCACACCTCAAGAGCCTTGGCTGTGTGCCTCAGAATAGTAAAAGACTTGAAAATCTAATTCATTTTTTTTCTTCCCATTTTCTCTTTTTAAAAAAATTGCCACTTTATAGTAGTCTGGGGATTTCTCCAAATTTAGAAAAGTTCCAGATGGCTCTGTTGTACTGTGCAGTTGGGCTTTCTTTTGCTGTCTGTAGCTCTTCAAAATGAATCTTTGTCATGCTATCAAGAGAGAGTATAATATAAATGTGTGCCTACGTGTTACTCATTCTTTGACAGAAAGCAAAATGGGAAACATACTCAGTCACTTTTTAACCTTTATATAGGATTTTTCATAGGTTTTAGTTTATCTGTTGAATTTGTTAATGTTTAAATGGAAGAGAATTGTGATAGAAAGTAGGAAGTTATTAAAGTGATTGTAGTCCCAATGTTTAAAGGTGTGAATCAGATGATTATGTCACAGTGAACTGATAAGCCTGGCATCAGTCCTAGGTAAAATCTTGGACTGGCTGCTAGAAAACACAGTCGGTACAAGACTGAAGGGTAGAATGAACATGGCCAAGAGGGAAGCCTGGAAGGAACACATAAATTTGTTCTTGAGAAGATTGCATTTTTGACTGATAAGGAAACAAGTTGAAATACCAGTTTCTGTAAGACATTAGTACCACATTGCATTTCAGGTGAATACGTGAATTTAATGTAATTCATATTCAGTAGCTCAAAGCTGATTAATATATTCAAAAAAAGTTGTAAGTGGGAAATAATCACACAATGGAATAACTTCTGATGTATTCCAGGAGAGATCCGTTCTCTGCTAAAAACTGATGATTTTTACCAATCGTCAGGGAAGATAAAGTGAAGACATTTAAAATGTGGATGATATAGATCACTTGGTAAACAAAATACAGTTAACAAAGAGTCATTTTAATGCTGCCAAATGGAAGGCAGAACAATCTGGGAAGAAGAAGGCTGATCAGTGGAAAGTTGTGGCTTAGAATAGAGCAGAGCTGTCTTACAGATTATGTAATGGCAGGATAATGCAGTGGCACGAGGCATCCTTGGCTATATTATCAGAGAAAAATTTATTAGGAATAGGAAGGTGAGGTAGCTCATAGACCTTCAGTGTCCATATCAGAAAAATCACGCTCACTCTACTGAAAATTATAAGAGATTCAGAGATTTAGGAACACTTGGGGTGCTTCAGCATGCTTGCAGACCTGCCTTCTGTTGTGAACCAGTACAGGAAGAACATATGGACCACAAAAAGGCTTTTCAGTAAACAAAGAATAACAAGATCTTACGATAGGAAGCAGTAGGAAAAGCTAAAACTAGAAATGAGACACATGGACTGAACAGCCAGCTTAATTAAAAATTAGAATTTTTAGCAAGGAAAATGTGACATCTACACTATGTAGATTCTTTAGATTAAGGTTGGATGTTGTTCTGTAGGGCACCGTGTCTTCCATCTGAAAGCTGATAGAGGTATCACAGAGGAAAATCTGCAGGAGCGGTAGACCAGCAGTCTTCGTGTGCATTAACAGCTGTCACAATCCCTTCTTTATATGAAACCAGTGATGGTGAAAACTGGGAAGGGAAAGGTCTTTCAAGCAATGGTCCCAGGTGCATGTGAGAAATGGTGTCATCTGTGGGGCCCTGGCAGAACTGCTGGCAGCATGGAAGGAGATCCAAGTGCTGGGAGACATGTGGTATGGCAGGCAGGAGCAGACAGGGCAGAAGTGTTTGTTGTACCACCGGAGCAATGCAGAGTAGCAAAATCTATGAACCAATGCTGACAAAACTAGTCCTTTTCACAAAACTGGAAACTAACACAAAGTCCTCGTGATTTCTGGTTCTTGTTTTCTTCTTGGTATTTGGTTTATCACTACTGTAAAACAGAGTAACTATTTTAGTTTGCGCCAAGAAGCTGTGTGCGTTTTCAGTATGTTTCTTGGTTACAATAGAGGCAGTCCTAGCTTTTCACATAGGAGGGTTCTTCTTCTATAATTGATTTGCTGTTTCCATGTGGCTACTTGCTGTATTCTTACGAGCCTGCCGCTTCAGGTACCCACCTTTAAAATACACATCAGTTGTCTCTAGATCCAGGTGATGAAGAACAGTCAGTCATTTATGTTTTCCACCCACAAATCCTTTTTTCTCCAGATCAACAAACCTCTCTCCTCCTATAACTCATCAGATTTCTGTGATTTGCCTTCACATTTTCCATGTCTGTGGGCAGTTGGGATAATGTTTTTGTTGAACTTGAGACATTCGTTGGTATTTTAATTTTTTGATCATGTTGATTTATTGTACAGAATTCTTTTTAAACCACCAGGTAGACTTACCTTGATGTATTAAACTTTTTGTTCTGAAAAATTTATAATTTACATTCAATATAAAATACAGACAATTTAACTCAGGAATGTATTATTGTTGTTGTTGTTATTGTTGTTATTTTTATTAAAAGGGAAACTTTGGGTCATTTCTCTGAAAATTAATGACTTGTTTTACTCTGTGCTTTATGAATAGCATGTTTTTTCACGGCCTTTTTTGTGTGGCTAGTTTATAGGATTGAATGTATGAAATTATGACCATCTTTTTATTTTACTTTTTCCTAGCAACCTTTTATTAATATTTATATATTATCCCTCTTTAATGCTCCTTCTAGGAGGACTTGTTGGTATTGAGGAAAACTGTGAAATCCTTTCTGGCTGTCTGCCAGCAGTGTCTGTCAAATGTCAACACTCCAGTCAAAGAACAGGTAAAGGAAATGTCTGACACATGCTTTTAAAAAAATGTGAATATTAAACTGTAGTGAAGCTCAAGACGACACTATATCAAACTGTGCCTTCTGTCTAAATAAAACTGAACAAACACTGCATAAGAAGAGCTGTATTAAAAGCACCTTCAAAGCACAGCTCATGTCAAATTCATTTTTGGTATAACAATAAGGATTACGTGGATGCTTAGGCTCATGTTCAGCTGTCATAACTTTAGGCATCTAACTCAATCACCTAAACCAAAAGCCTATTCCTTTAGACACTTACTGTATTAAGAGATAGAAATAGGCACTTTTAGAGGGTGAATGAGATCTCAAATGGGCTGAATCCTTCTCTGTGTATTTCTGGATTTTTTTCCCCGTTATTGACTAATAGGGAGTCTAGAGTGACTGCTTTCCTGCAAAGGCAAATGCCTGAAGCCTCGATGCTGTTTCATTATTTCATTATCCTAATAATTCAGTTAAATGTAGTGGTGAATACTAATTATTGTATCTCTTTCCCATTGTGGATAATGGGAGAAAATTGAGGCTTCTAGCATTACAGGTCATACTACTGCATATTTTCTAGCAGAAAAAAAATTTAATTCATTTTACAAAAATACTCTGAATAACACTGAGAGTGTAGTGTCCTCTCACACTATACAAAAATCGTCACTTCAGAAATAGTTATGTCTCCTTGAGAAATCAGAGAAAAGTATCTGTTTAAACAGCGTCTTCATTATAGAAATATAAAAATCTGGAGGGTTTTTCAGATTCTCATCCACATAACCATTATAGCTTAGGTTGCTGTGCTCCTGTGTTTGGTAGGCTGACTGAAAACTTAAGTGCATGCATCTCTCTGCATGTGTATGTGTGTGCACACATATGCCAAAGGTATATATGTGAAATATGATTGCATAATGAGATACCAGATTTTTTTATGGTTCACTGTAGTTATCCAGTTCTCTGGTTTAGATTTTTGGAAAGCTATGCATGCATGGAGTGGGAAGTTTCTGCTCTATATATTTAGAAAATGAAATAAAATAAATGAAATTGAAGGGCTTCTTGAAATAGTTCGCAGTCTCTGAAAAAAATAATAGCTTGTTTGTTTGCTGAGATTTTATGAATATATGCTGATTTATATCAAGTCTGTTGACATCTTTTAGTTGTCTACAAATTGCATTTCTATGAGACCTCCCAAGATTTTGCAAAGACTGTAACTAACTGGCCTGTGGTTTTTGCCAGTGTTTTTTTTTTAAAGATAATACTTCTTAAAAGACAATTTTTTGAAAGATAGCTCTGCTTGGCATTTACACTGTGTTCTGCAAGTTTATAAATATTAAAGGCTTGGAGATGTCGCTAATTTATGTATTTTTAAAAGACTCTGACGTGTCATTGTCTTCCAGCAGATTTAACTTTAGTAATTGTTTTTTAATATTCTGAATAGTTACTCTTGGCATATTTTATTAATATTATATAATGTGAAAATATCATCTAGCTTCATGAAAATACCAACCATTCTAGCTTAACCTAGCTAGCGCTAATGTCTTTTCTGCATCAACAAATGGTAAATGATCCTTCCCATTACTGCAGTGGTTTTGTTCTTGATATATATTAACATGTTTTTACTCTTTTATTATTAGTGGCCACAATTTTTTTTTCATTGGTAATTTAAACTTTTCGTAGAAGCTCCTTTGCACTTCACAATTCCGTGGAAGCTTTCAAGCCTCAGCTAGACAAAGCCACCACCAACCAGACCTAGAGACAGCAAGTGTCCCAATCAGAGTAGATTGGACTAGAGAATCCAGAGGTCTCTTCCAGAGGTCTCTTCCAGCTAACACTTCTATGATCTTTTTAATTTTCTTCCTTAAAAAGTATATTTCTGCGAGTGCAGGACTGTTGCTCAATCCTTTAGTTTTACTGGATTTTTTGAGAATTCTGTGGATGTTGTCTCCCTACCATATTTCATTCTTAATCTATGTATTCTTTCCAGAGAAGATCAATGTACATATCAAAGGAAGAAAAACATATTAACTGTTTATAGAAACAGGACTCAAACATTTCAAATTTTCCTAGACTGAGTGAAATAAATCTTCTGTGACTAGACGTATCTACAGTATATTGACATGTGTATCTGAGTCCACTGCTGTCTTTATATTAGACAGAAATAAGCACTTTCAGTGCATTATTGATATGCTCTTTCTTAGAGGTCTACATTAGGATGAGCTTAAATTTTACTGAGTATCAAAGGAGTTTAGAGCAGATGAGATCATCACTGAAATGAATGACAACTTTTTGGATCCAGTGGAGAATAATCCCAAATAGAGGCGTCTGTTTCCGAAGTCTAAGTAGAACATAGTTTACAATGATTTGCATTTTGTTCTTGCCTGGGTATAGCTCATTCAGATTTTATAACATACTCGAAGAAACAAGTGAGCTGCTATGACATTCAGCGTTCACAAAGATTTCACTTTGGAAGTTTGTAAAGCAGATTGCTCTCACTCACAACTTTTCCTTAGACTTGGTTCAAAAAAATGTTTAAACACACATTTAAGTATCTTTCTGTTCAGCTGTTTGTAGAGGGGGAATATAGGACTGAATTAAAGCCTACACTGGATTTCATGACTCTGTCAGAGCTATTCTACAATCTCTCTTCAGTTGAAAATGCCTCTGGCCTACCACCTACGTGGGAATCGTGATTGACACTGCCCTGAGTGAGACTCCTGCAGGCTTCTGGGGGAAGAGACAGCACATCCAGCATAGATCTTCTAGGAGACTTTTTACACACTCATACTCTGAACCTTCCTCTCTTTCTCAGTTTTTAGAACCTGAGGTTAAAGATAGAGAAACTAAGATGATTAAAAAGTACTTTCTGAAAGGTGCTCAGGTGTGGAATGTAATGCAAATGAATACAGCTGGCTGTGACACTCCAACATAAGCCATTGGGGAAAATAGTGTTATTCTTCTGCATGAGAGTATACAGATAAGCCCTTGAAAGAAATAAAGTTAGTAATAGCTGCCTTCTTTCTCTATTCTCAGGTAATGAGGGTATAAAAGCAGTGAGCATAAATCAATGAAAATTCTGCCCTTGTTGGCTTTTATCTAGAATTGAAAGCTGTGCAGAGTTACTTGATTCTTTTTGCAGAGAATTGTTGATGAAATTCTGCAAGAATTTCTTTGCTTGCAGCTGCTTCTCTGTATTTTCTGGATCTGACAGTGACATAGCTTGGATTTTTCCTTCATAATGTTGTTCATTTTTTTGCTTGTTTAACTTTTCTAACTGTTTATTAAAAAGAGTTGGTTTTTCTTTACCTCAAATTTGGCTACAGTCCTTGGATCAAAAGTAGATTTAGAGTTCTTTTCATAGAGTAGAAATGGAAGTTTAGTGTGGATCATCCTGGACGTGGAAGAGGTAGTAAACGCAGTTCTTACATAGGAATTACAGGCATAACATTTTAAAGTTAGCGGAAACCCTTATGAACACTTTTCACAGCATGCAAACAACTACAACTGAGTACAGTTAAAGAAGGACATTTAATAATAGCATGGCATATCTGGAAATTAGAGAAATGGTATTTTATTTTTCATTTACTTGACTTATGCTTCTTACTGCATTCATTCTCTTTTGCCTTTCAGGCTTTCATGCTGCTTTGTGATCTCTTGATGATTTTCAGTCATCAGCTGATGACTGGGGGTCGAGAAGGTCTTCAGCCTTTGGTGTTTAATCCAGATTCAGGCCTCCAGTCAGAACTTCTCAGTTTTGTGATGGACCATGTCTTTATTGACCAAGATGATGAAAACCAGAGCATGGGTATGTTTAGCTTTCATATTTTCTACTTAGCTTTTTTTTTTTTCATAACAGACCCAGAAGAAAGAAGAAAATAGAATTTTCAGATCCGTTTGCTCATATGTTTTCAGAATTATTCCTTCTTCATTTCTGGGAGGTGTGAATATGAAATACTCAATATTCAGTACTACTTGTGTTAAAGAATAAGTATTTACAAAGTTCACTTCATAAAAAAAGATGTTTTCAGAAGACATGGGAGTGGTCTGTAACTACATGTTATAAATCTGAACGAAATTATTCTTCCTTTACTGATCTATATTTTTCTTAATGTTTATTTCCAAAACTGTACCATCTTAGTTGAGCAGCAGACTCCATTTAATACGGCTTCAAGGGAAGAAGTCTGGTGGAACAGTACATAGAAGAGAAATCCTTTAGCGTTACTGAACAGGGTTATAGGATCCTGAAGGCAAACCTTACCAGCAAAGCTGTAGGCAAAGAAGGCGTTAAGGAATTGATGTTACTAAATAAACACCCCTTCTGCTCCTCCCCCAAAATAATCAAATCAAGCTCAGGACATCACTGATTTGGTTGGAGACTAGGAAAGTACTTGGAAAGTATCGTGTATGCTTGCTTGCTTCCTTCCTCTTTCCTAGGCATCTGTGCCTGGCCACACTTTGAGAGGCTGGAGTTGGAGGTGACCCCATCTCTACGTCCTCACAAGGATGACTTGAGATTTTTGGCTTTCAGTCGGGGAGAGGCAGATTTGTCATTTAGGTCCGGTTTTAAATAACTTGATGCTGCTGGTGTGTGTTATAAATGCCTCAATGCAATTAGAGAGGTATCCAGTTTCTGAATCCTAAATAGCTTTGGACAAGAGATGGATTCCCAGATGGTCAAACTGCTATGTGTATGCTGAGTGCATACTGTAGTGCTCTTTTTGGCACTCTTTCTGAATTTCTGCTGTACTCAGTTACTTGTATGCTAGCGTGACACATAAGTGCTATTTTAGATCTTTTAAGACAGCAATATGTAGAACTAAGATCTAAGAGAATGTATCCTTGCTCTAAAGGTGCTTTCAGTTTTCTAGCTCCTCAGTAGCTAACATCTTTGTTGAGCATCTCTTTAAGGATTCCTGGGAAGAATACATTTTGAAACACACCTTCACCAGAAATGTATGTGCAGTTAATCATACTTTGTGAGTTCAATGTTCAGAATAATACATCAAGGATAGATTTTAGGAGAACAGTGTCTAATTTTTTTTTGCTCTTTAGCAAAATTGCTGTTCTTTAACATCCTGTGATTGGACTGGGAAGACAGCAAAAAGATGGATGAAGATCTTTGTATGTAACCTCCATTCCCTAATGCTACTCTGACTCCATGAAGTCAGTCTGACCATTTATAACTTTTGGTATTCAGAACACGTCAGTAATGATAAAAAGAAATTAAGAAAGGGGGGGGGGGGGGGAAGGAGTGTGCTAATGGGCTTCAATTCTGTGGGTTAAAGTATCTCAGGATTAAGACATGCATGCATATTCACAGTCAACTCCACTGCTCCTAAGAGATTTCCTGTGATCAAATATGTGACTTAAGTACTGTGGCTCTGTGGAGACTCTAGTAAGAGTGCAGCAAGAGAGTCTCAGTGACACCATGTCCCTCCTCGCCCCACCACAGCTCTGTACGTCTTCAAACTGGTTGGAAGATTCCCTCCAAGAATAAGCTCTTCTAATTACCACAGAATATTTACTTTTATCACAACTGTTATAGCTGATTTCATTTTCTTATATAAGTTGTGGAATATGCTTTTATTATATTTAACATTTTATGTGTAGAGTTACATTTTCATTCACAGAGCGGAGTCTTACATTGGAACTTAATACTTATGACATTGCCATTAAATGTTAATGTTTCTTACAACTGAATTTTACTTCTGTAGTTATTGATGCTTTAGAGCCATCGATTTCATATCTGAAAATCCAAGGCATGCAGTAAAAGTATTGCTGCTTCTAGTTTTCCTTATGTGAAATATTTATAGCTTAGTCATGCTAATGAAGCATCTCCAAATATCCTGTGTTTCAGAAGTGAAGCAAAAAGCATTCAACAAGTCTTCACCGTGGCCTTTAACAGGGTAAAGAAAATAAGCGATTCAGTTCCATGCAGATTATGTTCAGTACCTACTCAGGACTATAGATAGCATCCTTTGTCAATGGTGTGTCATGTTCCTGAACTTTCCCAAAAGTCTTAACATAGGCAGGACTCAAGAATTATCACCTTTCATTTTAGCTTCTCCTGCAACAAACCTTGCTTCATTCTAAAGAATTGTTTTTTTCTAAAAGCTACTCTTCAATAATGTTGCTTTAGAACATAGCAGCTACTTATAAACATTTTATTGTTGTTGATGCTTTCAGAGGGAGATGAAGAAGATGAAGCTAACAAAATAGAAGCTTTACATAAGAGAAGAAACCTTTTGGCTGCCTTTAGCAAGCTGATAATTTATGACATTGTGGACATGCATGCAGCAGCAGATATCTTCAAACACTATATGAAGGTACAGCTCTGTGTATTCTCCTCTTCCTAACTAAACACAGACTGTAGTGTCAGGGCCCCTCTTTCTCTCCCTTCCAGTGCAGTAGTTAAAGGTTGAACACTTTTGAAAGCTTTTTCAGTCTTATTTGATTTTTTGTAATAGCTTTTTCTTTCTGTATTACACCTCCCACTGAGAAGCAGTAAGCTCTGAAGTTCCTGCCCGTGTAGCAGGAATGCCTTATTAAAGGCAGCACCAAAATCTGGTCCTACAAGGTGCTGAGTATTTCCAGAGAGGCTTCTCTCTACAGAGAATTCCTTATCCTGCTCCTCAAATTCATTCCTAGAATCCACAATAACAGTTACCCATTCAATGTCATATTTCACTGGGAGTCTCCCAGTCTTGGTGCTTGCTGTAAGGAAGCAAGGTTTTTTGTGAGAAAAGATTGTTTTAAACAGGAAAGCAGTAAAAAAAAAAAAAGCTCTGTATAGTACTCTGTAAGTGGGTATGCATTAACTGAATGTCTTACCAACTTACTCTGCTTCCACACAGTATTTAGGCCCAATGAAATTCAGAAAGACTTGCTGCTCAGCTACCACTGCACCCTGTACTTGCGCATCTACCTGCCAGAAAACAAGCACATTAGCAGTCCTGACACCGCCAAGCAATGCAAAGCCCCTCAGATTATATCAAATTGTCAGGTATACCTCACCTGTCTCTCTGTAAGACATTAGTCATCACAAAGATGACAATCAAGGAGGAGAAACTAGAAGACAGAGTGGGGAGTAGATCCTTTACTATAGACAGTGTTTGAGATGTTGATGTGAAATATAAAGGATTTAACTTTAAATCCTCCTTCTCCTGTTCATTAAGAGCACGCAGTACAATAAAATCCCCAGTGCACACTCTAGCCATCAACCAGGTCACTGCTCAGGGTTAGTCTTGCTTAGGGATTTTTTCCAGAGCAGGACTTTCAAACTGAAGCTGTCACAATCTAGGTTAGTTTCCTACCTGCTGCTCTAGGTTGGTCATCTTCTCTCCCCATGCCCCTCCGTCTCTTGAAATTGGGGGAAAGTGAGAGAAACTGAGTTTAAATTAGAATGCAAACTAGAAAGATCTCTGTACCAAAGAAGGCAGGAGCAATATTTTAGAGGGAATGCAAATAAGTGGTTGCAAATGCAGAAATATTAATGAAGCTGAAAGAATACTGTTTGGAAAAAATTTTTTTGTATTCTCAGCCTGGAAGTTTTAACGATTATACAGGCTTTCTACCCAAATGGTCAGTACCATAGGCTGTAGTTCCAGCAACCATTCTTCTAACATAAAGAAAATCAGCACTTCATACTGACTAATTCCTTACTCAGCTTTCTGGTTTCAGTGAATTCCTTTCTTGGCCATCTAACTCACCTTGCATTGTATATGGAGCTTCACACTTGTGTGCTAGTGTCTGTTTGCACCTACTTGTTGAAGGGTGTGTTGGTTCAATGTAATGTTGTTTTTTAGAATTTGCAGCCTTGGGTCACTTTCATCAAATACTTAGTTTGGGGTAGGAAATACTCTTTTGTTTGTTTTTTGACATATCTGTTACAAAAGATAATAACAAATACAGAAGTTCCTTACCTCATCACTGAGTGCAGGCTACCAATCAGTATAAATTTTGATATTAAAACATTGCCTCCCACTCACACAAAAAAGTCTGGATTTGAGACTAGGTTTTTTGGCAACTGCTGCCTTTTCAAAACAAGAATTACAAGTAATCTTTCTATCAGGAAAACTGTAAGAAATTGTATAAGAGGTTCAATTTAAAGGTTTAAAGAGGGTTTTTTCCACATTTTTTCCTAGTACTACAATGACTATGGAGATATCATTAAGGAAACCCTGAGCAAAACAAGGCAAATTGATAAAATCCAGTGTGCAAAGACACTCATTCTCAGTTTGCAACAGGTAAGAATCTTGAATTTTGTTAGAAATGCCTCACTGCAAAAAATACTGGACAGGATTTTCTCTGGTGCCCTTTACAATGAAGTGAAAATACTACACTTCCGTTAAGAGATTATCTTGCTCCTCAATTCAGGCTGTCACTGTTCATTTGTCTCAGTAATCTCTGTCTCCTTAAGCCCACACTGGCAAAGTTTTGGTTAGATTAAAACGGAAGAAAGGGGAGAAGAGCCTTGAAGGCTGTTTGGTCCAAGCTGATTCATAGCATTTGTTTACTGATACCTAGTGAACAAGAAGAATAGGATGACATTTTCTCCTTATAATTAGCTGGAAGTAATGCATCTTATGTACATTTTGTCTAAATACTGATTGATTTTTTCAAACTTCAAGCTAATTAGTTTGTCTTCCAATATTATTAAACATGTTTTTTCCATGAAAAATTTGCTTTACATCAACCATAAATTATTGGCTTGATGATTAAATCCATTCTTGTTCTGCCAACAGCACCAAGTGTGTGCTTCACTAAATACCATTTAGGCCCTTGAAGTACCAGCTATATCCATTGCATAGAAAAATTATTTCTAGAAATAAGATGTTTTTAAATCGGCTGCGCCTCCCAAAATTCATTCCAGACTACTAAGGGATTTCCTGTAGCAATCTGGAAGCTGAGAGATACCTGTGAAAACTTGAGAAAACCAAATGTACTTCCAGAAGAATCGTTGAGTGTCAAAGTAAACTTGGAGAGAGGAAGAAGCCAGGTGCCATAGATCAGTCAGCCTAATATCGTTTCATGAAAAAAAAAAAATTAGACAAGCTATTTGCAAGTGCCTAAGTGATAGGTAACAGCCAGTATGAATTTGTCAAGGAGAATTCATGTCAAATTAAGCTGCTTTCATTAATTATATGGTAACAGAGCTTGTGGATATCAGAGGAACTATAGATTTAATGCAACTTGATTTAATACTGTCACTGACATTGTCTCCCTTGATAATTCTCATTAGCAAGTTAGGAAAATGTGGTCTAAATGGCAATACCAGAAGAAGATATACTGAGTAGTTCATTATTGTACTGAAAGGGCATTATCAAGCAGGCTTTGAAGGCATTCACCCAGTAATGCTGTTCAGATATTCATTAAGTCTTGAATGATGGAATAGCAATTTTGCTTTCTAAATTCAAAGAAGATGCTGATCTGATGGGTGACGTAGGTATTTTAGAAAACAGCATAAGAATGTTGAACCATCTTGATGAGTTGGGAGAATAATCGATGCAATTCAATGAAGGTAAGTGCAAAATTCTGTTCAAGAGTTATCATCCGCACAAGTACAAGATGGGCAACAACTGGCAAACAGCAGTTACACAGAAGAAAGTCCGGGAACTGAAGTGGATTAGAAGTTGAATATAAGAGAACTCTGTTACATCTCTGTGAAAAAAGTCTTTGTAATGTCCACTCATAGCCGTAACAGGTTATGGACAAAAGTCTTTCTCAAGAAAAATGTTCTGTAGCTCACAGATTTTAACAATTGAATTCTTTCTCTAGCTGTTTAATGAGCTTGTTCAGGAGCAAGGTCCCAATTTGGACAGGACATCTGCCCATGTTAGTGGAATTAAGGAACTGGCCCGTCGGTTTGCCCTCACTTTTGGCTTGGATCAGATCAAGACAAGAGAGGCTGTGGCCACACTACACAAGTGAGTGGTGGTAAATAAACTAGATTTTTATATTACTTCAGATTAAAACTTCTGCTTAGCATACCTTTTCTAAAGGTACATAGTCTTAACAGGTCCTGGAATAATGATATATTTTTTCTACTTTATGTAGAAAAATGGTGGGGGGTGTTCATGTATGTATGTAAGAAAGGAAGAACAATGAGCTGCTGCCTAATTCTTTGTTGGAATTTATTGGAATGGCCATGTTTATCTCAGGTAAAGCCACTGGTATTACATATATTTGTGTGGACTGTATCTAACAACTATAGATAGTTCTTTGTACCACACCGCTGTGGATTCTGCAGGCACCAAGGGCTTTTATAAAAAGATATTCCAAAAATATTTTGGAAATCTTTTTTTGTTTCAAGTGGATTGAAGCTTTTTATGTAACTGCTGAACGGGAAAGTGTAGAAAGGTGCTGCTAAATCTAAATTATGACTTTCCCATGCCATAAAAAGGTTAAAATATTAAAGTTTGCTATATCAGAAACTAAGTCATTAAGACTAAGATTAGCAAAGCATGATCAAAATGCTACCAGACACTTTCCTGTGCCAAGCAAGAGAGAAGTCAAGACATGCATGCGCCCTTATTGGATAATGTGGAAGTAAATTGTTTTCTTTAGTCTCAAATGATAAAGCAAAAATAAGGCAGAGATGCATGTATCAATGTAGTGGTAAGTAAATTCTATTCTCTGACTCCTGATGCAAAAGTTATATCCTGTTATTTCTTACATACTATTCTTATTGCAAGCTTCTGCTTCGTGCAGAAACAAGAAAGAGCCAATTGGCATTCCTGCTAAGGCAGTGTCTTTCAGCACCTGCCAAGTTTCTTACATTGTGGTAAATTACTTCTTACCATATGACTGGCAATACATTGTCTTTGAGATTGAATCCTCACAAATTGAGAGGGAACTTTTGATTCCCCTTTGTCCAAAAGCAGCCTTTTTCTAGTAATGAAAAAAAAAAAGTTATGATGGGATATAAAGATATAAAGAATTTTATCACAATTCAGATTTTGGACAACATTTGTTTGATTTTGTTAGAAATGTCTGAAAATTTTTATATTTCTTTACTGTAGAGATGGCATAGAGTTTGCCTTCAAATATCAGAATCAAAAAGGACAAGACTATCCACCTCCTAACCTTGCTTTCCTTGAAGTGCTTAGTGAATTTTCTTCTAAACTCCTGCGACAGGACAAAAAGACTGTGTAAGTAATGCTCCATTTTCTTCTGTGGGTTTTGCTGGGCTCTGTTAATCACTGTAGTGTGTGTTTAAGCTCTCTGCTTTGAGGTTTTCACAATCTAATGGGGCTATAGGAAGTCCTAGTGAGACATTTCACATACATAGTTATTAATTTTATATTTTAAAGTAATAAAAATAAATGAGGAAAGGAGAATCAGATCCACTGATGAGGTGAGTTTGAAACCTCACAGAACAATGTTCCTTAAAATTTCCCATGGGGGACTGAAAATAAAATACAATCTTTTTTTCAGGCTAGAAGAAAAAAGAAATGAAATGTTAGCAGTGCAGGAAATTTACAGGCCTGTAAACACTGCAGTAACATCTGCTTCTGTTAGATATTTACATAAAATGTAAACACATACTTGTTTTCTATTTTAATATGTTGAGTTAAACTGGGAAATAAAGGTTTGTCAAGGCTTCTGTTACTGGCACAATAGGATAGAGAAAGAGGCTGAGAGAGGACACGATTGTTGGTTAGGACAGAGCAGGGTGGTAGAGACCTGGCAGGCTAAAACAAGCAGCCTGAATTTGATATGGTGGGTAATTACTGCAGATGAAATACTGGAAATGAAATAAATCAGAGGTATTGTTGATAAGATCTGAATAAAGAGCAAGAAGTACTGTTTTGTGAGCAACACTTGAACAGACTGTCAAGAGGGGCTGCGGATATCCACAGAATTGGCAGAGAGAAAACTGTGTTATTAAGGGCAAGTTCATAGTAAAGACATGTTGTCAGCATCACTGTGGAGATAATGCTCTATGTTTCTAACACATTATGTAGCAAATATGCAGGATTTGGCCACAGCACAGAAATAGTAAGGGAAAAAGGAAGAGGACTCCAGTCAAAAGTCAGCCAAACGCTATGTGCCCAGTGTAGAACTGAATTCTTTGAATAACTTTATGACCCTTTAAGGAATGCAATTGTCAGATCTTCTGATTTATGGCTATAGATGTCTTTCCAGTCAATTTTCTGACCACAATGAGTGTAAGTCATATGTATCTACTATAACTACCTCAACTGACTCTGTCAAACTTTTCTGTAGTTTTTCTGTGAAGACATTTGTTTTAAAGGACTTTTCTATTAAGGTTAACAATTATGAATATTACAGTTTTATCTGTGTTACAAGAAATGCATCTTGGTTTGCTTTGTATAATTTTTAACATACACACGCTTGAACCAATTTAATTTTTTTTATTGTATCAATAATTTGTCAATTCAGCAAACACAGTAGAAGAAATAGTTAAATGAGCTTGAGAATTGGATGATCCAGTTGCACTAGCTTGGCACTCAGTTTTTGAAACTGCTCTTCATTGTTATATCCATGAATCTGGTCAACCTCTGTCCCATTCTTCAGGACAGGACTTAAGGATAATAGGATTTTATGACTATCTTCCTAGCTGAACCATAGATTCTCCTGCATCTGTTAAAGTGCCATTAATCTGATTCTATTTAATTTAGTGAAGTTTATCCTTCCTGTACAGTCATCATCCCTTCCACAAGTTTCTCCAGTGTTTAACATTTAAAGTTACATCATTCTGTACAGTTTATGTGACAGCTTAATTTGACCTGATCCTTTGCGTGAAATTCAGTACTTCAGGAGGAGATCTTGTTCCTTCACCTTCTATGTTGCCATTTAAAATTTTTTCTCGAAGGTTCTCCCACTCATTGGTGCCCACATACACAACCACTGGCTTCTTTTGCAGGACTGTAAAGATTGCTGTGGTGGAATCCATTTCTTCTGATTTTATCTGTCTTTATTGTAGTCATCTGTGAGCTATTTACTTTAGCTGAATTTGAAGATCAGTCAAAAGAAATGGTCCTTTAGGGCACGATTTATCTGATCTATGCTAAATTACTACTTTAAGATGAGTTCAGACATGGCCTAGATTCCATTGGCTGTAGTGACTATGAAAAGAGTCAAGATAACTTGCTTAGATGTAAAGATTTCTTTTGGAGATATCTACATTCCTTCCCTTGAGGGATCCGTCATGTTTGCAGCCATCAGGCAATGTCTGCGTTGCCCATAGTGCTTCACTGACATTCCATACTCAGCTATACTCTGGATAGTTGATTTGCCCTTCTCTGTAGCATCACTCCTCCAATCCACAGGGACCTCTTCCCCTCCTTCCAAAGGTGTTGCCTATGAACAGGAAGGTCCGTGACCACCATCTGGTGGAGAAGCCCTGTGTGCAGGATCATTTACCTCTCTCCCTGGCTTGATCTCCTCCTGCCAAGTGGCTGTCCCTAAACTCAGCAATGGGCTGTTACTCTGGAGGCAAAAGTGCTCTAGAATAACCTGGAAAGTCTCATGAGCATATGCCTGTTTCCCAGAAGTCCTCCAGCTTGGCTCTCCTACCTCAAAAAAATTAGTTATCTATCCCATATGTCTGCATGCCATCTGCCCTTGGGACAAAATACCATTCTTGTCACAGTTAAGCAAACACTGCTCTTTTGCAGGGCTCCTACTTCCTTTCTGGTTTACTGCTGGCCTTTTTATTTGAGGGGAGAAAAGGGAGATGTTTCCAGTTTGGGAATGGAGCGGCAACATTGGTTTCATTTAGTTTTCCTATCCTATTTATTTATTCGGCTTCTCATTCTATAAGTAACCTCCAGAATTAGTGATAGCCATTAATGGATTTATTCACATCTATGGATTTAATATAAAACTACACATTTAAGGTGCCAGGCTCTTACACTTCACAAAAAAAGATCTATACTAATGCAGGTACAGACACACAAGGCAGATGCAGGTACGGAAATCCTGAGGAATTCAGCTAAGACAGTATAGAGGTGAATGGCCCTGTGGAGGCATTTCTTTCTATTTATTTCCCTCAAATAGAGACTTAGCTTAGACTAGCAACTGACTATTGGGTGTCTGAAGTCAGATGAGATGGAGCCTCAGTGTGGTGTTCTTACTTCTAGAAATTCAGAGTTTCTGTCCTTGTTGAAGCTGGTAAGAACTGCCAGTATGAACCTCCTCTAAAATGCTGAGCAAAAGTTGTCTCAAGTTTGGCATCTAATCAATAAAGAACCCCCAAGTGGATCACAGTTTGGGCATAACCTGGGCACTCTAGTTCTATAAATATAAATTGGATGCAGAAAAACTTCTTACTTTTCAAGACTATTCTGCAGATAGATTCTCTAAAGTCATGAAGCACTCAATTGTTGCACTGTTTGGTACTGTAAAACAGAGAGAGACTAAACCAAGAATTTCCCATTCAGTGCAAGGTTTGGGTGTTACTCAATATACACATGAAAAGGGGAAGGAAGAAGCATTCACAATATTGAAGAAAACAGTAGACAGAAAACCTGCTGTTTCTTGAGCAAAGTCAACCCAAAATCCCATTAAAAATTGGGTATGATTGTTACCCAGGCATATACAGTGTGGTTCCTTGTCCTATTCTGAAAGCTAGACTGTGTAACAAGTTTGAGCGTGCCATGAGCTAACAGATGAAAAGTCCGCATTTCCATGCAGAGTTTGTGGGTTTCACTCCCACTGATGACAACCTGGCAATATGGTTTTAAAGGAAATCATGATGGAAGGATGCAGGAAGTAATGTTGAAGTATCCCGAATTCTATTACCTAACTTCTGAATTCTTCGCTCTGCAGCTTGAAACTCATTCAAATCACTTTTATGTGGATTTGCATATTCATTTTAAGGACTGCTTCTAATACCATAATTAAATAATCAATGGAAAAAGAAAACAACTCAAATGCCCTCCAGACCATATACAGGAGGGAGGTTGTTTGGTTCCTCCCTTAAGTTAACAAGTGTGCATTGGACTTCTCCATGGTGGTGGAACAGATCTTCAAATTTTCTATTGAAAAATAACTGCTTGCATTTGAAGAAACCATTTTTCTTGTTCCGAGATACAAAAGGATATCCTACATCCTTACAACTGGTTCTAATTCAATCTGTTGACACAGTAGCCATATACAGAGGTGGCTTCCTTACTGTGCAAAATAGAAAAGGAATTCAAGTAGAGCGTGCTGTGAATGATCGCAGACAAATGTGGGAGGAAGATGTTGGGGAGAGAACTTTTTGTGTTGTTTATCTGTGAGTAACCTGTGCATGATTAACTATGTTACTTTGTTTTGAGGGAATGACGTGTATTCTTACTCAGTCAAAAATAGACACAATGCCCTACCAGTGTATGTTATTAAATTAAAATAAGGAAACACCATGTGGGATTTCTGTTAAGCTCTCAACATATGAAGAGGGGTTGCAGATTAATTAAAGAGGAAACAATGTGCTGTGCCTCTGTACTCATTTTCTTTTATTTTCAGTCACTCCTACTTAGAGAAGTTTCTGACAGAACAGATGATGGAAAGAAGAGAAGATGTATGGCTTCCACTCATTTCCTATAGAAACTCACTAGTTACGGGTGGTGAAGACGACAGAATGTCTGTTAACAGTGGAAGCAGCAGCAGCAAAGCCTCTTCAGTGAGGAATAAGAAAGGACGACCACCACTCCACAAAAAGAGAGTTGAAGGTTTGTATGGTTTAAGGTTGCCTGGTAGAGGTATTTCTTATTTTGTACATATGTCACAGCTTTCCTTCCTAGGAGCCCTTATGGTTTATCAATTAATGCTGAAATATACGATACATTCTGTATGTAGTAAAAACAAGACATCTGTTCTGCAAATTCCTATCAAGCTTGAACATGTCTTTATGAGAAATACTATCACGAGTCCCTGTTCTTGTTTGTCTTCACAGAGATTTGCAGATTCAGAACTATTAAAAGCTGTTATTGAAGGTGGAAGCAGGAGGTGTTTGTGGAGTTGTCTGCTCTACACCTTTCTTGGTCACGGACTTCTGGTTTTCTGCCTATGCTTCAGTCTGGAGCCATTGTTAGTTAACACGGCGTTAGAGCAAACCCAAGGCAGAAATTCTGATACAGATCTGTGTTTTTGCAGGACCACTGGAGAACACTAAAAAGACACCTTTTTTGTTTAAAATGGTATTGATATCCAGTGTTTGTATTTACTCTTTCTGTGACATCAGGCATGTTCATCAGGAATTTGGCTATGATAGCAAATTTCTTACAAGATTGCATCTGATCCTGGTTAATCTGTATGATGCAGTGTGCACTTTTGTGAATATAAATTTACTGTTTCACTACAGAGTAGGTGTAAGTGGGATCTTTAAACTTCAGGGATTCTTCCAAGGTCAGTAACTACAATAGTAACTCCTCAGTGAGGAATCTAATGCCAATTTGCCTGAATATACAGCAGTTTCCCAAAATTTTATTCAAAAGTTTGTCCATATGCACATCTACAATCAGGTCCATTCTCTACTACAGCTTACTTTGAGCAATACATGCGCACCAAGTCCTTCAGTTTCTTATAGCCAGCCTAAAGTTTAGGTAGACAAAATACTGCTTCCTTTCTTCAGACACTGTTTTGCTTCCTTCTGGATGCCATGATTTTCACAGAACTCAACTGCTGAGGTTTTTTTCTTTTCTCTTGCTACTATTTTCATTCTATTTTATTGTATTCTACCAATATCCTTTTTTTTTTTTTCCTGGGAAGTGTAGTAATGTCTTTGCTTCCCAGTCTTATGACGTAGTTTTTAGGAATTGTTTACCTCATGCTCTTTTGTGTCCTCCTCTTTCAACGATGAATAGAAGGAAGAATGGATTTGCAACACTTTTGATTTTAATACCCCCTTTCTTTGCAACAGTGGTGGTCCTGAATTTTCCACGAACATAACTCACTTAAAATGATGTAGGCCAAATCCATGGTGGTGGTTCAGTTCCTGAAAGATCTGACTGTACAGCAGTTTCCACTGGGAGATCATCTAGCTGAAATATACACTATGCCAAGACTTACTATGGGTCTGACAGGATTCTGACATCTACAGAGGGTATGAGGGTCTGTTTACGTTCTACCAACACCATGTCATCAGAAGACACCCAGGATTTATCTTGCCTTAGGCAGAGTGGGCTGTCACTGTTCACTCCTGTAACCCCAAATTCCCCCGTTAGTAATCTGTGGCCAGAAAACGACTGATGAACACTGCCTCTCCTGGGGTGCTCTTGTGGGTAGGGTATGGGCATGTCCTTTCAATACTACAAATACAGCTCTGGGTCACAGTATAAGATTCAAGGACAACGCGTTTCGAAGTGATTCCCTTCTCCTTTCTTCCTTCCTTAAATTCCTAGATCACTACACAGACCTTCATTACTCATGAATGCTTTGCTGTACAGCCTCAGTATATATAGGTCCAGGACGGATGTTTTAGCCCATAACAGTATAACTGTCTTTTCCTTCATAGATGCCTTCACTGTAGAATTTGACTGCCTGGTAAGATGATAGAACTGAAAAGTAACCAGCAAGTGCTCTCTAATGACAGCAGCAACACAAGCTCTATGGCCTTTCCTTACATCAAAGGATATGCAATGCAAGCACCAAAAGTCTTATTTTAGATATGTATTAATAAAGGACATTTGATACCATATGTTAAAAAAACCCTCACAATAACATAAGCAGTTGGAAGGATGCCACGTACTTAATTTTTGGATGCTTCTTGATGTGTATTACTGATGGTGTTATGCCCTAAGTACACTTCCTTTCGAATCTTGGAAGAAAGCAAGCCAAGAAAACCTGGAGCCAGGTTGTCTGTACTTTTCATGGGAAGACATAGATTTCTGCACAAGCAAGGTCTTATTTTATATGTACCAATAATGAGCTCATGAAATAATCAGAGATTTGATCCTCAGAAATAAGTACTTACTGTTCAGTCATCTGTATAACTTCAGCTATGAAGAACCAGTCTTACAAACAAATTAACTGATGGTCTATACATAGTATGTACACAAATCTTTTTTGGTTTTTTATCTTTACATCTTTTTATAACTCCTCCAGAATTCCTACCTTTAATCTTAATCTGGCAGTACAGTTACAACGTTGGCCCTCTCTTTAAATCCTACTAAGACTTTTTTTTTTTCTTTAATTTCCACTCTAAAGGAACTAAAACAAGGGCAAGGTCGCTACAGAAACTATCCTAGCATCAAAGAACCAAAACTAGTCCCCTATGGTTTGTTTCTCACCTAAATCCCACATATATTGGGTTCAACAGACTGTCTGGGTTGGAGAACATTCCTTGTTGCTACTGAAAGTAAATCTGCTCTGTGATGTTTCTTCACAGTGCCTTAAGGAAATCAAACATAAATGGGATTAAAACAAAAAAATCCCTAACATAAAAAGGGTTCAAAGGTAAGTTCAGGAATAAATAGGTAAATTTTTAGACAACTTTTATGCCCAAAGGGTAATAAAAGGTGTAGGAAAAGTTACAAGATCCATTGAGATCCCCATCTGCTTTCTCACCACACATTTCCTTCTGTTAGTATATCTGTGATCTTGTCTTCTCCTCTCTTGTCATCTTCCCTGTCTTTCACTCACTCCAGCAACTTCTGTTTTTTTCTACATGTCTCTTGCCTACACACTTGTCTGCTCTATCACATTCTCCTCAAGTCCCCCCTCTTCCTTCCTCTCTGGTTTGCTCCCTTCACAATAGGAGCACAGCATCCCACGTACACCTTCAGTCACCTTCCCACCTTCATTCCTCCTCTTGCTCTAAACTCTGAATATGCTGTCTGATCCAAGTTATTATTTAGAGCTCACACCAGCCAGACTACTTCTCTTACTTAAAATGCCCCCTCTGTACTCCACTGAAATGGTTCTGACTGAAGTTTCTAAAGATCTATGCTGACCAGATTTGGGTTTTATGCTCCACCCTCAACTTTGTATTTAACTATATCTTGGTTGCTGTATACCTATGAGATTAATAGTCTTATATTTAGATTGTAAGCTCATTAATTGGGAATTATGTTTGTTATATGTGTGCAAGATACCCAGCAATTCAGGTAGTGCTGCAATATGGTATTTGTTTCCAATGATTTTTGTTTATTTGTTAAGTATTCTACTTCAAATTGTTGCTATTGCTGGGAATAGCCGGTAGTAATCCTTCCTTGAAAGAACACAAAATAAAATTAGAGCTGAAAGACTTACCGTTTCAAGCATTTACCCAGTTAATCTCTTAAAAGCACGCTTGTTTTAAAAGATACTAAACTGTTGAAAATACAGATTTGGAGAAGGTGCTGCAACTAAAATTAACTGTATCAAAGTGTGTCAGCAGATGGAAGGCTCCCGTTACTCATGTAAGGTATTCATTCAGTGAGTTGGCTGAACAAATCCTGAAGGCGGTAATACTGCACTGCATAGTATCAGAAATGCGTCAGTAATTTTAATGTTCTTTTTCTAGATGAGAGTCTAGAAGGCTCATGGCTGAGCAGGAATGAAAACATACATACTCCAGGGACACTGCAAGCACCGCAGCTCACCTCAACTGTCTTGAGGGAGAACACTAGACAAATGGGAGAGCAGATCCAGGAGCACGAGTCGGAGCAGGGATCTGAACAAGATTTTTTACACAAGTAAGTGTTGGAATTTTAGCATCAAATAGCGTGAGCCAGGCAAAGGAGTTGCATATTATTTATACAGGTAGTCTTAGTCTGTGGCTCCATATATGTAGTGGTTATTTGCAAAAACAACTGGAAGTGTCTTGGCTATAGCTCAGCAATACTTTGATTATTTTCACTTCCCAGGAAAAACATGTTGTAGTAAAATCATGGTAGAAATTCCTTATGTTAAAATTCTCTAGTAGCATAACTGTGCAATTATGGTGAAATCTTCCTAGTGTTTGTGCCCCCAGGTTGCATTGAACTGTTCCTCTAAAAGACCTGTTAGATGTTCTCTTTTCTTTCCCTCTGCCCTGTGTCATAGTACAGTACGTTCTCCAGATATCCTAACTGATTTCTTGTAAATTAACTCTTCAATCCAATTCCAGCTGCTGAGCTAGTAATTCCTGTTCCTGGGGTAATTGCCTGCAGGCAATTTTATTTTGCCCTAAATTATATATACTTTTCATCACGCAACTCCCATTTTATCACCTCCATTTAGAGGGAAAAAATGTTGGTTATTATCTGTCAGTAGTTTAAGAATAGAAAGTCTTCAGAGAATGCTATTATGTGCTATTTCTATTAATTTGAAGATACAGAATAACAATATCTGTTTTGGAGGCTATTTTTATAACTTTTATAGCCAAATGTACTGATCTGATTTACCTGTATAGAAAAGTCATATTATGCTGGCCAGATGAATCAGGTTTCTACCAGTGTAGTATAGCATAAAATAGCCAGATTATGCCTCTTGGTTTTCTTCCAGCTTTTGTCCATCATGCTTTTCTTGATCCACGTTCCCCAGCTTCCCAGTCTTCCCTGATGTGCACTCACCCTGCTCAATCCTAAACTTTACTGCTTCATCCTGCATTCTGTAATCATAGTGTTCTCTAAACAGAAATAATTAGTAATGGTGATTTTGCCTGGGAAGGTAAAATGTTCTCCAGTCTGAAGTGACAAGGATATATGTATACCACCATGTTGTACATATAAGCTATTAAGTTTGCCAATTTGTGACTATAGGCACTCAAAAAATCTGAGCAACTTTAAAGAAATGTACTCTTTTGAAAGCATAACCTATTCTTCTCCCTTGCTTGTGCGTGTAACTTGCACAGGCATCAGCACTGCAACCAATTAAACCTTGATATGATCCAGTAACCAGTGCCCGCTACAAGAGATACTTGCAGCTCAGCTGGCTACAAATACCTATTAATTTTTGGAGCACATAATATTTGGCATTTCAATAAATGAGTTCAGCCAACTTTCTTTCCCCATATTAACCATATAACATCACCGTAAGAGACAGGGTTGCAGGCTAGCTAGGCTGCTTCATGCTGCAGATGGGGATATGCATGGTCCTGCCCAAAGGCCTAAGATGGGCTTAAGTGTTCCCAGCTGGCGCTGTCTGGAAGGAAGGAGGTGTAAACAGGCATGTAAATGGGCGAACACAAGGCAAGCCTGGGCATGGATTTCCTCACCTACACAGTTCAGGTGGGCAGGGGATCCCAGCTGGCTACCAAGAAAGCACAGCCGAGGAAGAGCTCCTGTTCACGTCAGTCCCAGAACATCTTTTCACCTTGGTCCCATGGCATGTGAGGTCTGCATTCATGTCTCTTACTTGCTGTTCTGGTCAGGGATTTACCTCCCCATCTCCTGCCTCCCTGGGTGTTGCCATAACTTCCCAGATTTATAAGGAAGATGATGTGGCTCTTGATTTCTCCTTAAAATTTTTCTACTCTACAGTAAAAACAAAGAAAATTGCTGAAGCAGAACTTTCTTTTTGACCCTCTCTGATCTCACCTATCACTAAGCTAAATATCTCTCTGTGAACATTTAATTATTTATGGAAAATGGGACAGCTTCCAGTCACCGTGTTTTTACTCCTGAGCCTGACAAGGAGGCACTGCCTTAAGCTGTGGGAGAATCTTCAACTCTTCGAGGGGTGGTGGGCAGGGAGGAAGTTGAACCAGGCTTTTCACCCTGGGTTTGAACCTCTGTTTTGCCTATCTCAGGTGAATGCTGCGAGCAGAGAACTGTTGAGCAGAGGCAGATAGCATCACTCTCCTCTGTTACTTTCAAGGAGTTGGATTCCACACAGAAGTTCACAGTGTGAACAGACAGTGGAGAATCCTTTCCTTTCAGCCTGGAGTTAGCTGCCACACATATTTCCTACAGGTCAGCTTAGAGCGAAAACATAAAATAAATACAGAGCAGTCAGTTGCTGAACTAATGGGGTTAATCCATGTCCAGAAGAATATTGCGTTCTAGGTTGTTTCCACATGGGTTATGCCAGTTTATTATGTCAATCTTATTAGGGTACAAGACTGCATACTAAAATAAAAACTGGTGTTGCTCTTGAAGAGCTGCACCCAGTTTACTGCTATTTCCTTGTGCTGCAATGCACAAATCATAGCAAATGCATTGCTGTCTACTACTGGATTTAAGTGGTATAAAAAGTACAGCCTTTAAGGTACTTACATGAGGATAAGTTACTGGACGCTTAAGTCGATCAGGGTATGTATTTAAAAGCAATTTATTTTTCGCGTTGTGTGACATTTTTGTTTTAAAATGTGTGTCAGTTATTCATTTGGATTTGTTCTTGCTCATATTTTGCCTGATCTAAGACAGTGAAGTAGGATTTAATAAAATGAATTTTAGAAGTGCTCCCACTTCAGGTGCATGTCACTCTAATGAATGAGTGATGTTAGCATTTGATGCAGCTGTTCTTATTACAACAATTAATGGCGCTTTTTTTGTGCACATACAGTGAGAAAAGTTGTGGAAGGGAATCCAGAAGACATGTACAATGATGGATGTGATTTAAGTATCTTAATCTGAAGCATGGTCAGACACAAAACTTGAGGAGATACTGTCTAAAAATAGCCAACTCAAAATTGTTAAGTCATAATGCTGCTTTGTGTTTGTTAGTCCCCAGATGCAGATATCTTGGTTGGGCCAACAGAAGCTAGAAGATTTAAATCGAAAGGACAGGACAGGAATGAACTACATGAAAGGGAGAACTGGCGTAAGGCATGCAGTGTAAGTGTTCAGAGCATCCTTGTCTCCAGATCAGAACCATTTTAGATGACAATGCTGCATTTTAAATGCTACCTTTTCTGGGCTGTTGCCTGTAATTTCTGTGACATTTTAATGCTTGTTAATGAAGGCAGAATAACAGCTTTGTAATGTTGGAACAGCCTTAAACTGTTCCCATTTCAGGGGGTTTCCACGATTTGTCTGTTAAGTAATTCCCCATGAACTCTTCCAAGTTGTTGTCCAGTCTTCCCGTGAACCTGTTTATGCTTCTTTCAACCACATCACCTTTTGCCAAGGTGTCCCACTGGGCAGCTAATGGAGGGAACACACATGGGTGAATGCTGAAGCATTCTGTTGTACAAGGTGCTACGTGCTCTGGTGCCGATCCAAGCAAGTCTTTCAGTGCATAAGGACTTTTCAGGATGGGGGACAGAGTCTCCAGTGAGATCAGGTCCTTACAGTGTTAGAAACTGGTCTTGGATTCACTGCTGGATTTCCTGGGATTTACCAGGGATCCTGGCGAACAGTGTAACTCCTTTTTGTAAAAGGGCAAGCAAACACAGTGAGATTATTGCCCTTTTCTTGTTAGGGACAAATATAGTTGCTGTTTATAATGATATTACAGGGGACTTCCTGCTTTAGCCTCTGCAAGAGTTAGGTTTGTTTTTACGTAAGATTTTCTTCCAGTTTATATTATAGAAAGCATGCTGGCTTTATTCTCAACATAAGGTTTTATGTGAGGGCATTAAGGGATAGGATTTGTGCTTTCTTTTTAATGACCAAGATCATGGTTGGGAAATTTAAATGCCTGGCAATGACTTTTTCATTCTCTTTATTTAATCAGACGAGGTCTAATGGAAGATGACGCTGAGCCTATCTTTGAAGATGTAATGATGTCCTCACGAGGTCAGCTAGAGGATATGAACGAAGAATTTGAGGACACAATGGTCATTGATCTGGTCAGTAAATCATATTAATAGCAAGTTTAAAACAGATGAAAAATAATTTAAAAGGAATTTTGGAAGCGCAAACAAAAAATTCCAAAATTTTGAGCGCGATTTCCTGTTGTCTGAATGTGAAAGAGCGGAAATGATCCAAATACTTGCTAGAACCTACAGCTGCAGACTTGGGCCCAATTGATTATTTTTTTTTAATATAAACACAAGGAGCGTTGCTTAGCACTATTCCTCTAATATTCTGGACTCGGGCAGTAGCAAGTGTCTGGAGCACCATTGTGCACCTGGGAGTTGTGAGCCTGTGAGAATCAGGTTATGATGTACAGCATATCAATCATCAATCAGGTGTGTCAGTGCAGCCCTTTTAGAGGAGCGCTGAAGAAGTAGCTGATCTGACTCACCGTGCAGTCAGCCAAGGGCAGAAGGAGTGCTGGTTGGGGACAGAGCTGAGACCAGCTCACCCCATCCGAAAATTGCACAAAGCTGCCTGCTTGGCCTCGTGGAGTACAAATGGACTCTCCAAGATCCGTACCAGTGTTTGATTCCAGTTGTTAGTTGGCGTTATGAAGAGTTTGGAAACGGTATGATCTAAAGGTATTCTAGATGGTGTTTCCTTCCCTGTGCCAGCGTCACAGCCATCACTCACTCTTTTGCTGACGCGGCTCTTTTTGCAGCCACACCATGGTCAAACTGATACAGCCAAGTTGCTTCTCTTTTTCTGTTCCCTGGTTGCTTTGATTTCTGGGAGGTGGGTGGACCTTAAGGGGATCCTTAATCAAGGTCTGGTTAGTTTACAGCCATACACAGAGTTGTGCTGGGACAGTGGACGGGAGAGCAGGCAGTAGTGGGCAGGCGTGAGGCAATACCTGACAGTGGAATTGCTCCCAAACAGGTCATATCATCAGATGGCAACCTCGGGTCCTTTCATGGTAATGTACTGACTACAGGCAGGATTTGCTTTGTAGAGGTTAAAACCTTCCTAGCCTCTCCATTCCAAATGAATGCTTTCCTTGTAAAACGGGAAAAAGGATCAGTTTGCATTGTACACTTCACCGTTTTTATGCTTTTCTATTTCTCCTTTCATACCCAAACAATAAGGCATAGGTTACTTTAGGACTAGGCTATAATGTCTCGGAAAGAAAATTTAGGCAATAATTCAGTTACTGCTGCTGAATACTGAGGTTATTACTAGCATTCAAGTGATTATCAAGTAAATAAAATCTCTTTTACTGGTAATCCAAGGCAAGGAAATGAAGGAATTGATGAAGCCAGTGAAGCTCACATTTACTCTTATGTTTCCAGGGAGGGACAACACAAAAGGTTTAATCCTCAGAAATAATATGACATTTTTTGACCATGTCAGAGCTGGAGTTTCACCATAAATTTAAGGAGCATAAAGACAGTTAAAAGACAGTTTTTATGCCATCTGGCCTACAGTCCTAATACAGGAACATCATTAAGTCAGCAAGAGCCTTAAGCAAGCCCTTAGCTATGAGCACAGACTTAAAATGACTTCAGAATCCCTCAGCTTTTAGCCCATTCCTTAAACAAAACATGAATTTAAGAAATGCCCATCTATGTCAGGACCTCCATTTGTATCGGAGCTTTCACAAAAATCCATGCAAAGCTGCTCTGTAAAGGAACAGGTAACCATGTTAGTACCCATTAGCTGTAGAGCCACACAAATCCTTTACAGCCAGGTAACGGATGGGATGTTCTAAAATGGCTGACTCCTCTTTTTAGCCACCTTCAAGAAACCGTCGAGAACGGGCTGAACTGAGGCCAGACTTCTTTGACTCCGCAGCTATCATTGAGGATGATTCAGTAAGGCTTTACTAGTATTGTTTCCTGTTTATCTGAGGTTCTTTTTGATTATCATTACACCCAATTAATTAATCTTTTAAATCATTTTTCTAGGGATTTGGAATGCCTATGTTCTGAAGTCTGGTGAAGACATTTTACAAATTTGGAACTCTATTGTTTAGAGCTAGAGGCCTATATACTGTGATAGCTTGTATGAAAACCACATTTTTGATGTGATACGGTTTGATTTTTAACCAAATGATTGAGGTCAATCCCTTTTTGTAGTGACAGAAAGAAGAGGAACTTCTTAATGACACAAAGGAATGTTGGCCAATCCAGTCACCTCAGAAGGGCTGACCTAAAAAATCATTTGTATCCCTGTTCTTGACTGTCCTAATACAGATTTTTTTTTTTTTTTTCCTGGATGAGGAAGAAGTTTTAAATTGTTAAGACAGCTGTCGGAATAAACACTGTTCTACATATGTTTTCTGAAAACAACATTGAGTGAAAACAGAACTTTTTAACTTTATTTTTCTGCTGTACAATTTAAAACAGTTTTAACATTTGCCTTTTTATGTTTTAAAAGCTAGCCATTTTTATTAAACCTATGCCTATCAGCCATTGACTAGCAATGATGCTATAAGCAGGTCATTCTGGCTACAGAAAAGTGTTTTTGAACACACTGGATTTGATTAACATTATGGTACGCTTATATCCTCTCATAGGCATTGAGAAGAACACTCTTATAGAAGAGGTTAGAATTCTAATGATGTGCATCTCTGCCAAAAAATTTCAGATTCTGATATGATAAACCCAGATTTTATACTCTTGAGAAGATTTATTTTTATTTATAATGGGACATAAAGTAAGAGATGTCCATGAAGCCACTTTTCCAACAGATGCTGTGTAACATTCATTTTATATAGCACATGGGGACACAAAAACAGTAAATTTTCTATTGGTACTTGCTCTGTGCATTTTTAGCAACTTATACCAGCAAATAAAGTATTCTCAGTAAAACACACAAATGGTTCTCAAGTAATCACTTTGCTGTTTTTACTACCTACTTCAAGCCCTGCCAACCCAAGGTACATAAACAGCAACTTTCCTATTAAAAAAAAATAATTCAAGGGTGGGGGAAAGGAATCACTTTAGCATACTAAAAGCAATTTTAACTGTACCATAAAAAAAAGTCTACTTTCCATGCCGTAAATACCCTTTAGCGCTATTTTTGTAAATTAATTTTGCCAGTTAGAAGTACTGTATGTGCTGCATAGAAATTTGTGCTTAGATGGTGAAGTTCTTAAGCTTACAATGGAATACAGCTACATTTTCAGTGTTAACTGTGCATATTAAGAGTAATTCTTTGGGAAAAAAAAATACGATTTTTCAAAAAAGTTAAAAAAGTCAAAAAAAACCCAAACCCCCAAAGCATTCTCAGCTAATTCATTGTAATAAGAGATTTTTCAATGTCTTCAATAATTTGGAATTTCATTACGCTTCGATTTTATGACTCTGCCTAGTAGCTGCTACTTAGTTAAGACTGGCCTAATATTGGAGGTGCTGGCCATCCACAACTTGCACTGACTCTACTATCTCTTAAGAATCAGCCCCAAAATGTTAATCTTCCTTTCTGCATTCTAATATTAGCATTCGAGATGAGATACAAAGCAGATTGACCCACTTGGAGCACAGCCATTTTAGAGGTGCTTTTTTTTTAGCAACTGCAAAATAATCACGGAGCTTTTTTCTGTTATGAGCTTATTGAAAAACAAACCAACATTAACACCCAGTGCTTACTTGCTGGGAGGGAAAAGAATCTGATTTTAAAAACAAACCAGCATTTCACTCAGCTGAGGTTTGTTTCTTACAACATGTGCAGTTCTCAAACATGGTTGCCAAAAATGTTTGACTAGGTAATTCAGCCATTTTTCAGATGTCAGTTGGGTAATGTATAAAACCTGAGAAGTAGCTGGAACTTTATAAAATCACGTTACCTCCCTTCCTCTTCTGTCCACCCCAAAAGTAACAGGGGTGGGCAGGAAAGGCTGCATTAAATTGTCATCACAATTATTCTGTGAGCATAGTAGCATAATAAATGCTGCCTGGTTTGAGTCATAGTCTCAGACGAACCTTGTGCTTCACAGTCCTCTGTGTGGAAAACTGATTCCTAATTTAACATTGTAGAATACTGTATAACAAACATTTATTATCACGGTACCTGCAATGGGTTTCCAGTTCAGTTTGCAGTCAATAGGTTTTTGTATTATGAGTGTCTCCTTGATTGGTTTTGCTAGTAATTCTGTAAATTGTACATTTACAATATGAGGTTTTTTTTTTCCTTTTGTACAATTTAAAACTGATGCTTCACCTTTCATTTAATAAACTATTCAAAATCATGAGTATGATGAGCACCCTCTTCACTATAACTTTCCTTTAAATGCTGGTTTAGACCATCACATCTTGTCATCCCATTTATTAGTAGCCAAAGGAAATACTGAAAGGTAGTTCTCATGTAGTCCAGGCTTCACAACCAGATTCCATTACAGCTACCTTACCCATTCAGCCTCAGAGCAAAGGAAAACCCTGTCTTGGCTTTTGTTGGTTTTTTTCCCTCCACTGTGGTATCTTTTTGGTTGATCTGGGAGGTTTCATTGTGAGGTTGCTGTAAATCTGATAAGTCATCACACAAGTTGGGAGAGTTGCATTGTTAAAATTGTTTGAACTGTCACAAATTTTGAGAAAAATTTCACTCTCCTGCCCTGTACATCTGAAGTGAACTGGACCACATGGGAAGAAATGGAAGTGGTAAAGGCTTGGAAGGTCTAACAACCAGCTGGGCTAAATGAAGTTTTACAGATTCCTGAAACAAAATGTCCTTTTGTTATTCCCATGTCTCAGAAAGAAAGGTGCTATTTTTGTCCAACCCATGAATGATTTCATCTCTGTAGCACTAAAGAAAACTGACTTATTTATCATCTGGCCCACTTCCTAAAGAAAAATCATCTGAGTCAGAAAAAGTAACAAGATGCAGCATGTGAGGAGCAGGGATAGGATTCAAGGTCTGAACTGCACTCTAGGACTGCTCCCGAGACACAGACCGAACGCTGAATCTCCAGCTGCCTGTAAGTTATGCTCAACTCCTGATGCACTGTGGAACACAGTAACTAACTAACTAACTTGTCATGCTTCTAAGTGCAAGGGCTGCTCTACGTTGAAAGGATTTTATTTTATATCTATTGTTTCTGCAGGTGACTGGAATTCAAGAGAATCTTGAGTAGCATGGTCAGATCAGCTTTCCAGTGTGTCTCCAAAGCATTGTGCTGGTAGAGCAACTGACTGCTTGGAAATCGAGATGATGTAAAAGCCAAATTCTTGTGCTGGCAATGCATAGAAGAGAGGAGGAAGTCTATAGAACTAATGAGGTTAGGAAACAAGAAAGGTACTTTTTTCTTTGTGACAGTGACAATTGGTTTCTCATTTAGTGTCTCCTCCTGACTCTGGGCAGGCTGAAGAAACTGTGCATATTGCTTCACTTAACGCAGCTTTTGCCTCTGAACTTGGGACAGCCACCAGCCACTCTCTCAGCTACTAATTACCTTTGAAAAATCCTCTTGGTCCTTACAAACACTTGACTACACCTTTTCTCGCAGTTCACTAAGAACTTACTTCACAGCAATGACACCCAACATAGTAACATTTCAGTTTACCTTCCCTTGTTGCAGCCAGCTCTGTTCCCTACAGCAGCAGGTAAGGGCACCTGCTTGGAGAGAGTGTTTCTGCTGAGATACAACCAGGTACATTCATGCAGGTAGCGTAAATGTGTGTGCACCCAGGGTAGATGGTGCATCTGTAACCTGAATGCACTGCCTCTAGCTGTTTTTTTATTACAAAAACCTGTGGAGCTGGGACTTGTACTTGAAATGTTCCTTGTGTACTGTGTTTTCAGCTGATTTTTAGTTGTGGCCTTTCCCCCCCACCCCCCACCCCCACCCCAGGTACAGGCTCCAAGCTCCATGGCTGTACTCACTAGGGCACCAGCTGCCCTGACCTGGGAAGGGATGCTACGTGGAAGTTGCCATCTTATCTTTCTTCCACTTCAGGCACGTGCTCCAGGAGTGAACAGAAGCAGCTGCAGCATGCAGGTAGGGTAGTTCTCTGTCTCATTTTACAGTGCCATTAATTACTGAGGTTACTTAGAACAGACAGGTCGTTACAGGACTTCACGTGCTTGGCAGCTGTTTGCAGTAGTGCTAAACATGACAGTAGCTGGTATTTGCTACCTTCTGGGGCTGTAGTTAAAATGCAGCTTCTAATGAGCAGTGTGAGCACAGGGCCCAGGGCTGATCAGCAGTTAACACCTACTGCAGTGGTTCCTTGCAAGTCTGGCAAATAATCACAGAAAAAATTAGGCTGGAAGGGGCCTCTGGAGCTCTCTATTTCAACCCTCTGCTGAGGGAGAAAAGCCCCCCACGCTCAGAGAGAATAATTTTTATGTCCCACCAGAATGCCCTTTTTTCCCATTTGGGTGCATTGTCTCTTGCCCTTCAAGGGGAGGCTGCCTCCATCTTCTCTCTCCCACCTGTGCCTACAGCCTGGAGGTCACTGATACCAACCTGAGACCCAGCATTGCTGCAGTCAGCACATAAAAGTTTCAACTTGGGCCAGTCTAGCAGAAGAACAGAACAGGTTAGTCTGAGATCAGCAAAGCCTGGAGTCCAGTGCACTGAAATCCAAGCTCAGGATTTTTCTCCCTGTGAGTCTGTGGTGCAGGAAGCAGAGTCTGACTCCAAAGGTGGACCCAGGGCTAGACTTGAGCCCCACAGGAGTCTGACTTCTCAGCAGTGTGAGGTAGCTGCAGCTCTGCCTGTCTGAGCCATCCCCAGGGCCTAGGGAATGAAGGAGCCAAGGGAGTGTTTGACCTTGGTAACAGCTCACCTGCAGCAGGCATTGCAGGTTGTGTTGATTATTAAACCACCAAAAAGGGTTTACAGAGATGAACGGGTAAGACCCCAAATTAAATGAGATACTATGATTTACTGATGGTTGTTAGCAAAATCAAAATGAAAAGAAATACTTCCATTGCAAAGCAGACCTCCACTTAAACACAGAGTATTTGTGGTCAGAATAAGGCCATGTCTTCCAGCACAGCCAAGCCCCTCCTTACACTCACAGCGGGATATTAGCATGTTTCTTCCAGGGACTGGACTGTGTTTTACTAGCCAGCACATCTAGGTCATGGCAGATGCGCACGCGGGTGGTCGAAGGTTGGATGATATCATCAACAAACCCTGTAAAAAAAAAAAACAAACAACACAAACCTTCCCCTGACCAACCATGAAGTGTTTGCCTCTCAGCCTTCTCTATATCTAGGTTATAATGTAAATTAGAAAAATCAAAACAATATTTGGAATAAAGAGTTCACCAGTTACCAATTAACTTAAGAAATAATTTAAAATAGCCTGAAAAGGAAATATTCCTGTGTCAATAGTTTTTAAATTAGAAACATTTGGTTTTTTAATTTTTGCAAAAGTTAGCAAGCCAAAAGATGTTGAGGGGGCTTTACTCACTGAGTACTGCACCTGTTACTGCAAAGTTTTAGACATACCCTTTCCTTCCATCTGCTACTGTTAGTCTAATTTAAAGGTTCAGAAATGTTGGTTAGAAGAGACATCCCTTGACTTTGTACATGCAGGAATCTGGTTTTTCTGGCTCAAACAGCAGTATTAGATAGCCTGCTGCAAAACCAGAGGGAGCAACACTGTATATATTGTTTGTGGTGGTGGGAAAACAGCTTGGCTAAGTCTTCCCAGCTCTGTGGCACTATTAACGGGATTTAAATGAAGTACAAAACTAATCAACAGAGTTTGGAGGACAGAAACTGGAAACAGAGGGAGCTGACTCCAGAGCCTACAGAGCTGCCTTCTAGAGCACAGTTAATGCTTTAAAGCTGGAAGTAAAATTTAGAAGTAGAAACAGTGGAAAAATTCACCCTGAGGAGTCCTGGGGAACGTCACTGAACTGAACTAGACTGACCCTTTCTTAAGGCCACTGGTTTGCATCTAGGACTGTGTAACAGATCATCAAAGCACCTGTACTTTTAAGAAAAAGGTTGAGTTTTGAGATGTTTTCTAGTATCTACAAAATTTAAAAGATGCTTTTCAGTGCAGTCCCCACATCTCACCAGCCTCTTTCCTTCTGAAGATGTTTTTTGTCTACATGTGTTTTTCCATCACAGGCACAAGCTATGGTTAAGCATCACCTTTCTGATTCACATACAAACGTCTTGCCTAAATAACTTACTCATTAGCAGCTACAAATTTATCTATGTGCAATGGCAAACTCGGAGGACACAATGTGCGAGATAACCATACCTCTCATGGCGGCAGGAAAGGGGTTTGCAAACTTATCCACATATTCTGCCTCTGCGTCTGCCTCTTTACCTCTGAAAATGATCTGGACAGCACCCTAGAAAGATCAAGTCTGCAGGTTGGTGACAGTAATTCAGTCCATACAGAGGACGGCGGTCTGCTTTACCAGCTCCTTCCCGCTCCCACAGTATACAAATGTGCATTCAGGTAAGCTGCTTCAGAGAAAATACCACTTGTCCTCATCTTGCTAGGCCACCTCTGTGGCACTATAAAGGCACTGATGGCTGCTGCGCACCAGCATGAGCGTCAGCCTGGATTTACCTTTGCACCCATCACTGCCACCTCTGCAGTAGGCCAGGCATAATTTGCATCTCCTCTTAAATGCTTTGAGCTCATCACA